TTGTTTATGGCGAAACATATTGAAGGAAATGTTTCTTACATTTTCGAATATTTCGTCGACAAACTCTAGCATAGTAGCTAAAATTTCTTCGTGCCATCGGAAGCAAATAAATTGGTCTTCAAGTACAACATTACTATATTTTGACTTAAAATACCATACTAGATCGATGACAACCAGCGGAAAATAAGGATAAACAAAATGACTGGCTTGTTTCACCGTTAGATGGCGCATATTATTGCCCAATCAAAAATAATTATTGTTCTATATCCAGCCGTTTATTACAGTACCTAGGTACTTTTCCCTTCCTAGGCACCGTGGTTTACCAAAATCGGTTTACCATTGCTTCGAGAAAACCGGCCCTGGAAGATCGTCGTCCCATCCTACTGCCTGTTCCCAGAGTCGTTGAAACAGTAGCTTCACCCTCACGGTCACCGGCGCGATCCATCCAAGAGGGTCAAATATTCTTGCTGAAGTCTGTAAAATGTTGCGTTTCGTTAGCTTCGCAAGGTTTACGACACCCAGAATGTTGTCAACGTTAATAGTAAGTTGATCGCTGGCCCTGTTCCAAAGAAGGCCTAGTATTTTCGTAAAATTCCCTGTAGAGTCGTCTGGTGAAAATTGTGTTTCCTCTAATGATTCGCTCTTATCAAAAATTGATTGTAAATCTTTGTCATTTGTGCACCACATTACGGAGGTTCATGCCGGCTTCACCCATGATAACCTTAGCTTCTTTGTGAAGCACTTGAGCTTGTTTGACTGTTTTCGATCCAGTGAGTAAATCGTCAACGTAAAGACAGCTAGATAAGGTCATGGTGGTTTCTGGAAACCGGCCTCGGACACTCTCCAAATGATGTCGTATAGTGGCTGCAAGGAGGAACGGGCTGCAGGTTGCTCCAAACGGGATTCTTGTCATTCTCCAGATTTCTGCAGGGTTGTGCGGTTGAGCAGTTCTTGGGATGTCTCGAAACCAGAAAAAACGAAGAGCGTTTCGATCTTCGGGTGCAACAAAAACTTGTAGAAAAGCCTTTTCAATATCAGCGCAAAGGGCGATCGGGTGCCTTCTAAAATTTAACAGCATTTGCATCAGGTCAGGACTTAAGTTTGGTCCTGCATGGAGGTTTTGATTTAGAGAAGTACAACGTGGGGCATGAGACGACGCATCGAACACTATCCATACCTTGGTTGTCTGTCGATCATTTTTTATCACGGCTCTGTGGGGCAAGTAATACGTTTTTTTACTGTGTTCCTCGTCATCATCAGGTTGGACTCGTTCGGCGAACCCTTTAATAAGGTACTCCCTCACAGCCTTGTCATACTGCATGAGCAGACAGTCATCTCTACGTAGTTTTCTGAGCAATGCAGCTAAGCGAGTTTCTGCAACATCCTTATTGTCTTGTAACAGAAGTCCAGGGGACTTCCACAATAGCCGGGCTTTGTATCTTCCGTCTATCTTCTTCACGGAGGAGTTGAACGATTTTAGTAAATACAGAAAAGAGCCACACTGTTGGTCCTTCGATGGGGAGTCCCTAATTCCCAGACTTTCTAGTTCCCAAAATTTGCGCAGTTCTAAACAGATGTCTTTAGATGCCTCGCCAACGCTCATCGTGAACATAGCAGTGGCGGTACATACATTAGAGGCGTTACTCACTTTTACGGGACCTTGCAAAGACCAGCCAAATATGGTCTCCACAGCAGCTAGAGATGAGTTGATACGTTTGACACTCCCAGTCGTTACTTTCCAATAATAATCAGACCCAATGAGAATGTTCACTCCAGGTTCTGTTTTTTCGTTCTCTAAGGGAAGGTCCGCCAGAGTCATACCCTTCGACTGTAGATTTTGAATGAGGCTGGTGTCTGTTACGCAGAGAATTTCTCCACAAATCTCGGGGACTTCCAAGGCCTCTATGACAATCTGTGCTCTGCTGTGATGGCTTTTCAGAAGAATCTCGACTCGGCGACACCTTCTTTTCGTTCCTTGTGCAGAGTCACCGAAGGTGAAAATGGTGAGGTCTTCTTCACCGACGGGTCGGCAACGGAGCTTTTCTGAGACAGTCCGTTTTACAAAGGAACGCTGGCTCCCCCCATCGATCAGGACTCGAAGTGTTGTCTCAATTTGACCCTTAGCTAGTACTTTAGCAGTCTGAAGTAACACTTGTTGGGGGCTACTTGATCCCGCCCTAGATATCCCGATGAACTGCGAAGGCCCTCCAGGAACGTTAGGTGATGGTCGGAGTGCAGCCCATTCTGGATCAGACAACACTGTGAGGTGTCTGCCGCCGCAACTCGCGCAAGAAAGCGTTCGTGCGCTTCGACACTCTCTTGCTCTGTGAAATTGTTTTCCACATCGAAAACATCTCTTGTCATGTTTAAGTTTCTCTTTCTTCTCTTGTAATGTCAGGTGTGTCGTGCATTCCTGCAGCGGGTGGTCACCAGAGCCACAGAAAACACAGCAGTGGACGCTCACTTTTTCTAGTGTAGGGAGAGCCGATGCAGAACTTATCTTGTCAACAATAGACCCTTGTGATGGACGGAACTTTTCTTTTGAAGAGTGTGTGGAGAGTTGAAAGCACTTCTCCCTTGTTATAACTTCTGCGTCAAGGAATGCAAGAAGCACTGTGAGATCGTCTTCCCCGTCCCCTGAAGGCCCTTTGGCGTCCAGCTTCCGGTTGTACCTCAGAAGAAGATCAGAAGGGAGGGCTCTTTGGAGTACGGTATGCAGAACACCGTAAGAATGTACATCCACTCCTAGACTTTGTAGGCTCCTGATCCTTGTCACTACGCGTCATCATGGAGTTTCCTGAGTCCCTCTGTGTCCTCTGAGGATCTTATTGGTTTGGTGTCCATGAGATGGGAAAGATGGTTATTAACTATCACAGTGGGCTGACCGAATCTTCTCTTTAAGAGTTCAATCGCAACGCTGTAATTGTCACTGGTCACGGGAATCCCCTTGACAGCAGCATCGGCTTTTCCGACCAGGTAGATCTTCAGATATTTGAACTTGTCGACTGGAGACAGTGTTGGGTTGTGGTCTATAGAGGACTGAAACTGGTCCCAGAACGTTTGCCAGTCTTCCAGATCTCCGTTGTATTTTGGAAGTTCTAGTCGTGGAAGCTTGACGTTAGGTCCACTTGCTTGACGTTCTCTAGGGTCATTTGCTTCAGTGTCGTTGTTAGAAAAAACTCTTTCGTTGCAGTGCTGTTTTCGTAACGCTCGGGCCGTTCTTGTTTTAATGTTGCTTATAGTCTCTTCGTACGTGGTACAGGTTTGTGTTTCTTCTTCTATTTCGTTCTGGTCAATGAGGTCTGCGATCTCCGCATCTAGTTGGTGTAGCGACGTTTCTTTCAATGTGAGGAAGTTGAGCTTCTCTTCTATGTCACCTTCTGGTAGCGGAGTCAGCTCTAATGCCGAGGAAATGTCGTTTACAAGCTTGGTAACAGTGGACCGTATTACTCCTCGTCTTCTCTTGAGCCTTTCCATCGTTTTTTTCGTTATTTGCCGGGTTTCGGCACCATGTTTTTTGTAAAATATCGGTACAGGAGGAGTAATCAAAGGGATTTATATACAATATTTACATTTGGAATGCGTTGAGGTCCGTTGAGGCGTTTCTTTGCGATCACGTCTTCATCCTCCTCTTCATTCCGTTTCTAAATTTCGCGATCAAGTATTTGTCCTTTTCTTTGTCTTCAATGAAACATGTAAGTTCATACAAATATTGTACAAACTTTTCTACAAATCTGGTCGTTCCGACATATATATAAATGCGTCAAAAACCTGGTATCATCGACAAAATTTTTATTATACGGAGTTTTAGTGGCGCCATCTATCCTAGGTCCACAAAACCGTCAGCTCTCTCTGCTACCGCGAACAGCCGCCAGAAGCCAAAGGGGGAAGGCGGGGAAGGGGACAGGGCAGGACGGGTACGGCGGTGTTGGTACGGCCGGACCCGGATGAGACTTTCCTCCTTTCACCATATTGTTCGCGCTGCACCCGCCAGCACGTGGTCACGCGGTCGCGAACGGATGAGTTCTCGCTGCTCGCTGATGGCTCTAAAGAGAGAGCTTCACCGGAACCCCGCGCCACCCCCATTGACGTCACAGCGCACGTGACTCGGAAGATGGGGAAGGGGTTGAGAGGTGCCGAAAACCCCTATCTTTGTCCGTTTTTAAAATAAAAAGTAGGACATGAAGGCAAAGCGGTTTTTTGTTCTTTACTTCAGAAAAGTGGAGACACCAACTCCCAAATTATTTAGGCAAAGCACTGAAACTGTTGCACAGTAACGCACGAGTAACGCTGACAAACACCTTAACCCCCCCCCCCCCCCCCCGCCTCTCAGGTAATTCCTGCATCCGCCCCTGGAAGGGGGGGGGGGGGGGGGGGGGGGTTAAGGTGCGATGAGCAAAGACCAATCTAAAAATGCACATTTTTCGCGGACTTTTTCGTTCAGTGCGCAAATGCTTTACTGACAAACTTTTAAGCAGGTTTTCGCACTGCTTATACATCATACAAATGACAGCCACCGCGATATCCGTGGTTCGAATGCCGCGTGCCAAGTTTCTCCTTGGACTCGTTGCCGTACGGCAAGGGACGGCGCCAGGATCTTCATAATGGGGGGGGGCAGTGGGGAGGTGAACCAAATCGGTGAGGAGGGGAGGTTGCTCTGAGGTGCTGTCGCCCACGGGCTTATCGAAGATAGCTTATGCGGTGTGCTCATTGAAAAGGGAAATGCGGAGACACGAGAAGGAAGAGGGGGGGGGGGGGGGGGGGGGTTATCACAGCAGGGACCTCTGCCCCCTGCGCTCAGACTCACAACCAGGTTTTGCTTCCCTTTCTGAGACAGTCCGGAATTCCCCATGACCTCGACTTTAAAGGGGCCCTGCAAGCACTTTTTTACTGGTTTTTAATTTGCACCAAACCTGAGTGCACTGACCGTAGTAGTAGCTACGCTGGGCGCCACGAACGCTGGCCCCTGGCCTAATCCCCGATCCCGCGTCTCGCCGCAGGCAACGCCAAGACGGTGCGCAACGACAACTCGAGCCGCTTCGGCAAGTTCATCCAAGTGTGCTTCGACAACCGGTTCCAGATCAAGGGCTGCATCATCCAGGACTACCTGCTCGAGCAGTCCCGGATCACCTTCCAGTCGGCCGGCGAGCGGAACTACCACATCTTCTACCAGCTGGTGGCGGGGGCCCAGCGCTGCGCGGAGCTCCGCGACCAGTTCGCCATCGGCCCCGTGGAACGCTACACGTACCTCTCGCAGAGCGGATGCATGAGCATCGACGGCGTCGACGACGCCCTCATGTTCGACAGCCTCCGCCTGGCCGTCTCCGTCCTCAACATCCCGCAGGTGGGTTCATATAGGCGCGCGTCAGGCATCCAATCTAACCGACGACGGGCATCTGGCACGTCCCAGCGGAGGACTGGGGATGAATGTCGACCACCTGGGGATCGTTTGACGTGCAACCGAAAGCAGCTTCGTCAGATTGCGGGCGCCTCGCCCGGAGCCCGGGATTCGAACCCCCCTCCTGAGGATTCGTAGGCCGGCGCTTTTGCATCAAACAATGTTCTCAACTTAAAAAAAAAAAAAAAATGTAAACAAGTAATTTATAAAAAATTTCCTTTATTTTATATTTTATAAAATTATTCTCAATGTTTACACGGTATCAAAGTAAACATATGTACTTTTAATGCTTTATTTAGTTTATTATAATGCGTACATGCACTTTTCCTCTACCAGGTAAAGTCAGATTTTTTCAATTTTCGCGCGTGCACGCGAAAGTCAAACTTCTCATTAGAAGTTCCAAAAAGTCAAACGTCGGACTCAAACCTCAGCAAGTGAAGTGGAAGCTCCTCCCGCCTCTTTCCACTCTGGTAAGAGGAACGCTGTGCAGCGTTCGCTCTTCTAAAGTGGAAAGAGGTGAGAGCAGCTTCCACTTCGTTCTTGACCCGTCATTGCAGGCACGTAGCCAGTTGGGGGGGGGGGGGGGGGGGGGGAGGAGAGGAGCTTATGGGGCCTCCCCCCCCCCCCCCCCCCCCCCCCGAAATCTTCCATCAAATACTTTACTAGAACCCCGCCCCTCGTAAAGTGTTTGCTTCCATTTTGCTGGGTCCTCCTCCCCCCTCCCCCCCTACAGCATTTCGTAATGGGTGGACCAGGCACGTAGCCAGGATTTTGATTCGGGAAGGGGAGGGCCCTTCCCGAATCAAAATCCTGGCTCGTGAAGAAGAAAGACCAGCGGAGCTGTTCTCGATACATTATCGCAACTCGCACGCGCCCGTTTCCCGCTTCTTCTTGTCCGACACGCCGCCGATCGTGGATACGTCTCCGGCGAACCAGAGTCAGTCGCACGCGGCGCACGTGACGCCAAACGGGTAACGAACTCCCTCCGGAACCTCGCCGTCACGCCCGGGAACTGTTCAGCTGGCGAGGAGTGCAGTCGTCGCCGGGCCTCGCGTTTGCGCTTGGCCTCCATGGCACGATCGTCGTCCATGGCGTTGACCCGCCGGCGCCCTTTACGTCGCTGGTTCTGTTCTCGGCGGAAGCTTTCCAGGCGAGCGATGTGCTCTTTGGCAAGGGAATCAGAAGCGCTCGACGCACTGGAAGTCGAGGCGACAGCGGCTTTGCGGCGGTTGCGGAACCATTCGCGCTGCCGCGTGCTATACTCCGTTTCACCCTCAGTCCGAGCGCAGTGGACGCCACGAGCCATCCCAGCCGATCCAGCGCCGGGAGAAAGTCGCGTGACCTGCCGGTAAGGCGGGGCGACGCAGGGAGCTCAAGGTCGCATGACACTCCCTCAACGCCGCATTGGCTGGGATGGCTCCTAGCGTCCGCTGTGCTCGGACGGAAAGTGAAACGGAGTATAGTACGTCGCCGCTCCTTCTGCAGCCAGTCTTCTTTCCCCTAAAGGGCGCGCGGCCGACCCATCCTAAGTCCAAACCGAAACTGATAAGAGCGTAGGAAACAGCGCGCAAAACAGACTAGTACGAAGAAACACATCGCTCGTCATGTGTGGTTACGTGTGCTTCTCCGTTGTCGTCGTCTGTTTTTCGCGCTGTTTCTTGCGATGAATTCCCACCAACGCGCCCAACTATCGATTCTTCTATGATAGCTGGAAATGTTGCTTCCATCTACGAGCGATGGCGGCAACCAGACTGGTTGTGTGCTTGCCGCTGTCGCTCATACATGGCGGTAGCTGTCCAGGTAGGCTTGTGTCGACAGGCGTCTGATACCGGACACGATCCTGGGGAACCTAGTCCTTAACAGCTCCACTGTAAAAAGGATTTAAAATGTTGAATGAAACGTTTTAGTTATTCGTTAATTCGAGGGCCTTGTTATGATGAAAACTTTAAAACATTCTTTTTTTCTTGTGGCCTCTCCCCAACTTGACTTCGGGGCAAAAAACAACAAAGCCCTAACGCTTTTTATTTATTTATTTATTATTTATTTATTTTTTTATTTTTTTATTGACAAAAAGAAAAGTACTTTGTGTATTTCTCAGTCCCGACCCCCCAGATGCACCGGGGGGTCGGGACTGGGGTAAAACCGGGAAAACACTTTTCGGGAAATCCAAGGCGAGTGCAATGCACCTCCGGGCGCGTATCTTTGGCATAAATCATAAATGGCGGAGCCAGAGTATTGCTTTACTTTTCTTTTCGCCGCCAACTCCTCATTGGGGGAGAGATGGGTTTTGAAATCGGTCGTGCTGGTCGTGGACACGCGGATGACACGGCGACCAATGCAGCGCACGCAGTTCCGAGGGACCCGCGAGGCGCACGACGGCGCATGCGTGGTGAACCGCCGCCTGGCGCAGTTACCGCTGTTCCTGAAAGTGCATTGCTAGTCTCCAGCGTCCGCTTCCGAACCCAGTCAAGCTGTAACTAAAACCGTAACAAAAAAAAAAAAATTGGTTTGCTCTTTATGTTTATACAGCCTTGATGGAGATACGCCACGACGGGTAATCGGTCTCTTAAAGGGGTGTCCAAACAGGACACTACAAAACGCACGACTCCGACAAATCGTGAAAATTGAAGCGGGCTTGAAGCGGGCGCGTCCGCTTCATTTTTCACGATTTGTCGGAGTCGTGCGTTTTGTAGTGTCCTGTTTGGACACCCCTTTAGCTGTAGATGAGAAATTTAGCCAGTACCGCTAACCTGGAATTTTTAACGTGCATCACGCAGTAGTGATTACACGAACGCGTGCCGGTACGAAACTCATCCAGATCGAAACGGGCGGGGGCGGCGGGGAATCGAACCCAGGAGGTTCCCAGCGCAAGCTTTCGCTCCACGCTCCGAGCAACAACGTGTTATCGACATAATATAGTAAGGGTGCAGGGGAGCTGGTGAATGTTAACCATGTTGAATGAACTTGAGACTGGATCAGAAATGAACAAGTCGAAGGAAAAGAAAAGGACAAAACGACGTCTCAAACTCAACTCTTTTGAGACGTGGCCCTGTCCTTTTCTGTTCCTTCGACATATATGTTCATTTCTGCCCCAGTCTCAGGTTTATTCAACACTGTTATCGACGTTTCGGGGCGATGGCGGCGCTATCTCGTCCGAAATCGCTAGGTGGCGCAAGCCGCCGCCCGATTCACATGGTATCTATTGCGGTGTACGCTTTGCCGCGGTGCACGTAGGCGCTGCGGAAAAGAGAACTCAACGGGTGCTGATGACGGGGTGGCATCTCGCGAATTGGTGCGAAGTGCATATTTTGCATCTGGTACTTCTAAAAAGGGCCATGAAATGATTTTTTTAACTTTAGCTAACAAGTTCTCCGAATAAAAACATGACGCCCTGATCGAGCCTGATATCAGTTTTTGTTTAGACACACCTGTAAATGTTTTTTTTTTTTTTTTTTTTTTTTTTTTTTTTTGCGGATTTGGATTGTTTTATGTTTGGAGAGGATTATCTTTTTGCGACCGATAATCCACTTAGTTGGGATTACCGGAGGTTGTGCGCGAAGGAATCGTAAACCTCAGAAATGGCGGAATGAAAAAAATAAAACTGGAACATCCCAGATAACAAAAAAAGATTGTGTGATGTCAAAACAAAATAATGCCAGGCGGAAAAAAAAAAAAAAAGGTAATCAAGTTGAAAAATTAAAAACAACCTGTTTTTCACCTCCGTTTTATGAAACAGAGAAGTGTTTGCAACAAATATGATTTCCTCCAGCGTGTTTGGTATATTTTAAACTGCCAGCTTCAGTCTTACAGCTCTTTTCATTCCATGGATAGGGGTCGAACCTACACCTTCCACCAACAGTTAATTGGTATATTGTATTTTTTTCTACTTACCCATCATTAGAGTTTTATTTTATTTTTTTCCACGGTTACATTTTTAAGAAGTAATCATGCTGGCTTCAGAACTCCTCAAGGATTGTGTTAGAAAGTATCCCTCTAGTAAGAAAAGTATTTTTTTACGGGAAAAGTTCTTTTCGTCAAGGTGCCACCATATAAAGTCAGACTTTTTAAACTTTCAAATATATTTTGTTTTAATTTCACTTTTTGGCATCAAATCTCGGTTCGCTGGCTCCATACATAATGGAATATGTGGAGCCAGTTTATGGAGTTTTTACGCTGAAATATTTTACTTCTTTTCTGCATTGTCATGCTCTTTGTCATGCAGAAGTTGTGATTCCTGCAATTTCTAATGCATGCTAAAAAAATTTCTGGCAATTTTATCTTGTACAAAAAAATTATAACTTCTTTATTTTCTTTTCATAGTCACGTGATAATGTGTTATGCTGTGTGTATCACTAAATAAACAACAACTGGCTAATGGCATTGTCATTTCTCAATGACAGCTTTCCTCAGTGAGTGTGCAGTGTGTTATTTATTTGATGCATTTTTATGTACATTTCATCAAAAGATTAGTTCATGAACTGGGAACTTTGTGAGGCACTCTCTTATACACCAACTCATGTTTACAAACAACCCGGAGCGCCCGGAGCGCCCCTAGCGGACGCCACCGGCGCCGCGCATGCGCGATGGGGGTGTGGGCAAAAAACTCGCCGTCGCCCATAAACAAACCATTGAAATGCGATGTTGTCGGCGCCGGTGTGAGTCCCCGCGCTCTTTTTCGCGTTGGAATTGTTGATTCTACGTCCTCCTAATGATGTCTGACTACTTGAGCAGCGTCAGCGAAATTAACGAGGCTCGTTACACCGCAAAACTTCGCATGATTAATCTGATATGCGGCGATTCATTCCGCATGGACGCTGCAGAACGTACGCTAAAGCCTGATTCACATGATGAGATTTCGCTCGCAATTTTCGGTAGCGACGTCGCTCAGACTGCAAAAGCGTGAACCGTAGCTGAGATGGTCGACGTCGATACTGAAAATCGCAAGCAGAATCTAACCAAGTGAATCAGGCATAACAAGTCGGTGATGGCCAGTGGTAACAAGGATCAACATCTTCTTGTATCTACTGTCGAGCCTGCTTACCAACCTTCAAACTTAAGTCTTTTGAGGCCTGCACTTAATTCTTATCGCAAGTACCGGGCCCACGTTTGGTCTACGGGCCGGTGTCCTCTAAAAGAGCAGACGACAAGCAGAAACGTTTGAAAGAGCAGACGACAGTTCGAACGATCAGGCGACCTTTTGAACTTGAAGACGCACTGAACGTAGTTCGCAGGTGGTCCGTACAACTTGACGGTTTTCCGGCGTTCATTTTGGAACAAAACAAATAAATTTGATGGCCAGTAGTATTCGTGAATTTAACCCAAAATGCTTCCCGCCCAAGCAATCGTGGTCCTACGGCGTCTGGTTTTCCCTTTTCACTGGACATATCCGCATTCTCGGACGAACCGAGAGCATGAAAACTGACCTTCAAACCTTTCTTGACACTCTTAGTACAGCCCCAGTCGCAGCATTTTGACGAGAAGGCAAATTTTTGTCTGGTTCCTTTCAAAACAACGCAGGAATACACGTCTCAAATGGGCACTTCCGCCCACAGCCCCGGACCGGAAATGCGTCCGACGCGCCACCACCGCGCCGTGACGTAACAGAGATGAGTTCGTGTATACTGCTACGAATATGCACCGGCAAATTTCATGCAAATGAGGCAAACAGTTGGAAAGGTCTTTTCTAAACAGTGTCCTCTCTTTAGCATTTTTTTTTTCTTACTAACTATGCCAGGGGTTCTCAGACTCTTTGATCTTGAGCCTCATCTGCCTTGAATGGCAACGGATCAAACCCCTCCTGGTTTTGGCGTTGGCACGGTAAAGCAGTACAGGAGACTAGAGACCTTGTAAACAGTGACACATATAGTGGGCAATGTTTTGCTTATAGTTAGGCATCAATGAATGCCTCAGATTTGCTAAAAAAAAGTGCTTATACCGGAAGATCACTTTAGTTTGGGGGCAGACGGTCGAGGAAATTGGAGAACCCGTGAGGGTGCTCTGTGGAACCCATGAGGGTGCTTTGGGAAACCCATAGGGGAGCTCCGTGGAACCTTAGGATTTCTACAGGGTGGTTTCTAACATTTTTTGGGGCATAAAAAAATGAGTATAAATACACCATGAAACAGATCGCATTCAAACTTTTCGCAAAGGATTCCTTAGGTGGCGCATTTATCATACTTTACTTTCATGAGTGTAGGTTTAAAAAAATGTTAATCCGAAAAATTCCCTTTTTTTTCCTACTCGAAAGTAGGAAAACGGTAAAAAAACTGCATGGTTGATGCCAATCTCGCAGGATGACACAACATAAAGCAAAATCGTGAAAGCTTCTCTGAGATGAACTCTCAAAAGCAGATCAGGCGGATTTGAGCTTGTGTGTAGGAGTTCCATCTGTGAGTATGGCAGTGTCATCCTGGTGGTTTTTACAGTTTTCCTTCCTGTGTATAGGAAAAAAGCAATCTTTTGGGCTTAATTTCTGTTTTCAGATACCCACTCATGAAATTTGCACACAATAAATGCATGACCTAAAGACACCTTTGTAAAACGTTTCCTTGCACTCCCTCGTTGTTGGTTTATTTATAAAAAAAATTTTGGCACCCAAATAGCTCTTGGAAACATCCCGTAAAATTCCTGTTTGAGAACCCCCGCGAACTATGCCGGACTCATTCGTCGAAATCTCCGTGCCTCCGACAACTTCCCTCCCCTTTAACCGCCTTTCCCTTCCTCTGCAGGAGATGGTGGACGGCATCTTCAGCGTGCTGAGTGCCATCCTCTGGCTGGGCAACCTCCAGTTCCAGGACTCGGAGGACGAGAGGAGCTCGCTCACGCCGGCCGACGAGGAGATCCTCATGACGGTGGCCACTCTGCTGGGCTTCCAGCCCGAAGACCTCACCTACGTGGCGCTGCACCGCCAGATCATCGTCAGGGGAAACGTCACCGAGATTCCGCTCAAGTACCACGAGGTGGGCGGCGCTGCGAAATGGTGAAAGTACGAGCAGGGAACCGGAGAAACACGTGTCCAGCAACGAGTGCCTCTGCCACCGCAGTATTGGTGAAAAAATCCGACCACCACGCCCCGAGTGGCTAACTCTAGAACTACACTCGTGGGGACGACGACAGTGATGCAGCGTCTGGCTGGGGCCCACGTTCTCCCGTCACCCGAGGAGGGGTCTCGTTTGCGGCCGTTCCGGCCTGTCGCGTCGTGCCAACGTCACTTTGTTTATTGTGAACGCTTTTTACCTTACACCATACCCCGTGCTCTATCATAATACGACGTAAAGGTCAAAACTGAGCTCTGTAGAAAACAAACAGGACAGAGCGCCCCCTATAGTCCGATTTCCTCGCCAATATCTGCTCTACCGCACAAACGGATCTAATCCACTTTTGATGAATTGCAAAAATCTGCTTTTCGTGCTACGACACTGTAATTTGCCCCGAAGGTGAGGCTGTGTGTTGGAATCTCTCCAGCTGAAGATATTGAAGGAAACACTTGCCTCAGTCAAAAGTTCAAATAAAAACAAAAATGTAACCAAAATGCTCCAATGGCTTCTAAATGACTTTAGCTTTTTCAAAACCAAAATGATAACAAAACATTCTTGAGGGCCATTAAGACATTTGATTAGATAAAAAAGGGGAATGGCAGCAGAATTATTTTCTTTCTTACCTTTATTATTTCTGTAAAATGAAATGTGCAATTGACCCACAAGGGCATTTTTTACTTTGACCTAACTCTGTACTGAGCCATTGGAAAATTATGTTTATCTTGTTTGTAACTTCTGATCATATTTCCTTCAATACATATTTCACGAAACAAATCCACGAGCTAGCCTCACTTTCACAGTGAATTACAATGTCACGCTTGCAAAGCTGACGTTTGAGTTTTATTTAGAGTAGGTTAGATCTAGCAGACTCTTACAGTAGAGCCCAATGCAGCCTGCTTGTGGCCCTGCTTTTTGATTATGCAGCAGCCCTAAACTGTTGGTCTCCATTGCCGTGTGTGCGCCAAAGTTTTATCAAAGGCAGAAAGCTTGCACTGGAGACGCAGCATATCTACTGAGCTCTTTACATGTCACAGATTATAGATCGGGTGGGTGCTTATCGCGACTTGGATGCATGCTCGACACGTAATGGTGGTAATTGAATCCTGCCAATGATACAAAACTTTAATGTCCTGCCCCCAGGCACAGCAGAACCGTCACGCCATGGCGAAGGCCCTCTACTCGAGGACCTTTGCCTGGATCGTCAACTACATCAACATGTGCACCAGCCCTGGCAGAGACAGCAACCGCTTCCTGGGTGTCCTTGACATCTTCGGCTTTGAAAACTTCGAGGTATACAGCGCCTGGGAAGGCATGCAGCTTCCCCAACATTAAAAAAGCGCTGCTGTTTTTTTTGTTTGTTTTTCTGGATGCAGTAATAATGAGGGTATTATTTGTATTAAGGACAAAAAGAACGGAATATAGTGAGTGTTTGTGACCAGGGTGCAGTTTCATCTGTGCAACCTGCTGTGTTCCTAAAGTTTTATTTGTACCTACTATTATCCCGCAATGCATAAAAAATTAACAAAAGACATCTCTTCTTAGGAAACGGAAATTGGAAATTAGCAAATGGCGGCACCTATTATTGGGTATCCTTGGCTATCCTACTGGTGTCTGCACTCAAGTTTTTAATGAGCCGAATTCAATATTTTGATTTCACTCTCTTGCTCACATGTTTAGGGGGAAATGCACCAAACAAAATTTTTCTTAAGGACTACAGTCTACATGGCATTCTATCAGAACAGGTTCTAATATTCTCGTGCCTACGGGTAACTCCTGAAACTCTGTTTATAAAACACGATTAACTACACACTGACGTTTTCAGGTGAACAGCTTCGAGCAGCTGTGCATCAACTACACCAACGAGAAGCTGCACAAATTCTTCAATCACTATGTGTTTGCTCTGGAGCAAGAAATGGTGAGTGCCAACGTTTCTCACGGGGAAATACTGATGAATCACCCCTCGTCGAGTCCCTGGAAGCGTCTAGAGTAGGCAGTACTCCTCTTTTATTTTATTATGCTACTCGGCAAAATTGGCTTTTAGCCGAGAACCATAATGTTCCAATATGCCGAGCACAAGTTCGTCTGCTTCTTTTGCAGGCGTTGTGTTGACGTCAGAACGCGGAGCTCTGATTGGCTCTGACTGAGCGATACAACACGATGGACCTCAAAACAAGCTGCCTTGAGGTCTACCCACTTCTCTTCATTCAGAGCCAATCAGAGCTCGGCATTGTCACGTCAAAGCAACCCTGCAAAAGAAGCAGACGAACTTGCGCTTCGTGTTACATTGTACAAGTCACAACTGTGGCTCAAAATTGGGAGAAACAACTATACAACTACTGCATTTCTATGGCCTCCTGAAAGGTGCCATTAACCACCATGATGATTAGTATTATAGTTTCGCATGACAAACTTATTTGTCTTTGTGACCCCCGACATTGCAGCTATGTTTCTGAAAGTGTGGTTGTGTCATTGTCTTTCAGTACCGGCAAGAAGACATCCAGTACTCGCACATCCACTTCACGGACAACTCCGCCTGCTTGGAACTCATAGAAAAGGTATGTTTGCTCGTGCCCCTCATCACTGCAAATTACCGGCTGCTCGATTCAATGGGAGGAAGTGAGGCTCTTGAACTTTAAACCTAAAAAAGGGTTTGTATACCGCTAGACCATTAGAGTTGTGAGGCATGCTCCAAACGCCTCCCGATCGTTTCTACTCCCGACAGCCGCCCAAATGCATCCTCAAGCTCCTGGTCGAAGAATGCCGCATGCCAAAGGTTAGTTCCTACAGTTTTCTGGCACATGTATTTCATAGAACAGATATTTTCTTTTTAACGTACATACTATGGTTGCTTACAGTTTACGACAAGAATGCCGAAAAATGTATCTCGAAGCACGAAGCGTGAACGTAATGAACCACAGCCTGCGTTTCTAAAGCACAAAAGCCTTTTTGACGGAACCCCCAATCTCAAAATTTGTTTTGTCCGTCCGCACATTTCCCTGCAAATTTAGCAGAGAAATTGGCGTCGCGTGACCCAAACATCAATTCAATTTCACCGCTAAATTGGGTGGGACAATTGATGTCGCGCGACCTCTGTACCAAGTCAGTTTCCCCGCTAAATTGAACGGGGAACTTTGTAAAAATGTAGGTTTTTCATTCCCCAGAACGACTGTTTACTGATTTCTAAACAAGTTTAAACGATCGCTCCTCAAATACTGCATTTCATGCAATATAGGACTCTGAACATAAAGGTTGCTGTCAATTTTCTTTTGTAAGTTATCAGTAGCTGTAGTATGTACAATTTGTCACTGCTTCTTGTCCCTACATGGCTCTTTCTTCTTTTCTTTTCTTTCTCTTCCCTCGATCTGTTTTTAAACTACCTCTAAACCACGTCCTTGCGGCAGGGCACGGACATCAGCTTTGTGAGCAAGCTGCACCAGGAGCTGGAGAGCCACTGCTACTACGTGCGGGGCGACGACCGGCGCCGCTGGGAGCAGGAGTTTGGGATCCGCCACTACGCCGGCGCGGTGGTCTACACGACGCAGGGCTTCCTGGAGAAGAACAAGGACGTGCAGCAAGACCAGCTCTTCGAGATGATGCGCAAGTCCACCAATGCCTTCGTCAAGGACCTTGTCAAGTTCCAGGTGCGCCGTTGCTTCTCGAGCCGTTGGATGGATGGATGGATGGATGGATGTTAATGGCTATTCCCTTTGTAGCGAGCGGTAGCTTGCGCCACCTAGCCTAAGTCTAAAAAGACAAAAACGTGATTCCTCCTGCCCTTTTAAGACCAATTTTTCTCCCCCTAACTATCACCAGGCAGTGTGGGATATCGCCAGGATGACCTTCGGGGGATCGGGCCAAAAAAAACTAAAAAACATCTCCCCCCTGCCTCTTCCCCCCGGCGAGGGAGTCACCAATTTTCCTCTGGTCAAACCTTTTCGGCATTACCCCAGCATAGGACCCACTGGGAGACATTACCATGGTTGCTAACGGGATAGGAATGGCGTCTCTTTTGGATGCGTAGCCTTCGGCACGCACCCTTTGCGTTCTGCCGTTCATTTGCCCTTCATCATAGTTTTAGGCGTCAGCGAAAAAAAGTAACTGAACACGTTACTCGTTAATGCAGATAGAAGGAACACGGTACCGACCTGCATTACGTCAAAATAAAAAAGATGCGTTACCATTGCCGATAAAAAGTAATGCACGTTACTTTTAGGCTGCTTTTTATTTGTAAATTTACGGCGACAGCGTTTTTCGACTTTGGGACAAAGGGCGTGGGGGTCTTTCTGAATTGGGGCTTTTTCTGTGGGAAAAAGAGAGGGTAAAATTTGGAGGGTATGTGTGATGAGCTTAAGAATTCGTAACTTGGAGCCTAGAAACACGAAAAAAAATTTAAGCGCAATTCTTTTCGTCAAGTTTCGGAAAGAAGACGTAATGAGTGATGTAGCACGTTGCCCCTTACTTGAAATAAGTAACCATAAGTAGGTTACCCGGCACTTTTTTTTAAGTGTAATGAGCATGTGACTACATCGCCGATGAAAGTAATGCATTACCAGTTTACGTCGTAATACTTGTAACGCGTGACCGCCAACACTGCTGTGCAATCACTCTCAAAGCACACGAGACGCCGAAGCTTTATTAAAGGAAGGAAGCTCGTGTGGAGGCAAGTGGGACAACCAAAAGACCTCCCTGCCGTTCTCGCTCTGTCAGTGTCTATACGGGGCCTTTCCGAGCGCCCCGTATGAAATTGTACGAAACTAACCAACGAATTGAGTGCAATGAAACTTTTCACAAGGGTGCCTTTAGGCGGTGCATTTATCATACTCAAATTTCGTGAATAGATTTTAGGAAAGAAAGTTCAAGCCTAAAACATTTATTTTTTTCCCCTACGCACGAGGAGGAAAACGGCTAAAACCGTCTGGTGGATGCCACCGCTCACAGATGGCACAAAATACACAAAAAACGTGAAAGCTTCTTTTGAGATGAACACCCGAAAGCAGATCCAGCGGATCCTCTGACGGTTTTTACCGTTTTCATCCCTGTGCCTATGGAAAAAACAGCTCTTTTTGGGCTTAAATTTTTAAGTGCCTTTATAAAACACTGTTATGAAACATCTTTATGAAAGGGTTAAATTAACTCTGTTCATTTGTTTATTTATACAAGTATTGTTATGCCCAAATATAGCACTCATGAGTACCCTGTCTAGATGCTGTCAGTTGGCTAACTCTCATTAGCACTTCCTTGCTGAAAGGGAGTTTCCCCCCTCCTCTAATGTTCGTTAGGAACTTATTGAAGCACCAGCTGTCACGGATGTTGCGGCCGCTTTCTGAACTGTTGTTGTAGCTGAGACACGTTGCAGTGTGCCAAAAGACGGAGTTTCGGTCAGCTGAGGACGAGCGGTGAGGGAGAGGGGAACCTGTGTCCAGGGACGCCGGAACCGGGGGGTAGCGGGGGGGGGGGGCCGGAGCCCCACCCAAGTATACTTATGTGGGGGCTCGGCCCCGCTATAAGAAGGCTTGGAAGGAAGGGAGACGCCAGGTGCTTGTCACATCCACCAGGCACTCGTCACACGACGTAGTGAAAGGAAGAGAGGAACCCGCATTGGTAGTAACCGAAACTCGGATTGCAATATCTGCAAAAAATGTTTAGTACATAAATAATAAATGAAACATCAAAAACTAACTTTGCTTCAGCCCCCCCACTGAAAATATACTTCTGGCATCACTGCCTGCGTTGCAGTGACAGTTGAGCAACTGCGTCGATTGTGAAACGTCGTTTTGCAATCTAGCAGTGGGAACCCGAGAAATGGCTTTGGCGCGCAGAAACTCTCCAAAAACAATAAAAAAAATATTGTTTGCAGTCCTGAAGAACGGCAGTTAAGTTAAAGCAGCAGATGTATTCTTGTCTGGTTGAGGCTGGAGTTAAAGAAAGAGAGAGTCTCGTCTTTATTCCAAGATGTTGTCAGTAACATAGTCTATGGGTACCCGAGGGCCTTGACATGCTGAGCGCCAAAAGTGAAGTCCCCTAGCGTTGCCCCGTGCAATCACACTTGTGGCGAACCTGGTGGCGCCATCTGGACGCGGTGCCGCTCACGACAGTCCCGCTAACTGCGCTGTAGGATCTCCTGGAGGTGACCCTGTCCCGACTGGCAGCTGGTGGCACCACAATGACGAAGACAATGAACAAGAGCAAGCCCACCGTGGCAGACGCCTTCAGGCACCAACTCACGGCCCTGGTTGAACTGCTGCACTCCACCGTGCCATGGTGAGGGGTGGGACAATGCGGGCAGACAAACAGAGTCCCATAGCAGAGAGTTTCGCGTTTTGAAGCTGTGCCGTAAGTGGTGACGCGAGTCGTAGTACATTCAGAAACAAAACAAACATGATGTTTTCCAACTCGTGCACTGAGTGTGATTATTAAATTACCTTAAAATACAGGGTAAGCGGTCACTCAAAATCGGGAGATAATCTTTAACAACTAGGGGTGGGACGCTCGTTAAGTTCAAGAGCAAAAATGCAAAAGGAGGAATGGTAGGGTGGGCTTCACCACTTTGCACTGGGGTGCTTGGAGAAGTGGCTGCTTGGTTAGCTATAGTCGGTGACAGGTCAAGAAGGAAGTGGAAGCCCCTCCCACCTCTTTCCACTTTAATGGAGCGAACGCTGGAGAGGAGGCGACCTCCTTTCCACCGTTCGCTCCACTGAAGTGAAAAGGGGTGGGAGGAGATTCCACTTTGTTCTTGACCTGTCACCGACTATAGGTGGTCTCAGAAGTCTGGGGTGGGCACTTGAGATGTCCCTCGCTAGTTTTCAAACATTTAAAAAATAGCAGCTGTGCGCTTATTGGGACCTGGGCACATGCTCGGTATTTTATGGTAGTGGTGAATTTTGGCGGTACTTAACAGAGAGCATATGGTGCCTCAACATGATCTGCCAGAAGGGGTGCTTGAGGCTTGTCTTAAATTAATGAGGTTCGATCGAGAGTGTTTGTTCAGACCTAATGCCACTCTGTATCTTCGCAAGGTATGTGAGGTGCATCAAGCCCAACACCCACAAGACGGCCAACAACTACGACAACGAGCAAGTCCTCACCCAGCTGAGGTACCTCGGCATGTTGGACATCATCCGAATCCGACAACAGGCGAGTGTTTCTCATTTCAGAGTCTCGCCTCATCCCTGTCTCTCGTGGCGTGATTTAGACTAGCATCAGTGCTAACTTAGATGTTCTACAACCCACCTTTATGTTGACTTTCTCTGCAGTCTCTCTGCTTCAGTGAGCAGTAATATAATCTATGACGTTGTCAGCAACTTTGGACATCTTTTTGATTCAGATGCATGGTCACATAATTTTTCTACAAGAGTAAGAGGAAAAGGCTGGAAGTGGGGAGGGGTGTTTCTAAAGGCTGTTAGCGATGAAGTGATTGGATATGGCGAGGTGGAACCGGCTGGAACTACCTCCCCACCGCCACCACCTCGAACACGGACACCGACTTTTTCCAAAACTGCCATTGCTAGTCTATTTATTTACCCTAAAAACCCTTTCCGGCATTACACGGGGGGAGGGGGGGAATCATAGCCAAAGGTAGTGCATTTAGTGACAAAAAAATGATGACGTTGGCGCAACATATAACAAAAAAACTAAAAAAATGCTTACAGAAAACTAGGTAAGCAAAAACTATGTACATTGTTATACATTGGTTAGAGCATTGGTAAACATGTGTATACATTTCATATAATCCTTCCAATGTGTTAATTTTTGTTGCTATTGCTTTAACTCCTTTCTGGAATGCTTAGGCCTTGAGAGTACATAAATAAACATTGTGACGGACGCTGCTTGTGTTCGTTCTTATGTTCTTGGTCGCGAGTGAAACCAGGCTGGTACCTCTGCAGGGCTACCCGATCCACAGCGGCATCGACGACTTCCTGAGGCGGTACCGGTGCCTTGTGCGGCATTTGGTCGTTTTGCCGCCCGACCCCTTGAAGGGCTGCAGGCTGATTCTGGAGAAACTACAGATGCCAAAGATAGAGTGGCAGATTGGCAAAACCAAGGTGGGCTCCCAGACATACTGTTTGGGAAACGTTTATGATGCATTTCATTTAGGGAACATTGCAGCATTGTGCAAAAACTTGGAGGACGCTTAAGCTTCACCTTTGAAAGGGGAACGTGAGAGGGTTGTCGGGCCCCGTTCATAACCGCCTTCTCATTCGCTTCTCATGCTCTTCCTGCAGTGAGCAGGAAGTGTGGCGGACATGGTCTTGTCAGTAGCGTGTCTGGCTTGCAATTGAAGGGTCGTGGGTTTGAACACCGCCTAGAATTCTTCAAATTTTTCTTTAAGAAACAGTCTGGTTGGGACATGCGTGTTGGCAAATTAATTTTGTGCAAAACAAATTTTTTTTAGAGCAATATTGACGGCGCAAGATTTTTTTTTAAAATTCTGCGTGCAAAGTCTATGACGCCACGGAATGGTCATATACTTTTTCCACCTCATCAGATAGTCATATGCTCTCTCCACCTCAATATGATGGCCAAGCCGATCCACCTCTTCTCCTTGTGCCCGAAATGCTGACAGAGAAAGCAAGTGGAAAGGAGGTGACTACCAACTAAATAACATCTCTCGCATACTCTAAAAGAATTTTTTTTTGCATAAAATTAATTTTTTGACACGCGTGTCCAAACTAGATTTTAGTTTTTTTTTCTTTTCAGGGTTTTTTAAGGCCAGTCAATTACTTTATATAGTGAAATCATTGGAGACAAGTGGCAACCTTTAATTTGCATTACATGTCATGTTTTAATCACTTTAATTTCACACGTGACATCACGTGAGCGTGAGCGTAGTGGTTTGCTTGAAATTCCTACACAAAGTCATATGACTGACGTCATGACCCTATCGACCAATCAGGATTTCCCTGTCACAATGCTACTGGCGCAAATGTCGGATTTTTTGTTACACAAGCTTCTTAATGCTGTCGCGTTAATATTCAAAATTTCGAATAGTAATTTTTAATAATACACTATTCGATGTTCGCTGGGAGATCAATTGCGAGATTCAAACTTTTCCAAATGTTGGTCGCGGCGGGTTAGCCCCGTTGAGTGCGCTTCTTACCGAGCACTAGTGCACTGCGGAGAAGCAACACCTGCGGAAGCGTGCTTCGCGGGGTTGCTTCTCTGCAGTGCACCAGTGCTCGGTAAGAAGCACACTTAACGGGTTAACCCACCGCGCTCAACATTTGGAAAAGTTTGAATCTCGCAGTGGTGTGTTTAGGAGAAAAGCATACATTCAAAGCAGGATGGTGCACACGTGCACCTGGTGTATTTAGAAAGAAATGGGAACTTTGTGAATGTTGATATTTACACTGCAGTAAAATTTTCACAATTAAACTGTTGCTGGTATGCAAGAGTATATGTTAGGCAGAGATGTGCAACAACCTGGTTTCATCATTTGTGATTGTTTGTTAGAGCGCAGCTTTTAGGCGGTCGTTTTTGAGTTGAGCGGCGTCGCCGTCGGCTTCGGCATTACAGCGCGTTGCATTATGGGACAATTTTCCTAATGACGTCACATGTGACGTTACGTGTGACATCATGAGGGTAACATTTTTCTGCTAAATTTTGTGGGAAAATTTTTTGCTAAATTTGGCAGGGAATAAATTTAGCGGGGCATTTTCCATAATGATGTCACATATGACATCGCACGTGAATTTTCACGTCACGTTTGACGTCACACGGGGCCAAATTTTTCCACTAAATTTGGTGGGAAAGTTTTTCACTAACTTTAGCAGGACGTTTCCCATAATGACATCACGTCTGACGTCAAATGACGTCACACATGAATTTTCGCGTCTAGTGGGATGTCACATGTAATTGACGTGTAATGTCACATGTTAATTTAACAGGAAAAGTTTCCCGCTCAATTTAGCGGGAAATTTTCACGCTAAATTTAGCAGGGAAATTTTCGCAAAATTTAGCGAAAATTTTCCACTCAATGGGAGGGGATCAGGAGAGGAGGATGGGAGGGTAAGGAGGAGGGGGAGGGGCATACCCTCCCATTTGTACACTTCCCTCCTCCTCAGGAGCTGCGCTTTAATTCGGGATTGCAGAGAATTGTAAATGTCTTTAGTTTTTGAATGCATTAGCATTAGTACGTGCATGAAAGCGAAAAGCTGATGCCGTTCGTCTGCAGGCAAAACAGAGGAAAGGTAAGTGTGCCGGAGAGTAGTGAAGAACAGGGGCGAGAGGGAGGCAACGTCACAAGGCGGAAGCCAATGCATGCGTGGGAAACCGGTGCGCAGCAAAAGCAGTGTCGGGCAGCGGACACCTCTGCTAAGCGTGAAAGGCGGGCGAGCGATACAGGGGAGTGGAAGCAGTGTCTAGCTCAGCTGGGCAAAATGCAGTGCAACAAGGGGCAAGCCAACGTGGGTTTGCATGCAACAAAAACTGGGAAAAATTAAAGGAAGATTCATTGATGGATTTTGGGGAAATGCATTAGCGTGACCCTTGGGGAACGCCACAACCGTCCCCCTTTGGGAAGCGCTAACACACCCCGTAATGAGGCCAAAAAGAGGCGGCAAGAAATAGAGGAAGCAAAAGAGAAAGCCAAAGCAGAAAAGTGAAGGGCTCAGCGTTAGTGTTTCCAAAAGGGGGGCGTGTGTGGCATTTCCCAAGGGTCATGCTAATGCAATCTCTATGAAACCTCCAATGGATCTTCCTTTATTTTTATTTTTTTAAATTCAAGATTGAAGAAAGAATAATTGCATAATTTAGTGAGGTTTGTAAATCCACTTAATTAAGCATAGCTGGGCATCTCTATCATTTTAATTTTATGTCTAATCCGTCGTTGAGTTGCTAAATCAAGGCATAGAACTTTCTGAGATCACAGTCCATAAATGGATTAAAACTAGTTTTTAAATTGACAAATGGAAGCTTGGGAACAACATTCACAAGCTGAGCTGGGTTTTTGTTTAAGCATGGTGCAACAGTAGGGAAAGGCTTGGAGAAACTATGCAATATTCAGTTAGAAAATATTCAGGCAAAACCACTAGTCATTTCGAATTCGCTTCAAACTCAAAATCTGCTATTCGCACATGACTGATTGTTTCTGTGGAAGAGGGTGTACCTTAGCGGTCACCCATCTTTGGTGGCTGCTGTTGCAACTATTTAGCAGTCATTTTTTAACACCTCGGTGATTACCCAACCCAGGATAGGCAATGTAGGGACTGTCACTTTGCCAAGTAGCAGGATATTAAGTTTAGGGTGTTAAGTGTTGTGCATTGCTTAGAACAAAATTTTTTTGCAGCATACTACAATTCATTCAGTGATACGTTTGACAAAGTTATGTTGTTACGTAATCACACATTTTTGCTGTCTGCCGTTGGAAACTAGCCAGTCATTTTTTAACACTTTGGCATCTCCCTAGCTCAGGATAGCTAGTCTAGCCAGTCTAAAATGTTATTTTGTATGCGGCATACTATAGCACAATTTATGCAATGTTAAATTTTGAAAAACTCATACTATTTATGGAACACACCCTACATAAAATACATAATGTTTTTAAGAAACACGCAATTTATTGAGTCATGGTGTTCTTCTAGACTTCACGTTGCCAGCTTTTTGATAACAGAGAGCATCTGTGCTTGTATGTTCAGGTTCTTAACTTTTTGTTACCTTCTTCCGTGTCTCCCAGGTGTTTCTAAGAAGTTCCGTGTACGATCCCCTCGAAGAGGCACGGAGAAAACTGCTGCGTGAAATGTCGCTCATCATACAGAAAGTCTGGAGAGGTTGGAGGCAACGCAAGAGTAAGTTGGGGTGGACCCATTTCAGTGCCTGCACGGGTAGGCAATGAAACGTGCCATTAGCACATTATTGTCATTCGCTATTGAGGCGAGAATAATGTATTGTCTGTGAGCAATAAGACACTTTGTTTCATCTTCACAATAAAGAAGTGTAGGCAAAGATGTAGAAGCTAATTTTAGCGACCATAATGATAACTGAGGGGGCGATTTTACATTTTCTTACTCACTTGCCTTGTAAGGATATGTAATAGAGTCATCCTTATTAGGGAGGACAGCCCCAGCTTAGCACACTTCCATTAATAAGTGCTGACATGTTTTGTGACCCCGTTTTTTTCTCGACAGTTTTCCTGAGAGAGCGGTGGGCAGCCATCCGGATCCAGCAACACTTCCGTGGACATCGGCAGATGATCCGATTCCTGCGGATGCGCCGTGCTGCCATCACCATTCAGGTAGCCATTTGGCAAACTGATAGCTGGCTTTCTGCTTTGCTGCGCAGCACAGCAGTGAAAGTTACTTGCAGTTTTCTAAATATGCAGGCTGGTGGCTATGGCTAATGCGTTAATGGATGCTAGAAATTTTGTATGGATGCTTTAAATAATTTTGCAGGATATCTTTTTTTTTTTTACATATTGGAGTGATAAAAGTTTTTTTGAAATTGTAGTCAATCTAAAAGAGCACCTCTTTTGCTGCAAAGTTTACAGTACAATAGCGGTTGGTGGCACATGGTATTGTGTCGGTTATTTCAGAAACCTTCCGGTTTGTTCCGCTCATATTAGGAAATGTGCTCTCGTCTGTGCAGGTCCAGCTTTCATGGAATATAAATTTCATATACTCATGTTCACATTTTGATTTTGTGCTCTCAGAAATGATTCCCTTTTTTAAATGAATGCACCCTACAAAAAGTTTTTTTTACTTCACAGCCTCGTATATATCACAACCTCTTGGATAATTTATCAACTGCTCATCATGGCACAGACAGATGTCCATACCATATAAATTATACAATTTGAATGTTGATGCTATAATTTTCATGCAAATGGGAGTCAAGAAACTATAAAAACAAACACTGATTTAATGAAATCAACAAAAGGAGCAGCAGGGGCGAATGTTGGTGCACTAAAGTTTGGTTGTTGAAGTTGGTGGCGTAAGGCACTGAGGTTAATGCACTGAGGTTAATGCACTAAAGTTGTTGCACTAAAGTTGGGGCACTGAAGTTGATGCACTCAGGTTGGGGTGCCAAACTTAAAGTGTCAAAGTGTGGGCACCCAAGTTGAGGCAAAGTTGGTGCAACTCTTTTCTCTAGGCCTACGTTCAAGGCACATTCGCCCGCAAAGTGGCAGCTGCCCTGCGGCAGATGCGCCAAAGTGTGGGCACCCAAGTTGAGGCAAAGTTGGTGCAACTCTTTTCTCTAGGCCTACGTTCGAGGCACATTCGCCCGCGAAGTGGCGGCTGCCCTGCGGCAGATGCGCCGTGTTGAGGCGGAGATGCGTCGCAAGGAAGAGGAGGAAGAGGAACGCCTGAGGGTGGAGGCCGAGAGGGCAGAGGCCCAGGACGCCGCAGATGCACGTGACGTTGCCTCCGCAGAGGACCTCATGCGGTATGCCATCTTGCAACTTGTCCGTTGTTTCCTTTTTGCTGCCCTTTCAGGTCTGTGTCTTTGGGTTCCTGACAAAGGTTTAGGGTTTTATACGAATTCTTCGGGAGCATGTCGGTGGGAGTTGGGAAAAAAAAGATGCAATATACATAAAACAAGCGACAACACGAGCACATCTTTCTACTAGCGGCAGACATAATAGTAGGGTAAATAGCAGCAAACATGATTATGTTTTATGCTAATTAAAAGACGTGCCTGTGTCACCTGTTGTTTTACGTGTGTTTTTTTTCCTGAAACAATAACTTGCAAATTGAGTATACACTGCTCCTTGTTATATTATGTATAGACCCGTAGGAATTACTTATTAGAAATGGAGAGACTAGTAATCTATGGCAGAGGACCAGGACTTTGAGATGGCACTGCATAAAATACCTGACACAGTTTGTAATGCACTCTTTTATTTGGTAATTTCTTTGGTATTTTCATCTTATTAAAGTGTCTGTATTAATATTATCTGCATTCTACAACTTCGTTTTTCTATTTTCGTGTCTTTGCTTTGTGTGTTTACTACAAAGAGGTACTGCATGCATTAGATGTAACTATAGGAGTGCCCCCTGTGTCTGGGCAACGGTGTTCAACTTTTCTTATTAAATTTACTGTGATTTTTATATTACATTACATAGAAATCTTCCTGACTTCCTCGAGTCCAATAAAGAGTGTGTAATATTGTGTAACGACAAAAAATCTTTTACGCAGAGCACCAAGATACCCCATTTACAAACTCTGATGCGAGGTGGACGCAGCAGGCAGAAAAGGGCTCTTGTACAATCTTTTGATTATTTTACCGACTGTATGTTTTAATCGAAACGGAGCCAACAAACATCACGTCTCTACCGACTTTTAAAACAGATTACCTTAACGAATGACTAGTCTCCCAAATGCCACGTAAAATGTCAGCTGTTAGCTACTGCCATCGGCATCTAGCTGTGTAAAAGGGATTCTAGACAGATGCAGTAAACTATACCTGAAAAACACTCGCATCTTACGGTGTTTGCTTTCTTTGACCCAGCGTACAAACGAGGCAGGAATATGGGTAAGTGGGCTTTTGGCAGTAGGACCCATCTGCATTTTGTTTTGCGGATCGCTTGCTGGGCATCTTGTCCTACGAGTTTAACTCTTGTCAGGTGCCGGCACTTAGAATTCTCAGCATACTCTCTTTAAAGTGACATTGTTTCGAGGCTATTTTCGCAGTTGTGTACAATTGAGGTCATGAGGAAAAATTTTAATGTGGCCTCCCACGGTATTCGGGGTAAATAAATACTTACGTTCTATAAACAGGATGTGGTCGTAAGGACTGGCACGTTTGTCACTGCTCACAAAATTCTAATTCTAATCTTACATACTTGAAACTGGGCGTGCAAACATCGTTTTACACAAAAGCTTTATGTCTATTTTTTTAGAGCTGAACTACGAACTAGTGAAGTACTAAAAATTGTGCAAAAACGGTGACTGTGCATTTTCTATGTTCTACATCGAATGTCTGTTGTTTGCACACTGGTCTGTGAGCTTGCTCTCAGTTGTGATCATTGTTTGTATATTTCATTAAAATTATTACTTATCACAATTATCCTGCTTGTTGCCAGCCTTTACTGGGCATTCTTGGCTTTTGTGCATTCTGCACGCCACCCAGGCTCAGCAAGCTTAAAAACCAGTGACCAAATGACGAACAGGCTGGTATATGACATAGAAAATACACTGTCGCCATTTTTGCTTTATTTTTAATATTTCTCCACCTCTGAGTTCAACTCTAAAAAAATTAGACATCCAACTTCTCATAAAACAATGTTTGTGTGCCCTGTTTCAGGTGTCTACGCTTGGAATTCTAATTTAGCAAGGCGTGCCAAATGTGCTAATCCCTACGGCCGCACCCTGTTCATAAGCGGCGGTTGAATAAATTGCCTGACAATTATGGCCGCAACTTTGATTGAACATTGTCTGAAAAAAGTGGCTTTCATCTAAAATGTTGCTTCCCCTCGTATCACCGGTGTGTGGCAGGAGAACGTCGCACCGACGCTGTCAAGTTCGGTGTGACGTTTGTTCAACGGTTGCAATTTGGCTTCCCCAAATTGGAAGCATGTCACCAAATTGTACATGCCAAATCGCAAGTGTCACACCAGTCTATTGCTAATCCTACCAGTCTTGTTTAGTTGATTTGTCCAAAAACGAGTTGACCAAACTAGTCACTGTCCCATGGCATCCAGTGACGACATGGCTGGCTTGCTCAACTGCGAAAGGACAGTTTTGAGCTGACAGGATGCCCTTGCAAGCGAAACGCATAACGAGGTGTAGTCTCATGCACCCTTTGCACCATTCACTCATTGGTCATGCCATCGCTCACACCCCGATTCTCATTTTTGCTTATCATCCCTTATGCTCACACCCCGATTCACGTTTTTGCTTATCATCCCTTCTGCTTTATGTTCATCAGTGTCACCGATTGTCGCTTTTGTGGTGTCATGGAACACACTATGATCACTTGGCAACTTTATTCTACTCACGTTGACTTCCAAGAACTTTTTTCTTCCTGGGAAAGAGAGAATTTTGGGCTTTCTTTTTGATGAAATTGGGTTTGGATAAATGTGACAAATTATCAGTATTCTACACAGGTCTGGAGGGATAATGCAGAAAAGATGTAACTGTCACACTTTCAAAAATATAAAAAGTTTTAAAGTGGATCCAGGAGAGGTTTGACCAAGACATGCAGCATTGTACTGTGTTTGCAAGTTCCCGAACTAAGTGCAAATCTGTATAGTTTATAGGTTTGTTAATTCATTGGCCGAAATTTCATAGATTCTTTTTGTGGAGGTATCTACCTGTGAACAGTGCTCATCAGGCCATTTTTTACATCTTTGTTTTGAGAAAAATGAATTCTTAAAGGTACATTATTTCTGTGACTTGTGACCCTCAGTTTTTTGTGAACTCTAGGTTGTTAGTCACTTCATAATCTGAGCTTCCTGACTTAACTGTGGTCCACTTTTACCCAAAAAATGCCATAGGGAACTGGACGAATGTTTGAGAACCTCCTCCAATGAGAGAAAAATATCAGTTCATTTTCATGGGTGAAAATGTGTCGGCCACATTTCTTTACCTTTTATTGCGTTAAAAAGATAGGATTTCCAGGATAGACCAAATCTTAATACACAGTTCATACCACACCATATAATTGGTAGTTTTTCTGTTTTGTGCTGAAATCGATGGGAATATTAGTGAGAAGTGTTACCTTCATATATTGGATTTTTTTTTTCTTGTATTGGTCTGCAAACCCAGAACCCATGGTATATAATTAGCGGATGAAGGAAAAAAAATTAACAGCAGGTAAACATTTGGCTGGAGAAAGTAGAGTGAATGTTAAAATCTTTGGCCTGTCCTGGAACCCTGGAAATCATGCCCCTCACTCCTCATCCTTCATTTATCAGCTGGAGCGTAGAACATTGCACGTTTGGCATCCTGCGAGGGGATGACTTAGGACACAGGAGATTTAAATGTAGAATATCTGTAAGGGTTGAGATCCCCGACGACGGTGTGACGTGACATCCCGAAAAACCTCACACCACAAAAGACTGTCATGAACAACTGTCACAAAAATGGCGAGGCATAAATCTCGCTAGGTTTCGTGTTCATCTGATGTCGTCAGCATGATGGTCATCACATGACACCGTGACTTCGCATGACATTGGGACATCAACTGACATTATGACATCACATGAACTGACATCATGTAGCATGACATGGCCACGTGAGATCCTAAGGTCATGTCACATGACATGGTAATGGGCTTAGCTGTGCTTTTATGTGACCTCAAGTCATGTGGCACAGTGTTTGTGTTGCTCTTACCCAGCTCAGCTCAAAACGCTATCTATTTCCAGACTTTATTTGTAAGATAAAGGTGTACATTAATTCCTCTTTGCCGCGGCATGCCTAGGACGGCCAAGGAGGAGCTGGCGGCCATCTCCACCCTGGTCGAGAAGAGTGTGCTCCGACGCATTCCGGCGGGCTCTGGCGGCGCGGGGGAGCCCGCCCCTCAGGCGGAGTGCCTGGACCTGGACGAGATGTTCTCGTTCCTGAGTGAGGTGAACGACCCCCACGCTCAGGCACAGGAGTTCGTGACCGGCATCACCCAGGAGGTCGACTCCATCATGCAGGAGGCCGAGGCACACGAGGTGCTCACTTGTCTCTCTCTCTGCGCTTTAAACATGCTGTGCTTTATGACAGAACCCCCTACTCCTTGAGATTTGTCCATCTGTCTGTGCATATACCTTATGACAATTAACGCATGTCAGAACAACTGGTCAGTTGGTTGTCGTTGGGTGTCAAGTGGTGGCATAACCTGGCATCCTGTTATGTGAGTACATCGCATTGATGTCACGTGACACTTTGAGTGAATACTGTGACATTGAATGACCTCGTCGTGCAACGTCAGTGTCACGTGAAGTGACATCACATGACACATCACTCGACACCGTAACATTAGCGTTCTCGCTTACCACCCCCATACCTTCGAGCTCCCCATGACACAAAAATTCTCGGCGTCCCCGCAGGCGTGCTCGCTGGCCTCGACGGACCTCTCTGCATCGACGGGCGACCTGCACCACATGCACCAGGAAGGCGACGTGGACGTGGCGATGAGCCCGAGCCCCGTGGTGTCTCCCTCTCCGCCGCCGCCGCCCTCCCCCAGCTTCATCCCGGGCCGCAGGCCTCGCAGCCCGGCCCTGGCAACGCCCCTGGCAGAGCTCAACGGACCTTCGATGGAGGTGGGCCCCCTCGACTCCCACCAGAAAGAACAGGAGTACAGAATCAAACCTCGAAATATCCTCGCAACGTTTCGAAACGGGTGAAATATGACCCATGATATCCGTAAATGATAATCACATTCTTGTATTTTCAACAAATAGCTATATATTTTAATGCGAAATCATTAACTGGTCCCATGGAGTGAAGCCGCCGTTGTCTAGCAGCGGGACGGTACCTAAATTCCCATTGGCTGCTACGCATCATGTGGCTTCATAGCAACGGCGTCATTGTTGCAAAGGAGGCAGCCGAACTGCTGGCGGCGCAAGGGGAGGGGAAATTCGGGTATGCACCGGCCTGACATTAGGCAAACATTAGGCCTAACGTTAGGCCGATTGTTACGCTTTGAGGTCTAACGTCGTCAACCAGTATGCGCAGTGTTTGACGTGAGGGGGGACGTGGGTATGCGCTGGCTCGTTGTTAGGCCTAACATTACGCTTTGAGGTGTAACGTCGGCCGGTACCCGCAGATAGGGCGATGATGATGATGAAAGGACACACGATTTCAGCATGCACCGTGCCGAGTTCTGCACTTCCGCCGCTGCCTCACCCAGTGGCACGACAGTGACCAGCGAGCCAGGGCGGTCTGCGTGTTGCACCGCCACACTCCCTGCTGGGACTGTGGCCGTTTCTGCTCGTCTTGGCGCCGAGAATGCTTTCACTGTAACAACTCGTAAGAAGTGCTGATGTGCCCTCAAAATATTTTTCGTTCCAACTGACAGATTCTAGTGAGCGCTTCAACATCAGCCATTGAGGCGGCGCAATGTGTCTCGGGATAATTTCCCCTGACGTCTCGCTGACTATGTCACGGTCCCATGAACGGCGAAGGGTACCGTAATTACGATCGTCGTCACTAGGTGGCACCAGCTTTATCATCAATGCATATTACAATCCTGCCAAGTGGGAATACCCCAGGTATGGTATACCAGAACTGAGAGGTGCCAGCGCCGCTCATCCCTGGGCACCTCTGTTGGAAACACCGAGTTGTGGCGCTGCTACTAGTGGGATCGTGACGTCAGACGTTGCAGCAATGCTCGACCCCTTGACTACTAGGTGGTACTGAGAAATCGTTTTATTCGTTTCGAAACTGCTTTTCTTGTGTTTAGGGACGAAAGACTGGTGTTTCTGAGTTGCTATTGTAAAAGAGACAGTGTCTACACAAAGAAATAGGCGCTAAAATTTCGCTTCCATACCCATTTAACGATCGCAACCTTCGCCTTACCAACTGAGGGACATAGCGCTTTTGGTACACGAAATGGTATTTTACTTGAGTGCCTCAGCATCCTATGTCAAAAATGCGCTTTGAAAGGGACAGTTGCCACAGAGTTGGCGAGCTGCCAAGTTGATATTGCCTCTCGGTCCAGCTGCATTGTGACTACGGTGTCTGGAATGTGCCTCTGACCGGTGCATTTTATTCCTCCCACGCATCTAAAGCGGTCTCGAAGTGGCAACAAATAGCGTCACAAAAGCCAGCGTCGCACCATCAGACGTCCCAGTCCCGGTGGTTGGGCGTAGGAGTTCCAGGAAAAAAAGCGCGTAAGAATGCAAGCATCGCCGTCGTCGCAGCACCCTGGCTCCTGGCTGCAGAGTCTTCTGTGGATTGTTAAGCTGGAGAGCGACCTGGAGCAGAGCAGGCATCTGCTACATGCACCACCGCTGCCATGACGCCACCAGGATCCAATTGCTGACACTTTTACGACCGCATCAAACGGAAACCAAGGGGCCACTTTTTCGGACGATTCAAACACAGCATTCGAAGACACGTTCCGGGCACCTTAGTCGTGGCATGTTGGCATGGCGTCTTTGTGAAAAAATAGTGATAACAAAAAAAAGGAATGGGAGTGGGAGAGGATGATGAGGCCGGCTAGAGCAAGGCACGTGTCAACGCTCCTCTAGCTGCAGCTGCGTCGCACGCAGTGCAGGTGATGCTCGTGTCCTAGCTCGGTGTGGCGGCGACGTTTTTAATGGTTACAACGTCTTTTTTAAGTAAACCGGATTATAATTAGGAACGTTTACGGCACTTGCATTTGATAGCGTAGGTGCAACGCTTCTCCCGCTGCAGCGGTGCCCTGCGGGAAAGCGGCCTGACAAAACTTCATGCGCTTCAACGGCATAGTTGCTCCTTATAGACGGATAGAAGTGTGAGCAGAGAGAATTTGGAACAACACGTTGGTGCTTTTTGAGGTGGAGCTTGATAACCATAGTAATGGACAGGAGATGCAAAACACAAGGATTAAGACAGGTCTGTTGTTCTGTACAGTTGTGAGCAGCATAGCACATTGAACCCAAGATGTGGTACAGGCATACCAAAGTAGTTTGAGCGATCGAACCCACGTGGGCCTTCTGGTGAGCCGCCCATTTTGCGGTGCTCGAGTGCTTTTCGTAAGAGCCTACAACTCTGGGGTAGTCTCATAGAAATCGGGAAGTTTGTGGGCCGCCCTTCTCCTGTGGCTAATTTACGCAGTTGCTTGCATCTGTCTACACAGTCCCCTCTAGCTCTGTGGTGTGTGTGTCGGTGAAAGTATTTTGGTACACTGGTAACTCGAAGAATTCTTAATCTTGGTATCTTTCTTGGAAGCTTGCTACGTCCTGAATTCCTACCGGTCGGGGTTGGTTTCAGGATCCCGGCGTGCGGCTGAGGCGCCCCAATCAACGGCGGCAGCCTGCAAGCCAGACAGAGTCCGAAGATGCCGAAAGGGAGCTCAGGTATGAGCTGCACTTTGAATTGCGCATAGGAAGATGAGAGTTACATGGAGTTTTTCTACATGCACTACTCTCACAAGTAAGCTTAAACTGACTAGTAGTTATTTTACGAAATTCTTCCTGTTCTTTGTTGATGTCATAGCCACTTTTTCTTTTTTGATCTGTCCTTTTTTACTACTCTGCGTGCTGGATTCAATATGCATTTTTAATTATTATTGATTTGGGTTATTATTTATTTGTATTACTATTATTTATTATTACTTATTATTATTTATTATTAATATTAATATTGACTCGTATTTATTTATTATTTTTATTATTAAAATATATGATCATTACAATATTACTTATTAATTATAAAAACAATTAAAAAAAATACAAAAAGGAATATTGGCAAGGCTCTTGTAAGTTGATTATTTCCTGAATATAGTGTACGGATTCATGCTCTGGACGATTATTTCGTTTGATGCACACAGTTCTACACCGTGATGGAGCAGCAGAGCAAAGACTCCACCCCATCTGCTTGCTAAAATTGTGTAAATTGCTTTACGCAATGTTCTGGGCAGTACTCCACAAATTTACTCAACAAAAATTTATGTCTCTTTCCCAGATCTTTGGGAAACTCAACAAACTTTTTTAACCCTGCTATAAACCCTAGAATCTATCTGTGTGGAGGCTTCACTAACTGACTTTCATGTTATGCATTCTAAAAAGTTATTTATTTTTTTTTTGCAAGACTGGTCTAGTAGGATTATCATGAGATTGCACAATTTGGCCGTGTTGAATTCACACAGTGCACCAGTTCATACGTTCGGTCACGCTCAACATGGAACACACACTGTGCGTGAGTTCGCACATCTGATTGCACTCAACGCGAACTTGCACATTGTGTGAGTTCACACATTAGATTACACTCAACACAAGCTCACACACTGTGCGACTTCGCACGTTTAATTACGCCCAACATAAGCTCACACAGCATGCAAGTTTGTACGTACGATTACACTCCACATGAACCCACACAGTGTGTGAGTTCACACATTCGATTGCACTCAACAAAAGCTCACAGAATCTGGAAGTTTGCACATTCGATTAAGCTCAATGCAAACCCCCCCGCCCCCCCCGTTTTCTCAGCCTAAATTTGTAGACATTCTTGGTTTTCACCTCGACCAAGACAGTCGGGCGGCGACTTGGTTTCAGCGTACCATCAGCACCTCGAAACAGCTGAACCACCTGTTAAACAGGGTAGCCCACCGCTCCCGCGGAATGCACGAACATGATCTCCGTATCTTTGCTAGGGCCTTCGTGGTGTCCCGCATTATGTACGGCTACCCGTACTACCACCTTACCCGCACCCAAAAACTCAGGCTCGAAATAGTTAATCGGGAACTGCAACGAATTGTCACCGGCCTTCCGAGATACACACGAATCGATGCGCTCACCAGCTGCAGCCAGATGAACAGCCTTGACGACCTGGCCTCCACCCAGATCGCAACTCAAGAAACTCGACTCCGAGCCACTCTAGCGGGGCGCTTCACGCTGCGTAAGCTAGGTTACAACATCGACCACCTCCTACCTTTACCCACCCCACCCCCGCCATGGGAGCTCTGCCCTCTCACAGCACCCCGTCCCCTCCCTCGGAACATGGGTGAAAAAGCGCAAGCCCGCCGCAGCGACTTTGCTCGCCGACATCTCCACTCTCTCCTTGTTCGCTCTTCATCGGCTCTAGTTTTCTACGCGGACGCGGCTGTGGACAATAACTCCACGCCAATCTTCAGCACAGCATGGTGCGATGTCGACGGTCATCGACGCTGTACACAAGTTTTCATGACCCCCTGCTCCTCTAGTCACGCTGAACTTTGTGCTATACTGCACTGCTTAACCTCCGTTAGCACTTTAACCCTGGTACCCTCCTCCAGAATCGTAATATATACAGATTCTCAAGAAGCCATCCGTGCTCTCCGCCACTCATCTCCATCATCTGCCATCGCTATTCAGATTCATCAGGCAGCCATTTCTATCCGGACAGCCAGCCACCATCCCCTCATCGACTGGGTGCCCGCCCACAGCGGCATTCCCGGCAATGAAAGGGCTCACCGACTTGCGCGCGCTAAACTTCTCTCCGCGTGAGCCGGGGCCCCTACTTTTCCTACGCCACCGGAGCTCACACCTGGCTCCTTTCACGATTCACACGAAGCCCGGCAGGAGCACGCCAGCCGATGGCGTCATTACCTGACTACTCAGGCTAACCCCCTTGACTTCCCCTCTCTTTCCCACCTTCCTCTCACTCGCCACGAGACCTCCCTTCTACAGCAAGCCAGGTCAGGAGCGCTCCTCGCTCCCTCCCTGCTTGCAAAGATGTATCCCCAGGTCCACATCAACCCTCAGTGTACCCACTGCCACATTCCTGCTAGTCTCCCCCATCTTTTGTGGGACTGCCCGCTCCACTCAACAGCCCGCGTTCGCGCGCTCTCAACCCTCTCACCTCCCCCCTCCACTCTTACTGAGTGGCTCAACCCCCCATCCGCTCCTGACCCTGGTCGTGTCCTGGCGGCATTCCAGGCGATCCTCCGATATTTAGAGGATCCGCAGGCGCCCCCCCTCGGCTCCAGGCTGCTCAAGCAATACGAGCCAATCATCGCCGCCGCCCGACGTCTCTCTGCCCCTGGTAACACCAGGGCCACATAAGACGACGAGATAAAAGACCATACAGCAGAGCGCATAGGGCGCTCATTCATTTGGTCTGTAAATAAAGACGTTTGAAAGAAAAAAAAAAGTAGACATACAGAATTCAAGAGAGGAGGTTTCGGGGGTCAGGACATCCAGACCTCCCCTCTGAATCCGCCACTGTGTGTGAGTTCACACATTCGATTTTTAAGCTCAACACAAACTCGCAGAATGTGCAAGTTCACACATTCGGTTACGCTCAGCACATTTGATTACCCTCGACAAAAATTCGTACCGTGCCCAAACTTGGGTCAAACTTAACCGAGCTTGCTCTCTACGTCCCCGCAGGCGTCGCCACCGGGTGGAGAAGAAGCTCATCGAGATGGAGGCTGCGCAAGAGGATGTGGACGAGGAACAGCAACAGCAGCACCACGACATGATTGAGTTTGCGGAGCGCCACTTCAACGCGCACCTGCGTGACTTTGGGGGCGGCCCCATGATGCGCACTCTCACCCGGCGAAGGAAGTCTTCGGGAGAGCTGCTGCCCAAGTACGAGATGGTGACCTTCACCCGGAACAGCGCCATCCCCACGTCCCACGTCCACATGTACGACCCGGAGAACGTCACCATCGCTTGCACCATCTTCAAGGTGCCTCTTCTTTGAGCCATTCTTTTGGGACACATATTTCAACTAACTATAAGATTATTTGCGACTATTTTAAATTAAATGCATCCACAACTATATATATATAGACCCTTTCAGGCAAAATTTCATGGGTGCCGCCATCTTGACGTCACGTGACCCTGCCGCCATAGCCGCCCTTCAGTTTCTCGCCATTCCTCCGCGTTGTGTGCTGCACCGGCCGCTACCAGAGCCTTGTTTTCGCATTCTTTTACGGTCCGCGTTGAAATCGTGTGTTTTCTTCAAGGCTTTTCGATATTTCGGGCTTTCATTTAATCATTTGATATCTATATTTCGACATAGCTCTTGTATTTTCTTATTTGTGAAATGAAGTCGGACAGCGAATGGATCGACGATACAAGATTATGGCATCAGAGACCATGTAAGTTCATCCCATTCTAACGTCTTTTCTCGCTAATAAAGAACAGTCAACTCCATTGCGACATATGCAAATTTCAACTGACGCAGTAAGGTTGTGCTTCTCGCTGCATGTGCGCGCTCGTTTCCGTAAAGCTGACCCACATTTAAGTGATTTTGCGTGCGACGAGATGAGCGACTGCGACAACGACGAGAGTCAGTGACGAAGGTTTCTCATTGTCGCCTGTTGCATCGCTCGGTTTCTTGGGTTTTTAGAAAACGTCGCTCACCTTCTTGGTCGCTTGCTCCCGTCGCTTCCATGCGGTTTGCCTCGTCGCGCGACTGCCCGAGCGACAGCGAAGCGGGTTACCGTCGCTTGTCTCTTTGCTCGCCGAATCGCATGCATGCGGTTTATACTTATATCGAGGCGCCAATGGTTCAATGCTGTGTGCATGGAAATTAATTGAGTATAAACCGCATGTAAGCGATTTGGCGAGCGACCATATAAGCGACAGCGACCTCCTTCGCTGTCGCTCAGTCAGTCGCGCGACGAGGCAAACCGCATGGAAGCGACAGGAGCAAGCGACCAAGACGGTGAGCGACGTTTTCTAGAAATCTCAAAACCGAGCGATGCGACGGGCGACGGTGAGAAATCTCCGTCGCTCTTTTCGTCGCACGCTAAATCGCTTACATGAGGGTCGGCTTTTAGGGAAACGAGCGCGCACATGCAGCGAGAAGCACGACTGTGATAGCCTTACTGCGTCAGTTGCAATTTACATATGTCACAATAGTGTTGACTGCCCTTTATTAGCGACAAAAACGTAAGAATGGGATGAACTTACATGGTCATTGAAGCCTCATAATCTGTCCGATTCCATTCCATAAATAAGAAAATACAAGAGCTATGTCGAAATATAAATATCAAATGATTAAATGAAAGTCCTAAATAACGACAAGACCTAAAGAAAATACAAGATTTCAACGTGGAACGTATAAGAACACGAAAACGAAGCTCCGGCAGTGGCCTGCGCAGCACACAACGCAGAGCAACGGCGAGAAACTGAAGGTCGGCTATGGCGGCACGGAAAGCGCGCGAAGGGCGCGCCGACTGGTGGCAGCTCGAGTAACTGACTCGCTGAAAGCGTCTATATATATATATATAAAAATTGTGTACACCACAATTGGTATGTTTCAAGTGTCCTAATTTTTATTGAGAATTTGCGAATGTGGTTAGAGTCCGTACGCTGATGACACCCCTGGTGCAGGACCTGTGCAAGTACCTGCGCGGCGACGGCAAGCCCGAGGGCGACGTGCACGCCATCCAGAGCATCATTGGCTACGGCATCGAGAGGGAGGAGCTCCGGGACGAGATCTTTGTGCAGCTGGTCCGCCAGTCCACCAACAACCCGAGCCGGGAGGCCTGCGTCCGGGCCTGGCTCCTCATCGCCCTCTGCGTCGTCTCCTTCAGACCTTCCAAGGCGTTCTCAAAGGTCAGTGGTGGCGTGATCCTCGTCTTGCTCGGCTACAAAGTGTTAACAGTGGAAGGGCTCGTCGAGTTGCGCTTGTGGCCTCATCTGTCGATAGTTTCGGCAAGCCCTTGATAACTGTCATTTGCTTTCGAGCAAGTACTCGCTGCACCTATCGGTTACCTGTCAACTTCCGCATGACACATTCCCAATTGAAAGCATGTTAATGACACAGGCCTCAGGGGTAGAAGTGGGCTTGACCAACCAGGGTAAATAATATTGAACTCCCAGTGATGTGATTGCTGCGCCAATTGCGCCAAACTGCGCCAAGGTTAACCCTGCTACATCCTGCTACATTTTGCCGAAATATGGGTGATCTGCGCCAAGCCTGCGCCAAAAGACCAATTTTGGTGGTCTTTCAAAACCGAAACTAAACTGAGTACCGTAATTGAGCATGCGTGAGCTAGGTGGCGCAAGCGGACGCCCAACAAAGAGTACCTTGTATCAATCGCCCATCTGGTTTTGCATAGTTTTTCCCGCCACCTCTTGTTTCACGCTCTCGTCATTCATGTGTGTCGTCTCGCGTCTTTTTAAAACAAATTTCAACGATAGACGCGGGCGTGTGTTGACGCTTCAGTGCTTCAGTCGTCGTACAAAGCGCTCCAAGTACTTTTTGACCCTGACACGCGATGTCTCGTTTTGACCTGACTCGCTCAGGTTCTTTTTTTTTGTGTGCGTTTAGCTTGTACCTCGCCTGCCGGCCTGGCAAGGACGTGCCGCTGGACTGTTTTTTGTAGTATTTTGCATACAATTTTGGGAACCAGTTGGTGACGGAGCGGAGTGGCATGGTGTCTGTTTCTATCGAACAGCCATCTCCGCTCGCGCAACGAAACACGTGCAAATGCAAGCCTGCCGAAGTTGCCCTCATGTGCATGCGGACATGACTGCACGACAGAGGCACCAGCCGAGACGCTTGCAACCCATTGTTTTACGTTTTCTTACTTTTGGCGAAAATCTGGCACGTCGGGAATCAGTAAAACGGTGGCAAGCGATTTTTCGGAATTGCTCGGCAATGCCCACAGCACTGTGCACTTGTGGGATGTCTCAATGTCTCTTTGGAGACATTGAAAGTGGGAGTTCATTACTAGCCAAAGGCAAAGCGAGGCTTGCAACAGCCTTGGAAAAAGTTCTGAAAAGCAAAAAGAAAAGCACCCGCTAGTCTTAATGCACCTTTTCTTGTATACAATTTCGCATTGCACTGCAGTAGTTACGTGTTTCATCAGTTGGAGACAACTTTCATTTATTATATAACTATATTTCATTTTCAAATCAATTTTAATATGTGCAGTTTGATCCTTACTTATCTATAGCGGGTACATATATTTATATCATTTAACTGAAGCATTGCAAAATCTGTCATGTCATTGGCATTTCAGTAACATGTTGAAAGACTCCCAGGTGGTCTAACTTGACCATAATTTGTTTATTGCGGCGAGCAAAGTGGCCTTCGCTCGTTCAGCACTTAAAACGAATATGTTTATTTGTTTATTTTTCTAAGAATATCTGCTCCAAAAGCCGCTTTTGCTGCTCCAAAACACCGTTCTGGCTGCTCCAAAAGGTGCTCCAAAACGGCTTAGGCCAATCACATCACTGAACTCCTGCCCATCTATTCTACTGCATGCTTGGTTAGTTGAGAATAAATGGTTTCAAATGGTAAACCGCTGGTTTAGGAAAGGCAGTTAAATGGAAGGTGTACTTTGATTTGCACTGATTCTTACATTTTTTTTCATGCAGTATCTTTACTGCTATCTGAAGAAGAGCGTCCTGGAGGACTCGGAGATTGCGGCCTATGCCCAGTATTGTCTCATGAACCTGAACAACACCAATGCAACCAATCGGAAGATGCCGCCGTCCACACTCGAAGTCAACGTGAGTTTCATCCCTGCAGTTAATCGACATCCTAACAGGAAAGTAGAGCCTCGCTATGGTAAAGTCAGTTTTTACGGAAAAAACTATTCACTAAATATATTCTCACTTGATATCAGTACCTAAAATTTCTGTGCCAGTACTGAAACCATAACATTAGCTTTAGGGATGGGCGAATATTCGGTAATTACGAATAGCCAATCGAATTCTGTTCTATTCGGCATTTGCTTCGAATCGAATTTAAGTATTCAACAATATTGAATTATTCGCCAATACTGAATTATTCGACAATACAGAATTATTCAACCTTTCTAAATACAGTCAAACCCGACTATATCGAACCCGTTCACATCGAATTATTCCTTATATCGAACACTTTTTGTGTACAGTAATGTTGCAGAGGCAAAAACCAGGGTTTCATCGAACAAAAATAGCAGCCGCTACCGATATATCGAACTGTCAAGAGCGCCGTTTTGCTCTCCAAGCTGGCTTTCCCCTGACGCGAGCGGCCGCATTGGGGGAAAGCCACCCTGCAAAGCCCGCTGGCTTTTTTTTTTTTTTGGGGGGGGCGGCCGCGTCGATTGTTTGGATGAAAAGAAAAAAAACAGCTTTTGCGGAGGGAGCGGAAAGAGGGTACTCCTTGCTCTGTCCGCAAAAGAGAATATTATTTTTTCTTCCAAACAATTAACGCAACTGCTAAAAAAAAATAAAAAAAGTTAGCTTGCTTTGTTAGTTGGCTTCCCCCAACGCAGCCACCTGTCTTGGGGGAAAGCCAACTTGCAGAGCAAAACGGCTCTCTGCAGGAGAAGGTGCTCCTGCTCGGACATACTCTGTGCTCTCGGCATAGTTCGGCGCTAATGCGCGAATATAGAAGGCAGCGGCCTTGACATTTCGGAGTCCGTCAATAGCGTAGAAAAATATTGTTATCCCGGATGCAATGAAGAAAAAGCAGCAGAAGATGCAAGACTACTTCATTGTGTAATATTTCAGCAGAAAGTGGATTTTTGAGAGTGTAATTTATTAAAACTTTTATATCGAATTACCCACTATATCGATCTAGTAGACCTTTTTTTCCGAATTCGAAATAAATGGGTTTGACTTACACTGGCTTGAATTTTCATCCAGGTGGCGCAAGCTTCTGACCATTTCAGCTCCCGAACTTAATACACTTGAAATTAACAATTACAGTACTTCTAATACCAAATAAAGGCAAATATAAAACTACATTTTAAGCATATCTTGTGGTATTTGTTGCTTATACTATTCGAAGTATTCGATTCGAAATTATTCGGCCAAAATCACTATTCGCTTTGAATTCAATTCGGACCCAAAATCCTCTATTCGCCCATGCCTAATTAGCTTTTCTTCGTGATTTTTATATTGTGATTTTGTATTATTTGTTTCTACAGAGAGCTTCTACCGTAACCCGAGATTATTATTGTCATTTCCGCAGTTGCCTAGCACACTGAGATTAACTTGAAAGTACTTATTGCATCCATCATTTGCGAATCCGTTGAATGTTGCGACTTCTAGTATTGACACAGCATTAGACACTGTATAGGAAAATCGTTAGGGAAGATTTGAAACCTGGTTGCATGTGTACAAAACTCTGGGCATGCCATTTGTCAGTGATCAACTAGTGCAGGGGCTGTCATACTTTTCGGTCTCGAGGAACCCTTATCTTACCTGATTAAAAGCTGAAGAACGCCTCCCAACCTTGGGATGGGTGCGACAAAGCAATGTAAACCTACATTGCTTTGTACAAGCCTAGAGACCTTGTAAACAACTAATCAAAATGCTTGACTCATAGCTATGCATTAATGGATGACTCAGATCTGCTAAAATAGTGCTGATACTGGAAAAACACTTTCGATAAATATAGATAGATAGATAGATATTTCTTTGTATGTTTAAGTACAGCCCACATAGAAGGCGTTGCCACCTGTGCATATGTGCCTATACGTCCGTCTAGATGTATGCTTTACTTTACTTAGAGGCAGGGAGAGTCAAGGAAATTTGGGAACTTGAGGAACCTATGAAAGTACTCTGCTTGGGAACCCTTGAGTTCCTAGAAACCCGGTTCGAGAACCCATGAACTAGGAAGTGGTCATAAATTTATCTTGACTCTACCCTCGGTGCTGTTAAGGCTAGAGTGTTTCACTACAGGGGAATATCCTTAAAAAGGGGCAGTCAAGGGGATTTTGAGATTGTCTTTTTATTGTCATGACTCACTCTACAGGCTCTAAGCATTCTAAAAAACTCGAAATCACATTCAACAGCGGCCAATTTTCCTATTAAAAGACCAATCAAAGATTGTGCCGCGCCCCTCTTTCTGTGCTGTGGCGCAGAACACCAGGGGGCACCACCGGATGGGAAGGCAGCAGGGGAGGGCCACGCGACAGCCAATCACGAGTGATAGCTCCCCGCCGGATTGATTTTTCAAAGCACGCGTATTCGAAAATTCAGTTTGCTGGGAAGCCTTCACCTGTGATTGGCTATCGCGTGCCCTCCCCGCTGCTTTCCCGCCTGGTGGCACCCCCTGGTGTTCTGCGCCACAACACAGAAAGAGGGGCGCGGCATGATCATTGATTGGATTTTTAATAGGGAAATTGGCCAACTTTGAATGTAATATCAGGTTTTTTAGGATGCTTAGAGCCCATAGATTGAGTTATGCCGGTAAATAGACAATCTCAGAATCCACTTGAGGGCCCCTTTAATTCAAACTAACATGTGGGTCCTATCCTATGTGTTTCTAGGGAGGAAACTCCCAGTAATTCAAAACTTGCATTATTTAAGCAAAGTTTGTTGTCTCTCTCGGATTCAAATGAACCAAATTCCACCGTAGTTTGAGGCTGAAACACGGCGTCTCCCTCGTGGCAGGCGGTGCGGCTGCGTGAGAACCTGGTCTGCCGCTTCTACTTCATGGACGGGCGGACCAAGGCCATTGACATCCACCCTTCGATCACGGCCGAAGAGGCCATGCGTACCCTCGCCACCAAGATCGGCCTCCGATCCCTCGAAGGCTGGGCACTGTACGAGGTATGCCGTCCGACGGCCACCCCGATACTTTAGGCGGTGCTTACGGAGTATTTGCACGACAGATCTTCATATCCAGAGAAAACTGAGTATGTCATAGATCTGCAAGGAGAAAAGGCCACTAGAAGGAGGAGGCAGTGCAAAAAATCTGAGCAAGCATTTGCACGACAGACTCGCACATTGTTGAGTCAGCAGGGCCTCACTTTTCGAGACCGAGCTTTCGAGACCGAGCTTGTGGATGGGCTCATTGAACAAAAGGCAGAGAGAGATTAAAAAAAAAAGTGTGCCGCTTCTTAATGCTGCTGGCCCTAATCCTTCCCCAATATGACGAAATCTGTCGCTCCGAGAGGACGACGAATATTCTTTAGGCTGGTTGAAAATTCTCCGCAGCTCCCCGCGGGCTCGGGGTATTAGTGATCCTTCGTGAAGCGGCGCACGTGACCTCAAAGCTCGATTTCGTTTAATCCCCTTCTTCCGGAAAAGCTTTTTCGTGCGACCACACCATTACTGAGACATGCGCGCATGCAACAACTGTGCTCATCTATCACTACTAAACGGGGCTTTAAGAAAACTCTGGCTCCACTGGCACACTTTTCAAAAGCAGTTAGAATCTCGCTGATAATTCAGTTTGCTGCTTTTGCCAACACTAGCTGGGGTACCGCGAATCAAATCGTTTTTTCTATTGCAGAGCACCCCTGACCATGAGCATGTGATCAAAGGATATGAGTACCTCGCAGATATCATCTATCAGTGGGAAACGTGAGTTGATTGCACTACACTTTATCTTTCTGTTTTACATTGAATTCAGTTTGGGATAGACGGCCGTTTACTTCACAACCGAAAGAAACTGATTGATGATAAATTCTTAACCAAGTTTAAATAGTGCCAACTTGTAGTATAAAATTGAGGAATAGAAAAAAAGATATAAGGAAAAAGATGCAGATGAATGTGCTTCAAATTCAGCGTGGCATTATTCAATTAATTCATTTTCAATTTAAAGTTCTGCATGTCGGAAGTTTTCCAGCGATGTTTGTAATACATTGTTTTATATGTTTGTGGCTTGAAATGACAGAAAAGTTGCACAAGGAGAACTGGACCCCTAGTCAGAACAGATATTGAGAGCAGTGGCATCACTAGAGGGGCGGGGGAGGCGAGTGGGGGGGCGGGGCAGGGACAGATTGCCCCAGGTTCGGCGCTCAGGGGGGTGCAGCTTGGCAGTGAAAGCGAGGGGGGCAATAAGAGTTGGGGATGGGAGGGAGGGGTATTTGTGTCGAGGTGGGCTAGCGCCGCTGACCCTAGTGTTGCCTTGATTGAGAGGACAAACTTCTTCGTTGTTGAGGGCCTCCCTTTACTTGTCAACAGCCAATAACTGCTTAGATCCTGGGTGATTGATTGCCGAGTGCGGTAATGTACTGCAGCTTGGAGCACATGGAGCAAAAGCTCACGCTGCAGAACCCAGCGATCTTGGGCTCAATCCCACTGCACTACGCACGTTAAGGTCAGCAGTCGTACTGCAGTGGTTAAATTTCTCATGTACAGCAGAGACACCAGATGCCGATTGGGGCTGACTAACTTCTGGCTCTCTAAACATTTGCACAACTTGATTATTGTAGACCCTCAACGCTCTCACGCTCATGCTGCACAGGTGTCGCCGTAGCTCAGCAACGCTGACGAAGTACACCACCATCTCCAAGCGGGGTCCGACAAAGGCGCTGGGAGGCGGAGAGTGCCGCTTTGTGTTCCGCAAGCGGCTCTTCAAGTTTGTCCGCGAAATCCCCCAGGATCCCGTGGAAGTGAGCCTGCTCTATGCGCAGGCGGTCCACGACGTTGTGAAGGTACCCTCTCCTGTCTCAGTCCATCCTTGAACGCATCGGGTACCGTAGACGTTAAGGCTGGTTCGCTCCCTTGCGACTGCTTACAGCCGTGTGCTTTAAGACGTCTTAAAATCTCTGACGACGGCAGAACACACTGGCGTCATCTATCGGGAAACGATGGAACACTCGCAAATTCGGTATCATGTTGCGGGTGGAAAAGAATTGACAAATTTAGAACTAAGAATAAAGGTTTAATTGGCGAACTTGTGCCAGAAACAAAAGAAAGAACAAGCGCCGAGAAAGCAGAAGCAAGCGTCAAGGTGTCAGCGTGACGGTTGGCAGTTCCACTTTAGCAGAGCGTTTGCTCTGCTAAAGTGGAAAGAGTGGAGGGCTTTGGGAGAGGAGGCTGTCCTAACTTAACCTTATAGCTGGAAAATGCAGGACCAATGAAAGAGCAGTTTGGGCTCTTGTAGTCGGGAATGGCTAGTCCATGCAGTACTCTTCAATGCACATTTCTTGTGAACCATTTTACCATCCAGTTACCTCTGAATGGAAATACAAATGGAAATGCATTAATCCCTGGTTAACTCTAACTCGGCTCTCTCGAAATATTGGTTAAGCTGAAAGATTTCCTTCCCATGGAATGAACTCCTATAGGTACGATGCATTCACTCGTCGCTTATCTCGGAAAGCTTTCAGGACCGACGTTGAGGTGTATGCACTGAGCAACCTGCGTTTCAAGAGTGTTTGTTGTCTTACTTTTCTTTCTTTTTTTTTTCTAACTGGCTTGGCAGTTGGTGCTGCTGTTTCTCTGTTCCTCACGCTCAACGCTATCTTCCACTCTTCGTCTTATTCTTTCGTTCAGTTTTTGGGGGTTCTTTTGGTTTTTCTGTTTGCTTTTGTGTTCTTGCTTTCTGGTCTCGCTGTTTCATCATATGTGTGTTGCTTGTTGATAATTTTGTTGTGGTCATTTTGTTCTCCCCACGGCATTGCGTGAGTGTCAAGCCAGTTGATGCAATCGTTGGAAGGGTTTCATTTGCACAATGCACGACTAGTGCAATGAAAATTCAGTACTTTTCTTATCTCGAAACTCCCCTTATCTCGAATTTTTATCTGGTTTTATGATTTTGATTTAGCGAGGGTTTACTGTCCCCTGAATCATCTTTCTCCTGCAGGCTGATAGCTTCCCGGTGGTGGAGAGAGTTGCCCTTCAGTTGGCGGGTCTCCAAGCCCAGGTTTCTGTAGGGGAGCCATCTGAAACTGAGGAACTCGACAGGTACGTCATTCACTGTCTATGCAAATCTAAAACCATCTCCTCAACAAATATGTTAAGGCATAGGACAAACTTGACATTCACCAAATTGTGCAAGCCGTCGAGCACGTCGGCTTTCCCGCCTCGCACCCGCGCATCGTGACCGAGACGACGAGGGGTTGTTTCCAGTTTCTTTCCGGCGTCACCAGCACGCATTGGCTTTCTCACTTTGTACAGGCGCAACGAGAGAAGACGACTCGACGGGGGATTTCCGCTGCCATCGTCGCCTCCACTGTCTTGGCTTTCACACTTTCAAGCCGCGCAATGTGGCGAAGGTGATCCGACGGGGTACTTTTCGTTAACGCAATGTTACCCACACGTCTCGTCCTTTCCGCCCTGCACCCGTCTGTTGCAGCGAAGACGACACAATGTGAATTTGCGTGTGGCTTCCGGTTGTGCAATGCCGCTCGTCGTCCTCCTGCAGGTACAGGGACGTGGAGAACTACATTGCTGAGCGCATCCGGGACACGAGGCCGGAGAACGAGTGGATCCAGGCCCTGTGCACCGCTCACAGGGTGAGTCTGTCTTCACGTGCTGCAGTGCAAAGGGTCACTGACGAGAGGGTATAGACACCAGCGGGATGGGAATGGCAAGGAAGACTCTCAGCTGTCCTGCCTTCAGCTCGACCATCCTACTTCCGGTAACGCTTGGGCATCCCCTGAGCCTTGAGTGTGCATCGCATCCAAAGCGTGCGCTGGAGTCCGGCGATCCGAAAGAGCTGCCCTGCCATTCTTATCCTGTCGGTAATTATAACGTTCCAGCAAACGCGTATGGAAGAAAGAAATGGGCAATGCTTTGGTCATACACCTGACAAAATCGTCGTACTTAGGATATGTTTTTGGGTGGAAAAATCTCTGTGCAGTTGTACGTGTGTACGAAGACTTACGCTGCAAATTCCGACAAAAGCCCCGTTGGTGACCTCTTATGTCAGCCAATAGGAGTGAGGCGCTGCCCACAGGGGAGTCGTGCTGCATCGGTAACTTCAAAGGCTACCAAACTTTGAGATGTACGTTGAGTCAACGTGATCCGGTAAATTTGTCAGGCAAGACATTGCCCGCCAAATTTAGTGAACGATGCATGATCACGTCACTGTGTCACGTGACCACCATTATGCTGACGATGTTACGATGAATTAGTATGCATTAATGTATGTGTGGTGCTTTTTCATAATGCTTTTAATGCAAAAGCATTAACTGTCCCATGGAGCAATGTCTAGCCGTTGTCTGTAGCAGCAAGAAACGGCACCTAAATACCGTATATTGCCGCATATAAGTCGACCTTTTTTTCAGGAAATGGGTATCTCAAATTAGGGGGGTCGACTTATACGCAGAGTCGACTTATACGCGGGGCCTAAAAACGCGTCTAGACGAACGACAGATCCTAGGGACTTTTTTTCCTCACAAGGGACTAGTTTCATGGTGCTCGAGAGCCAGCTAAGCCATTACCTGCATAAACTTGTTCTAAAAACAAAAATATAATATTTTTAAATCTTAATTTTACTTTATAACACCTTTAGTCGCATGAAACTATTAAAGTTGTATCAGGAAAGCGTTTGCGGTTGAATCATAAACTTATCTAGGGACTCCGTGGAGGAAACATAGGGACTAGTACCTAGGTACACAAGCAAAAGCACGCGACCGCGGCCATGTCAGACCCTTGTTTGTCACATGTCTGTTCAGTAGCCTTCACGAAGTGGAAGAAAATGCCGCATCAAGCTAGGCGTCAGTACAGCGCGGCGTTCAAGAGGAAGGTTATTTTGTTCGCTGAGGCGGCGAACAACGTCGCGGCGGAGCGTCACTTCGGTGTCTCAGAGAAGTGCGTGTGGGGATGGAGACAACAAAGGCAGGAACTTTTTGCTTGCGCGGGTGCGCGTCGGTCCTTTTGGGGCCCCAAACAAGGCCAGTACCCTGCGGTCGAGGAGGTTGCTCTGCGATGGGTCACGGAGCAGCGGAGCAGAAGCCTCAGCGTCTCGTACGACGACATAGAAAGCAAGGCGCGCGCTGTTGCCAACAAAATGAAAATTGGACGGAGCGAGTTCAAGATTTATAAAAAAATGGATCACGAACTTTATGAGGCGATGTGGCCTGAGTTTAAGAAGAAAAACAACAGTTTGCCAGCGGCTGCCCGACGCCTACGAAGAGAAATCGTGGGCATTTCATCGATACGTAACAGAAGTAAGAACGAAGCACTCCCTCATGCTCGGCCAGATCGGCAACGCTGACCAGGCGCCGGTCTGGTTCGACATGCCGAGTAGGACGACTGTCACCGGCAAGGGAGAGCGCCAAGTTCCCGTCCTGACGACTGGGAACGAGCACAATCGTTTCACGGTCATGTTGTGCTGCACAGCAGACGGCCACAAGCTGCCTCCCTTTATCGTCTTCAAGCGGAAGACATTGCCAACTAAAGAAGTGTTTCCGCCGAAAGTTATTGTTCGAGTGAATGAGAAGGGCTTTTTTAATGAAGAGACCGTACTCGAGTGGTTTTGCCTCGTTTAATGCAGGCGCCCGGGTGCGCTCCTGAAACCCCGGAGCATGCTTGTGCTAGACTCGTTCCGCGCCCACATTACGGATCGCGTGAAGAAGGCGGTGGCGAATGCGGGTTGCGACCTGGCAATCATTCCAGGCAAGATGACATCGGCTCTCCAGCCCCTCGACGTGGTTTTAAACAAACCATTTAAAGATCGTGTTGGGGCATTTTACAATGAGTGGCTGAGCCGGGAGGACAACCCGACGACTCCGACAGGCCGAGTGAAGCGCGCGTCTTTAAGCACCGTGGCGACCTGGGTCAACGATGCCTGGTACGGATTACCGGATGACATGGTTTGCGAGGCCTTTTCGAAATGCTCAATATCGACGCCGCTTCAGCCGACTGAGCGCGCTGACCCGGACTCTAGCGACAGTGACTGCGTCGTAGTGTCGAGCGATGATGAGCAAACCACCGTTTACTTCTGCGTGTAAATATGCTTCCATGCCAATAAACAAATTTTTCTAATTTCCCTAACTCGTATGAGAAAAATTTTTTTTCGTGTCGTAGTCTGAAGAAATCGACTTATATTCGGGAGTCGACTTATATTCGGAGTCGACTTATAATCGGCAATATACGGTACCTATTGGCTGAGTGAAATGGCATTTAAAGTCCCATTAGCTCTAACACCTCATATTAAATGCTTCGTCATGGAAGCCAGCAGGGCCGCTCAAGGTCAAAGTGCAGGCGCGCCTCAGAAAAAATAAAACACTAAGAAAAGCACAACAATGCAGATGCATCATTGTGGAAGCCATGGAGCTTGTGGGCGCACCGTGCCTGTGCAGTGGGGGACCGTGATGTCACTGCCGGAGTGCCGTCCGAAACAGGAAGATGTGGCGTGCTGCTTGTAGGAATGCGCGGCGTGTAGGAATGCTTTCGCATTTCTACACGTAAGCAGTCTTAAGTGTCTTTGCCGAATTTGTTTGTAATATTGGAAGGTGCCTAGCCCTCCCCTATGACATATCAAATGTTGAAACCGAATTCTGTGCGAGGCATGCTATCTATAGCTCTTGGTTAATGTTTTACAAACGACTAACATCTAAATGCACTCTGTGTGGTACTGTTGGATCACGAATGCTCTCGTCTTTTTGCAGACTTATGGCAGTGGCAAGTCTGAGCTGGTGTGCAAGGTGTGGTACCTGTCAATCGTGATGCAGTACCCGCTGTACGGCACCACCCTCTTTCCTGTCACCTGCAGGGGCTACCTTACCTATGGTATGCTCTTTCTTCATTCTGACTTCGAAGTGACCAATACTAAGCTCTACATTGGCTTTGAATGGCGTCTGATATCTAATTTAATTAGTACCTATTTTCTCGACATAGCGCCAGATTATGATGTGAAGGCACTACCATGTTAATCATTTTGCTGCAGAGTTGCCTGCTTGCAAAGATAAGATAGTAAAATTAGAACCAGTGGATTTGTGCAGAAAGAAGCCAGATTTTGAGTTACAAGTTTTTTTGTGATTGTTGAGTGCTTGTGGGATGTGGTTCTGTAAATGGTTAGGCATGCATGCTTTTGTAAGAGATATCTTCCAATGAAAAAATACTCGCAATGTCTTTCAGTTTTCAATAAGAAACTCGGGATGTCTCCCAATGAAAAAAACATGAGCAGCTTGTGAGTAAAGTTTAGTATTTTAGTGACCTACCTTTGTACACAAACCGACCTTACGATGCGCAACTGTGTCTAGTCACTTCACTGGGACAAAAGTGGCCAGAAGTATGGGCAACATGTCTAAAGGGAGACTGAACTCTTTACAACAAACTAGCTTTAGACCTGCCAGGGAGCCTCAGTAAGTTTTAAAATGTAATCAAATTTGGAGCTCCATATATTCAGCTTGAAAAGGAGCTTCCCCAAAGCCAGAAATCGGCAGCTTAGGTTTCTCCAAGACATGTCTTCTTCAACTACTATTTTTTTCTCTCCCTTTCTAATGGCGTCCCTTGTTTGTACAAGTTTCGTATTAAGGAATCCGTACCAAGTCTCCAAAAGGAGGAGATGGTATCCTAAAGCTGGTGGATGAACAAGATAAGTAGTTCATAATTCGGTGGTTGTAATTCAGTAATGGACAGTACAAGTATGAAAAGCCCACCGTTTTCAAACCGGCAGAAAAATCTGTCGTCTTGAAAATCCGAAGTAATCGAATTTTCAATTAACCGGTTTTTGTCATGTAACAGCCCATTACTTTTCTTCTTGGGTAATCAAGTAATCTAATTGAAGACTTTTCAACCAAGAGTAATTGTAATAGTAATTGATTACTTTTCTCGAGCAACGTGTACTAGACCGTCTGCTTGAAACTGATTACTGCACGATCGCATCTAAGCGTTGTCGTTTGTCTTGCAGATCACCAGCTTCTGCTGGGCCTCAGCTGCGAGGGGGTGCTGCTGGTAAACGCCGACACTAAGGCGATCCTGAACGCCTACCGCTACTCTGACCTGGAGTCCGTGCTGGTGAACGAGGACGACCAGGTGCTCACGGTAACACTGTCCAAGAGCGTACCGGACCTGCACAAGTGCTACCTCTTTGAGACGCCCCAGCACCTCGAGGTCGCCGCCCTAGTGGCCAGCTACTGGCCGCCACTGGCTGCCCGCATGAAGCCTTCCTACGATCTCAACTACAGGGTAAGACGAAAGCCGCAAAATTGGAAATCTTGTTTACTTTTTACAGCGAAGCTGTTATTGGCTAGGATCGGGGGAAAATGCATCCTCACATGTCAACAGAAAACTCCCCATTGGTCGTGGCTAGTATGAATAGATAAAAATAAAAAGAGGGGGCAACCAGTTCCCCATTGGTTGTGTCAAGTATGAATAAATAAAAATAAAAAGAGGGGGCAGCCAGCGGGATTCAGCCTTCCTTGACATTATTAGATAGTGAGGTCCTGGTCTCTTGTTATCATCTTTTGGCATCGTCCTTGAGGTCGTCCTAGAAGTCGTCCTTGAGGTTGTCCAAGAGGTCATCCTAGGCGTCACGCTTGAGGTCGTCCTAGATGTCGTCCTTGAGGTTGTCCAAGAGGTCATCCTAGGCGTCGTGCTCGAGGTCATTCTAGAAGTCGTCCTTGAGGTCGTCCTATACTCTATTTCACCTTATGATTAGGGTGTGTACTTTCCGGTGTTTATTTGTGAGAAAAATCGGCGGATGTTTTTCGGTGCTTATTTATTTTCAGAACACCGGTGTATTTCGGCGGAACGTCTCACGACGAGGCTAAAATCGGTGAATATCGGTGAAAAAAAAGCGATTGATCACAGACAGAGTTCCAATTTTATTCACATAGTTCATACACTTCTCTAGGAAGCAACTATTTCTCACACTTGGTTATTATAGTAGATGCAAGCATACTTTCATGCTTGCATTACACGCAAGGAACGTGCTGCCGTCATGGCAGCACGTTGCTTGCGGTTCGCAACCCGCAATTATGAAAACGCTCCTGTACGACACGGACGTTGGCAGTGTCTTCCAGAAACCACAGCAACCTCTGAATACATGGCTTGCACCGACACCACTTGGCCAGATACAATGAGGAAAAGGCACGTGAGAGCCTACCCTCCACTGCGTTAATTTTTCCACAAAAGGGGGCCATGGGAGACACAATAGAGGAAAGGCGTATGAGAGCTTAGCTTCCACTGCATTCACTAGACGCTTGTGACCCCCAGAAAGGAGGGCGGACTGATGCCACCTGCAAGCCCTGTATAAACACTGGAAGAATGCAGGATCCACGAGATAACACGTTTGTTGAACCTCTACGGGGAAAGGGTTTCGCTAGGTCGGAAACTAGCAACGACCGGTGTTTTTTGGTTTTAACCAGGGCGAAAATATCCAACCACCGGTGTTTTTCGGTTTTAACCGATTTTATATTTTCGTCACCGACGGATGTTTATCGGTGTTTTTCGGTTAAAACCGGAAAATGCACACCCTACTTATGATGTACCGCGGGAATGGCTACAAGCGCAAGCTCCTTGCTCTAGGGCACGTCTCAGTGGCACAAGCTGCCCCGCACTAAGGGCAGCTGCCAACACTATGAGCACGCGCTTCTACCCTCCGCTGTGGCACAACATAAGGTGAAATGGAGCATAGATGTCCTCGAGGTCGTCCTAGAAGTCATCCTTGAGGTCGTCCTAGATTTCCTCGAGGTTATCCTAGAAGTCATCCGTGAGGCGTCTGAGAAGTCGTCCTCTAGGCGTTGTCCTAGAAGTCGTCCTCGAGGCCTTCGTAGAAGTCGTCTGAGAGGTCGTCCTAGGTGTCATCCTCGAGGTCATCCTAGAAGTCGTCCTTGAGGTTGTCCTAGATGTCGTCCTAGAGGTGGTCCTACGATAGAATACCGCGCATCTGCCCATTCCACATTAAGCGCCCATTCCCAAATTTCTAAGATCTGAGGAAATATGCACGTGCAAAATTAATGACCGGACAAGCGCCTGTCCCCCATTTTATTGCAATTATCTCTAAATTTTGAGTGGGCGCTTATTCGGTATTTTACGGTAGGCGTCGTCCTCTAGGCATCGTCCTTGAGGTCGTCTTAAAAGTCGTCCTTGAGGTCATCCCAGAAGTCATCCTTGAGGTCATCCTAGACGTCGTCCTCTAGGCATCGTCCTTGAGGTCGTCCTTGAGGTCATTTTAGACGTCGCGTCTAGGAATTATACTCGAGGTTCACATAAAAATGGAGGACCAGGTTCGCTGGTCCTCCATCTTCAGCTTCACATGTAGTGGATGAGCCCTACAATTTTTTTTATGTAGAATGCATTTTTTTATTCAAAGGGTATTTTGAAAGGAGGTGTAACATCGCACATGAGATGTAATGTCATGGGTAGATGTCACAGAGATGTAGCATCACAGACAGGTGTAATGTCAGACACATGTAGGATTATAGGCAGATGTAATGTCACAAGATGTAGTGTTAGAGGAAATGTACTATCACAGGAATACGTAATATCACAGGATTATGTAATATCACAGGAATATGTAGTCACAGACAGTTGTAATGTCGGAGACTTCTAACATCGGAGGCAAATGTTGTCAGAGGCAAATGTACTGTCAGAGACAGATGTAATGTTGCTATCAGGTGTAACGTCACTGGCAGGTGTAACGTCACAAACAGATGTAATGATGGAGACAGGCGTAACATTGGAAGCAGATGTAATATGACAGGCGGATGTAGCATTACAGACAGGTGAAATGCCACAGACAGATAAAATGTCACGGGCAGATGTAACATCACCGACAGATATAACGTTGCAGGCAAATGTAACATCACAGAGAGATCTAGCATCACAGACAGCTGTAACGTCAGACACATGTAATGTATGGGCAGATGTAATGTCACCGGAAGATGCAGTGTCATAGACTGTTGTAACATCGCAGACAGACGTAACACCAGAGACGAGTGTAGCACCACGAGCGGGTGTAATGTCACTGGAAGGCATAACATCACTGGCAAGTGTAATGCTCAAGACAGATGTAATGAGGTGGACAGGTATATAACATTGGAGGCAAATGTAATGTCATCAACAAATGTAATGCCACAGACAGATGTGTTATCATGGGCATGAAACATCACAGACACATAAACGTTGCAGGCAGATGTAACATTACAGACAGATGTAATGTTTGACCTATGTATTGTTGCGAGAGCAGCAACATCACAGATGGAGCATTAACTTTTTTCGCACTACATTTAGCGAGGAAGTTGGCCACGTCATGTGACGTGACCACATGATATGACATCGCAGTTTTATCATTCACAGGAGCTTGGCTGAAACCTAAGCATTTCCTTTACAGAATAGATCAGAACTCATTTGTAGTAAAAACTGGTATAGCAAGGATATGAAAATAGTGACAGGCCAAATGTTTCTCCCACCCCAGTGCCGTCTGGCATTTGAGGACCGCGTGAAACTCCACCAAGAGGTGATGAACTGCCGGCGAACCCTGGTGGACAGCGGACTCCTCAACAAGCCAGAGGCCGCAACCCTAGGGCTCTTTAAGAGCACCCTCCGCAAGTGAGTCGCAACTCCTCCAGTGAGGTGCCCAATAAAACAATACTGTTGTATGGATTCTGTCAGTTTCCTCTAAAGCATTCTTTCTAGGAAAATTTCAAATCAATTAATTTCTGAACAAATAATTTGCAATGTAGTTCCTTCCAATTTTTTTTTTTTTTTTAACAAGAAAACAGTTGGCATTTTGGCAAACTGGCAGACGTATTCCACGATATAAATTAACCTTAAACTGAGGAGTAAAATTAAAATTAAATTTTTTAGTAGAGGGTACAAAACGTTGATTTACATAGGGGCACAATGCCACTTATATCAAAAGTAGAAGATTTACTTATGTTAAAGAAGGTGGCGACTGAACTTTATTTTTTGTGAAAGATAGTCCATGGACACACTACATCCACTCATTGCTTTGGTTGATGGTTGTCTTCATGCTTGGCTTTCAATCGCACGGCATGCAGTGGAAAAGGGCATTAAAAGATGGAGGGCGTCATTGTTGTTCAGTGCTCTTGTAGTCATGTGCAAATTTTGAATTTTGAGTTCGAAGCGAATAAATAGGGTTTTGGCCGAAGAGTATTTTTAATTGAATATTAAATAGTTTCTCCAAGCTCTTCACTGCTTCAACATACTTAAACAAAAACCCAGCTGAACTTGTGAAAGTTGTTTTGGCAAGGTTCCCCTTGTCCATTTCTAAGCTAAGTTAATTTTAAGCCAACTGTATTTATTGACTGTGACCTCTGAAAGTGCAATGCTTACATTGGGATGGCCAGTAAACACATTGAACATAGAATGAAACCGATAGAGATGTCCAGCTATATTCAATTGAAGGAATTTATAAATATTACTGCTGTGCGCGAATATATTTTCTTAAGTCACGTGTATTCGGGCATCTCTGCTTAACATGTATGCTCATGCATGCCAGTTGAATGTTTCAAGTTTTGCTTCAATGAAGGTACCAGTGGTGTGACTAGGATCAGCGGCACCAAGACGGTGACCTGCCGTGAACCCCCCCTTCACCCTCGTGGCCCGCCGCAACACCCCCACCCCTCTTTTCACTGCCCAACTGCACCCCCGAGCGCCGCACCCGGGGCAATTCCCCCCCCCCCCCCCCGTCCCCCTAGTGATGCCACTGGTAGACACTACCATTCACAAAGTTTCCGTTTCTTTTTAAATACACCAGCCGCGCACATGCACCGTCTTGCTTTGGAAATTAACTTTCCTCCGAAGCATGCAGCTGCTATACTTTTGCTTTTCAAAGTGTTGATTGCGGTGGGTTAGCCCCCTTTTAGTGCGCTTCTTACCAAGCACTTGCGCACTGCAGAGAAGCCACACCCGCAGAAGCGAGCTCCACGCGTGTTGCTTCCCCGCAGTGCACCGGTGCTGGGTTAGAAGCGCACTCAATGGGGCTAACTAGCCGCAATCAACACTTTGAAAAATATGAATATCACAGTTCATCTCGAAGCAAATATCGAATTGTGTATTGTTCGAAAGTATTGTTAGAAAATTTGAATATTCGCGCAACGCTACTCTTTTGAGAAGTATCTGTTAGGTGAGTTGCATGGAGATGAACCCGTAGTGGTTGTGACAATTCAGGCTGAACCGTAATCACCTGGACACTCTCAGGAGTAGAGCTTAGAGGGTTTGTTGCATTGGCAGATGGTTAACTTACTTTGTGCTCTCACATGTCATACACTGAAATGTTCTGAGAGGTTGATCTGTTGCTCTGGCCGTATGGAGACGAGGGACCTTGTTGATGCGTATGGTGATTGCAATCATTCAGGCTCAACCGCAACCGCATGGAGAAGCTTCGACAAGAGTACGGGTCAGAGGGCTACAAGTCATACCAGCACACATACTGGGCATTCAGCAAGAGCGCCATCGGACAGAGTTTCCTGGTGATGGCCGAGCCCCAGGTGGAGACGACCGCCTGCAAGCTCTTCACCTCCATCCTCATCTTCTCGGGACTGCTGGAGGAAGGTATGTGCCTCACCGGAAATCATAATCAGAAACCGTTTTTGACTTAAGATAACTCGGGCCTTGGCAGGGGAGCAAGTTCATGGAACCGACGCAATGAAAAAGTGTGAGAAAACATGGAGCTGTGTTTCTGCAGCGCTTCGCTGCCGACCTAACTTCGAAATGCAACATCATTGCTCGTCTTCTATGAGGGCTATTATCCGCCGATTAAATTGCGACTAAATTAAAATGACCTTAACATCAGGCTGTCATGTGACATCAGGATGTCACCCACACACAGTATGTGCTCAGCTCATTCCCAACACATTCTGGGTGTCTCAGAGTTTATCAGACATGATCGAGACATGCCTAAATTTATTTATATTTTTTCGCGTGACTTGCACGGTGCAGAGGACACAGAGTGGCACGGCCAGCGTGACCTGATTCAGCTGGCGCAGTCGGTGATGGAGTGCTGCATGGTGCGGGAGGTCCTCCTCAACGAGCTCTTTGTGCAACTCATCAAGCAGACCACCGACCACCCCGGTGAGTGGTCGTCGCCCCCACTTCACTCTCGGCGAAGACGGCTCACTACCTTGCAGCGAACGACAATGTGGGCGAATGAGAGAGGGCGGTGTAGAGGTGGACACCATAACTGGTGAGGTCCTGCCAGTCCTCATGCGCTAAAGTTGAACCAACAAGGAAAGAGTGGGTCTATTTTGGAAAGAACAAAAGTATGCACATTTTTATTTCTTTCACTGCCAATCCTTATTGGCTTTGGCAGGTGTTGGGACAGAGAAAAACTATGCAACATATGGCACATGTCATTACAACAGAAAAAAAAAATACTTATTGCATATTTCTAGAAGCAGGAATCACATATCAATTCATAAATTGACAAAGTATGTATTTTCCGGTGTATAAGACGCATCTTTTTTCCAAAACTTTTGTGCGGTGCACCTTACACAACTGTGCGTCTTATAGGTATATTTTTTTTCTTTTTGGCAAATTCTGAAAGAACTTTTGTTGATGCTGATTAGTCTTTTTTTAACTATTTTGACGTCTTGTACGCAGGTGCGTCTTATATACAAATATCTATTTAGAAACTTGCAAAACGTGGCGGTTGCATCTTATACAATAACGCGTCTTATACTCTGGAAAAATACGGTAGTTGGTTTTTAACTGCACCAATAAACAATTCAATGCTTGCATAACTAAAAAGGTGCCTACAGTATTTAGGCTTTTCCAATCTTTTGTATCTGAGGGAAAAGATGAGTCTTTAAAACTTTTATTATTAAAAGACTACTCAGCAAACGTGTTGCTATGCCTATGTCTAGTGGCTCTTGCTTCTGATGGCTTAGCATTCTTGTTTTTATTAATTTTAAAGGCACCAATTAAAAGGGAAACATAAATTTCAGTTGACCCAGCTTTGCACGACCAGTAACGGTCACTAAACCAGCTTTTGTTTGAGTATTTCTGTTATTCACTGAAAGCAGCTGTATTGGTGATAAACAAATCTAACTGCCTTTCGCTTGATACTTTTTATGATAGTTACTTTCTTCCGTATGTGTGGGAACATCGAAGTAATTATATTTTGCAAATCTTAGTATGTTTGAAAGAAGCATAGCAGTGGCACTCTTGGCAACAATCAATCAGACAGTTCATGAAGCGACCATGCCTGTAGGCTTTTCTGCGCTGCAGTTGTGCAATGTGGTCAAGTATCACTATGCGGTGAAGGGTGGTGTTCCCACTGAATGGGCTAAGCTATGTTTTATGTGACACTGCAGCTATGCATATCCCGGCATTTCCTCTTTGGTTGTCCGCACTAGGAATTTTGACATCTTGTGAGTGAATTTCAATTTAACCGTAAATTCGACATGATGTTGCACAAAAAAGACAGTTTCCCAATTTCACGGAAGAAACTGGGGAAGCATTGCATCAAGCTTTGATTTCAGATAAAAGATGGATAATTTCTTTGGCCGTTTTAGAGCAGTAGCTGTCATAAGCTCTTTCCCCCACTGGAAATGGTGTCTGTTGTTGATGTTGTAGATTGCAATGCTGGCCATCCGTCGTCGATGTTGCCAAATCCACGAAAAAGATTGCCTCCCACCCCCGATAATCAAACCTGGGTCCGCTGCAAACAATGCGGAGGTGTTGCCACAGCGCTACGTCACAGCGTTGACAGCCCAATTTATACTTGAGGTTTTTGTAGTATCCAATGCCCACTGCACTTGCTCTCTTGAAAAGAAAAAATAACAGATAGCAAAATGCCGTCGTCACATTGTCAATGCCAAGAGCTCGTGCCGGAAGATGCGCTTTCACGTGCTCTGGAACAAAAAATAGACAAAAGCGTTCGGAACAAAATTGAACAAAACAAAAGCTTGCAGTGCAAAACAGATGTCTATTTTGTTCAGAACGCTTTTGTTTGTGCACCCCATGGTGTGTGAACGCGATGCCGGCGCCCAACGACTTTGTCGAGACGTGTCGCGGCTATTGCCGTTGTTGCGCTGTAACTTAACATGGGACTGCTCAATTTTTGTTCTATAGTATAGTGTAATGTCACTATAATTTTAGTGGTCCGTACATGGTTTTTTCATTTCGTAAATTTGTTGTTCTTACATTCAACCAACTCCTTAATTTTTTTTTAAGATATAATATGTTATAGTACATGGCTCACTCCCAGCCACTCCTCCTAGTACACTCTCGTAGCTGCAGAGTGCCACACAAGTACTGCATCGGCATTTAGCTGGAACACATCTCTTCACCAGTTGAACGCAAGTCCCGGACAAACATTCATGCAGTACATCCAATCCGTGCCCCATGTCGCCCTCCAGTAGGCTATGTAGAAAATTCGGCACTGCGTCCGACGTCATAAGGCTAGAGGAAAGAGAACAAACTCGTGACACGGAGGAAACAAGGAGACAGAAAACAGCGGGGTCAAAGCCCGAATGCACAGCCGTAGGGACACAAACACCACATTTCACTCCCGTTGGAGTGCTCGCTTTGGCAGGCGCGCTTTCTTCCAGAGACACTACACACGACGATGTTCACCACGTCGAGGAACAAAATGGCTCCAAGTTCCTCTGTGCGACATCGCCACAAAGCAACGCACAATGCACTCCTTTAGCGCCAACTTTAACATGATGGTGTTTCTGGTAGGGGACGGATAATTCCTGTTTTTTTTGTTTTTAGTCTTTCGTGGTAGTATAACATTACTGGAAATTCACATTGATAATGGTTATATTACAGGTTCTGTCACATAAATTTGTTGTTTTTATATTCGACTGACTCTACATTCTTCCTTTTTGTGAGCCTGACAAGTGTCACCACCCATCGCCATGTGTCACTAAAGTAGTCTAATAAGTGTCGCCATTTATCGTTATATATTTCATCTATTGTATTTACGTCCGATGCGTACCTTCCCTAAAATAATTCTTTTATGAACCTCTGTTCTGCCCATCGCAGACCCCAATAGCCGGGTGAATGTGCGCCACTGGCAGCTCCTGTCGCTGGCGTGCAGTGTGGCGGCTCCGACGGACCGCCGCATTCTCAATTACCTCCACGCCCACCTGCGCCACTGCGCCATGGACGTAGTCACCGAAGAGGGCCAGTTCGCCCAGTTCGCTCTCAAGGTCAGTCCGAAAATTCACCGATGGAGTCCTTCTCCAAGCTTCAAACTTGTAGGCAGCCAAAGACCGGAGATATTTTTACCTAAGCATTAAAATTGCAAGCATAGCTGTTTTAGCATTATTCCTTTGTGCAGGCAAATACCCAAATGTGCCGATTCTGCATTTCGTGTGTGCAGTGTCTGCCATATTGAATATCCTAATCTTTGCCTCGAGATTTTAAGTATATTAACAGGGAGCGAAAACTATACAGTAAAACCTCGTTATAACAAAGTTGAAGGAGCGATCTTAATTATTTCAATATAACCATTAGTTTGTTATAGCCAATGTCCATTTCTTCCCACTATTAGCAAGCAACGGGAATTATGATTGCTTTGTTATATCCATTAGTTTGTTATATCCCATTTTGTTATAACGAGGTTTTACTGTATTTTGATCGAAAGAACTAGCGGGGCCCTCTGGGCATTGCCGGTGAAAGCTAACTTTGAGAACCCGTGTCGTAAGGAGATGAGTGATTTAGCAGAAACTGAAGCATCAGGACGTCACCAGTTTCTGTGCTGCTTCTTTTTCCTGCCTTAGTCAGGATCTTGCCTACGTCTTTTGAATGAAGTACAGTCATTATCACCAACATCAAAAATCACCTTGTGTGGTAAAATTTCAGTAAATGACTGCCTAGACTTTAATCTTTTGCTTTGATAATGGTATTAGCCAGCTTGAACTTCGACACAATGTGACTGTTAACTTGACACAGCTGCTAACTGGATATGTTTGCTAATACGATATGATTGCTAACACAGTGCATTTGCTGGTGCAATGTGGTTTCTAACATAAAGTAACACAATATGGTTGCTAACATAATACGGTTGCTACTAACATGATGTAATTGATAACACAAAACGGTTACTAACATGGTACAGTTGCTAACAACTTAATTGATATTGGAATATTAGTGATGACAGATTATGGTTGCTAACGCAATATGGTTACTAAGGTGGCACACTTGCTAAGATGACACAATTGCTAACCTGCAGTGTCTGATGCGGACATTGGAGACCCGCGGCCGCAAATGGCCTCCGTCGCGCGACGAAGTATCGTGCACAACGAGGCGCCATCCTTGCCGGGCGCGGGTGCACTTCCTCGACGGACAGGTGCAGAACATCGACTTCGACCCCTGTGTGTCAGCAGCGGAGGTGAGTTTCACCTTATCAAGATCTTCGCAAAGTTGAATGGGCTATGAGACACCTTTCTAATGTTCGAATGAATACTTCGATAAAAGTGACAAGGCTCTGCACTGACACTTTTTATTGCGGCATTGTAGACATGTGTGAATAGTGGATTTTGAGTTCAAAGCGAATAGTGGTCTTGGCCGAATAGTTTTGAGTCAAATAGTTTCTTCGAGCCTTTAACTACCGTGCACCAAGCTTGAACTAAAATTCAGCTGAACTTGTAAAGGTTGTTCTCAACCTTCCACTTGTCCACTCCTAAGCTCAGTTAATTTTAATACAACTATATTTATGAATTGTGACCTGATTTGTCATAGATATCCTAAATGGGGGAATTTAAAATGTGCTTGTTGTATCAAATATTTTTTATCCAATTTCAAATTTGACACAAAAATACCAGCACGAATGACGAATGTGAGTTGTCGAGACATCGCTGCCTGACATGGCATAATCGCCGTGAGTTAGCCCCGTTGAGTGCACTTCTCACCGAGCACATGTGCGTTGCAGGGAAGCAGTTTAAACGAAGCCCACAAGCTCTGCGGGTATTACTTTCCCGCAGTTCATAAATGCTCAATGAGAAGTGCACTTAACGAGGCTCACTCGCCGCGATCAACACTTCGAACAGTATAAATAACGCATTTCATGTTAAAGTGAACATCGAATAGCGTAGTATTCTAAACTACTATTCGAATATTTGCACAAACCTACAGGATCGAATTCTTACTGAAGCTAACTCCGATCTATCCTTAAAAAAGTGAGTGAAGCAAGCACTTGTGCTGCGAGTTTTACTGGCCACACAGCACGACTGTAAAAGAAAAAACAGCAAAGAAAAGAAATCAGAACCGAAAGAGAGGACTTTGAGTTGCTTCGAGAAAGCTTCATCAGTTGCAAAAACTTTGAAGCTACAACGAGAATAAAATACAATACAAAAAGAGGCTGTGGTATCGGTGACACGGTGCCATATGCCTGGGAAGCTGAAACTGGAGTTAGCGTCTGCTGCGTTCCTCAAAAACACAATTTTTGCATATGACTGTTTTGTCGATGGATAGAAATAAAACTGCCAATTTTTTTATTAGTAGTCTCCAGCTATCAGTCTAAAAATTGTAGTGCAGTTGAGTGTTGGCATTGTTGAATTCTAGCTTGAAAGGTCCCAAGTAATGGGCCGCATCTAATTTTGTGTGTTCTATAAATTGGCAGGTTCTCGAGATGGTGAAAGGACGGATCAACCTCAGGCCCAATGCTGAAGGTTACGCCATCTATGAGGTCATTGGCCCCACTGGTGAGTCGACTGCATAATTTTGGTAGCTGCAATGAAAGCAGTTTATTTCTTGTGTTTTTAAGCTGCACAGCGGCTTAAATATGAAGACAAAATCAGTGCAACGACCTCCTAAGGCAAGCACTAGTGAAGAGATGCGAGTAATTGCTTCTTATAAAAGATGTTGAAAGAATTTTATCATCACGGTGTGTCTATTTTCTGTGGTGATGTTGGCATAGAGCCATGGAATGCAGGCATTCTATCTTCTTCTGACATGCATATTATTTTGGCATTCAGTTGTATTGTTGGCTTTTCCTGGCAAAGTAATATGATAAGAATTTGCCTGAAAAGTACAGAATCTCTTTATTCTCAGTATACCCGTAATGTATATATATAATACTTTTCAATAATGTGTTAGTGCACTTTGTTTCCTATATTAGGTCTCATAAGAGCTAGCTAGTCTTCACTTTGCATTCGCTACTGAAACTAGCATATATTTACTGAAGCCTTCTGCTTGCACATTCTCAACTCCCAATTTCATAGTTAAGCGTAGTCACACTTTTTTTCTATTGCCGACCCATAATGCATTGCCTGTCTGGCGGCAGAGCGAGCCATGCTGGGAGAAGAGAAGCTGGCAGACGCCATGTCCAAGTGGGAACGCTGGTCGCAGGGCCAACAAGCTGCCAGCAAGGGAAGCAAGCAACAGTACTTCCTCTTTAAGGCAAGGCTCAACAATCCCACCCCTATGTTGTCCGACGGACGCAGTGTTCTGCAACAAGAATGATGTTTTGCGACAGTAAGAAGGTTCTGCAACAATAACGGCATTCTGGATCAAGGATGGTGGGAGGCTGCTTGTCAAGAACAAGGTCACGTTGGGTTCAGCTTGCAGACACTTCTTCGCATGTCACAACCCGCGCTTCACTGAAGAGAGGCGCTTTTTGGTCATATCTTTTATGAACAGCTAGTCTAGCATTTTTGCTCGAGTGCTTAGGCAGCCGTCGTTCAAGCCAAAATAAGTTCTCAAGATTACGATGTCCCATATCTCTGCTCTTTTTGGTACATTTATATACATATACTGTATATACTAAATATGGTATGTCCTACCTGATTATGCTGACGTACCGCTGTTCCCTCGTTTAAACCTGAGTAGCTGTGTGAGCGCCAATCGACACAACCAATCTAACTACCTTAATATCCCGAGTCATCGCCCGTGCCCGAGTCATCGCCCACCCAACTTTTTGGGCAAATACTGATTTACAGAAAAACACAGAGTGATCGCCCACCCCTAAAAACACCCCAACGCAGACTCCGTGATCCGCGAACATTCATAATACCTGAATGACACAGCCGCAGACTTTACGGTTGAGGGACGTCCGTGACAAAGTAAAATGAAGTGAAGGGCACCTCACTTTGTTTACGCATTTCCTCCCCGATTTCCGCGACCCCGGAGTCTGGATACATTCATGCAAAAGGAAAACGATGGAGATAACAAAAATGAAACTTTGTTTTATTATAAAAACATTTGTTGAGACAAAAATAATCAGAAAGATAGCACGAGCAGTAACCCATTCATAGATTGCGAGGTCAGCGAACGCCCCATATCGTGGAAGGTAACCGCGGAGTGTAAGGACAGAGATGGTAAGGTCAAAGTCCGTCTCCACCGATATAAGGTCACCACGAACCCGTTTCTTCTCCCGGCACGTTGCGACCACAGCTAATAAGGTTCTGCGATGTTTCAGACAGAGCCAGCGGGTAAATAAAGATTTCATTGAATGCCACAGATGGACGCTCTTGAAGCGTCCCATTTCGAGCTCCGTGTTCGTGGCGCCTTCCACACCATGCAGCAACGCCACCTCAACACGCGTTGGGTAGCACGCCGCGCACGGACGCATGCGTGTATGCACCAAACAAGGAAGTTGCACAAGAGCCTGCTACTTGTTACTGACAAGGCGCCCGACTTGGCACGATGCTAAAGTATTTTCCAACGCGCTTGCTCGGTTTTTCTATTTTCTTGTTGACTAAATTTTTTACTTAATTTATTTTTAAATCTACAAATAAGCAAAGGTCAGGGAGGCTAACGAAAGGAACATAGCGGTTTTAGAAACGTGCTTTCACGGAACAAGCGTTTGCGCTGCATGCCAATCGGCGGTGTTCATCGCGCATATAAAAATAACGGACTTCGTAATAGTAAAACATTCTTTCGTGAGGATATCTTCTATAAAGCAATGAAACTAATTCGAGTTTTTAGTTTATTGTATTTCCTGTGCAGCCACGCCAAATACATACTAAAAATTTTGTGTTTATTTTTTAGCTTTTTCTAAACTTTTTGCGCTTACCCACCGAGACATGGCCCACCCCACTTTTTTATGAGTTTCAGGCGGCAATGAGTTGGGATATTACGGTAAGCTATAATCTCGATTCTGACTGATGTCTACAGAAACACCTGCTGCTGGATGCATACATGGACCTCACGGATCAGGTGGAGGAAGAACTGCTGTTCCATCAGCTTGTCTACAACATACGCCTGGATCGGTTTCCGGTCACTGAGCAGGAAGCGGTGCGTTGTGCTTCTTGCATTTTTTGACATTTTTTTTTTGGCTAAGCAACGAAGACAAGGTGACAAAATCTTCATCATGGTTCATTCAGGGTCAACTGTAAGCTTGAACAGTGATTGCTAAGTTTATCTTTGCATAATTTGTGTCATATAAATCTACGCTTGACATACCTCGTAATTTTTTTAATATCTGGTGCACAAAGAGTAGCTACTTATTGAGCTCAATGTAAATGCTTCAAAATGAAAATTGTTGGAGCAACCCTTTTGTTGGCATACAGTACGTGTCCACAGACAGTTAACCGGACTAGTAGTTTGAAGTTTCCTTTCAGTGTTTCCACTGATAGAAAATTGCAACCATAGAAATTTCTCTGAAACATTTGATTATTTACTGGCTTACGACTCTTTCCACCTGATGGCAATAGTACTTACTGACACCGTCCCTGTTTGTCTTCGTGGACCCAGGTTTCTTCTAGCAATCCCAATTTGAGTGTGTTGTTTTTTCTCTCCGTTGTTATTATGCAGGTCACCTTGTGTGCCCTCAAGGCTCAGCTGGACTATGGAGACTACCAAGAGGCAATTGTTGACTATAGGCAAGTGCAGTCTGTGTATTAGATCATTGTGTATTATGGCTTTTGCATAGTTTTTGTCAAGGTAATGCCAGTCCTCATAGATCAAATTATGTCCTGGCACCCCACTACGTTTTTCGCAGGATTATTAATAATTAAAAGATCTGGAGATTTTATTAACTGATGTTAAATGTTAATTTTCTGCTGACCATTTGAAATTGTAAGATGCTGCACGATTCGTTGGTAATGCTGCCTTACGTTCAATATATGTTTTAAATTAAATCATTGTATTGTTGTGAATTCGGCAGTTTTTGTTGTTTGTTTGGTGCGTTGTGTGCTGTTCCATGCTACATTTGCGATATCAGGGTGATCTCTTACGTCTACTGTGATGCACAGTGGGCGATGTAGGAATTAAATAAATAAGATGTCATGGCACTTCAGACTGTTTGACACTTTAAGTCCCGCAACTTGTGAGGCACTAAGACTTAAAGCAAACACCCAGGTGGCACATACTTCAACTTTCCTTGGTCCTGTCGCATGCGGCAGCGTGTCTTTAACTGATAACCGTTTCTCTGTACCCCTCTGTTTCCCCGTGCAGAAAAGTGATGGCCCAGTGTCTTCCGATGCGGCTGCTGAAGCTGATCTCTGCCGACAACGTGGTGACCCAGCACCAGTCTTTGGCCGGGATGAATGTGCAGGAGAGCAAGCGGGCCTTCCTCGCCCTGCTCCAGTCGTGGCCTCTACACAAGGCCACCCTCTTCGAAGTCACGGTAACCTTCCCGCACAACTTTGAAAGGACGCCGAAAACGATTCCCAAAATCTTGTCCGAGAATCATGTTCTTACGGCAACAGCCGTCACCGGCAAGGTTTTACAGCGAATCCCGGTCTGCATTTCGTGCGAGTCGTGGCACGAAGACGCGTTGCCACATGACATCACGAAAAATTCCTCCGACAAATTTAGCGGGAGAATTTCTCCGCGTGCCGCCGTAACGTCACACAAAGCGGTGACGCGACATTGCGACGTCCAGGCACATGATACCATTACGTCATGGTGTGCCACGGTGTTGCGCGACATCTCGGTTAGTGTGCAGTGCGATTGCGTGTAGTCTGTGTGTGGCAGAGTACACGCCACATCGGCCGTCGTCCTGTCATCGCAGTTCGTTTGCACAACGTGGCAAGACACTGGCAATTATTTAGCATCTCGGAAAGCGCAGCATGCCGACAAAAACATGGCACATTTTTGGTCGGCATAAAAACGATTGAAGGAGTCGTTTTTATGCATATACTTTTTGAATCGTGACATCCGCATTGCCTCTCCCCCTTCCCCTCTCCCACCCAGCAATCCTACACATCGTCTTGGCCCAAGACGCTCTGGTTTGCGGTCGACCAGACAGGCGTGCACTTGCTGGAACTACGCACCAGGGTGAGCCAGTGCTACAATCTTCGTCACTTTGTTTCGTGGCATCTCTGTTTCTTGCTCACCATTTTCCGTTTCTTCTCCCTCTTTTCCGAGTGCAGAATGTGCTGTGCACGTGCGAGTACGAGAGCATCATGAACTACAGCCCCTCACTCAACAGTCTGATGATCGTCACCGGTGGCGGCGGCAGAAAGGGTGCCAAGTACATTTTCTCGACCAGCCAGGTGGGCCGCTCGTCGGAAATTGATCGCATTTTGGATGGTTTGATGTGTTGCTGCCTAAAATATGAAGACAAAAGAGGCCTATTTCGTTTTTGTATTTGTTGTTGTTTAACCGTATTCGTCGTGCCATCTAAACACTAGCTGCCTGCATGACATGAAAATATAAAGAAATGTAGGTCATGCAAACTTGCAGGCACGCTCCAACCCTGCCTGCCTACACCAGTCGTATAGGCAGGCGTGCAGCGGCATGTGTGTGCTGTGCAAGCTACTACTATGACCTGCAAATATACAGTTGCAAGTCACGCAAATGCTCAAAGTTTGTTTTTCACAGCATACACAGTTTAGAGGATGTCTGTTGACAGGTAATGCTATATTGGAAAGGTCAATCCAATTTGGTGTGACTTTTGTTGTGAGAAAGCCTAATTTATTGGGTCACTTTTCTTGAGGATGCTTTAATACTAACGAGTTTGAGTACCGTATTTTCCGGACTATAGTCCACACCCGGTGTATAGTCCGCAGAGGCAAATTTGGGGTCAAAAATGAAAGTTTTTGCTTAGACAGTCTGCACCCCGCTGCATAGTCCGCACCTAGTGCATAGTCCGCACCTGGTGCTTAGTCGACACGAAATTCTTCTCATACGCGGCACACCTTGACATATGTTGTTTTCTTAGCTCACAAAAAAAGCCTATAATATACATAAATTGTCAATAACATACTCTTTTATTCACAAAATCCGTCCCGTCTCATCATAATCAACGATATTGAAAAAAATAATTCCTGTATAGTCCGCACGCATAGATAGTCCGCACAGCCAGAAATTTCAACTTTTAAACATGTATAGTCCGCGGACTATAGCCCGGAAAATACGGTATAGTGCTTGGATTGTTTGTGCATATGTGGAAACATTTCAAAAGTATTAAATGCCGATTCCAGAGTTTTGAGTGCTGATTAAAAAGTTTTGAATGCCAGTTGAAATGTTGGTGTATCCAATTCAAACTGAGGGGGGCTTTGTATTAAAATATTTAGGACATTTTCTAAGTAACTTTGAATATTCGAATTTTGAAAATCACACCCAGATGCATTGGCTCTTTTGAGCGCACTTCCCCCGCAGCACCGGTGTACTGCGGCAAAGCAACAACCACAGTGGTAGTTTTGCTGGTATTGCTTTCAACGCTTTTGTGCGATGTGGAAAGCTCATCTTCAAGACGTGTTTGTTGGGGTCCATTTTTTACCAGTTGTAGTTTTGTAGTTCTACAATACCACATTTCTAGTTCTCTATAAACTTCAGTAAAGTAGATTGTTGGGCTAGTTGGTTTCAGAATTTGGAATACATTTTAGTGCTCAAAACACAAGGACAAAAAGACGAGAATCGGACACCACTGTAGTGTCTGATTCTCGTCTTTTTGTCCTTGTGTTTTGAGCGCTAAAATGTGTTCCAAGTTTCTATAAACATTACAAACAACTTTGTTGCAATCTGTACAACCGGTCAATGTTGTTACATTGCGTAGGTATTGTCATAATGACCTTGGATAAACTACTTACTGGTCTGCAAATTTTTGCAGTTTCCACCCTGGCACAATTTATTGCAAAAAACAGCACTGTTTTATGTAAAAGTAAAAAAAATTAAAAGTTTGAAAAAAAAAAAAAAATTTGGAAAAATAAATATTTTTATGCCGCACCATTCACATGGCATTTTGATTAATTGGATATAATTTGACTCCTACGTCCAAAGTATAGATTCTGTTTCCAGTCGACAATCTCTTTGACAGTTTCATGGTGTTGTGGGGTTTTATGAAAGAGTATGCATTTAGCAACCTTCTCCACGGCGGACTCTCCGAACCCACGTCCATCTGGTTGGCTCCTAATGTCGGCAGCACGCCTTTGGTGCTTCAGTTTGTCCCTAGAAAAAACCTTCCCAAAGCGTGACGAAAAGATTCCAGAATAGGTAATCTAAGTACAGCAGTATCGTTTCTTTGCTCCCCCATGATGCATAAACGCTCATACCTTTTTTACCCTGCAGGCCTTGCAGATTGCCAGCCTGATCAAAGACTACACCAATGTGCTCCAGATGAAGCGCAAGCCCACCGAACGCCTGCGGCTCGTGCCTCAGGACATTCCGACAAGACCGTTCCCCGAGGTCGCCCAGGGCCCCACGACTCCGCAGGGTCCGTCATCCACCGAACCGTCTGCTCGTCCCGTCAGCATCCTCTACAAGCCGCCCCCACCCGTGCTCGTCGGCGAGGACTTCGTCTGATGCGGTGGCGGCCCCGGATGAAGACAAGGGTCGCGTCCACCAGACGTTACTCAAGGTCTCGCTTACCTCACCGGTTCAGACGGTGAACCCGTAGGGGTTATTAGATGTCTCCGTAAATTTGTAGTTCAGGGTGACTTTACATACGATGCCACCAAAGAGATAACCATGAGGCCCTATGATGTGCGCAACGGGACGACTTCGAAGTCTCAAACAAGCTCTTGATGCGGTATGACCCTGAAGTGACCTTGAAGTCACACTCAGGCTTGCACTCGAGACTTCTGTTGACATCGTGGTTTTGCTATGGCCTCTCAATCTCATTTGACCTGGTATAATCTTGAAGTCACTATACAAGTAACCTCAAAGTCTCTGTCGGATTTTTGTGTTCGGTACCTCTTGGTCAACATGATGGTCTTGCCGTGGCTTCTAAGTCTCAGTTGACCTCCTGCTGTGACCACGAAGTGACCTTGAAGTCGTATTCAGGCTTGCATTTGGAACCTCTTGGTTAACATTGTGGTCTTGCCGAGACCTCTATTTCATTTGACCTTCTGATGTGACCCTGAAGTCACCTTATCTGGGCGACCCTGAAGTCTCAGCCAGGTTTTGTGTTCGGTACCTCTTGGTCAACATGATGGTCTTGCCGTAGCATTGAAGTCTAAGTTGACTTTCTGGTATGACCCTGAAATGTTCTTATATGATTGACCTTGAAGACTCTATCAGGCTTATTTGTGAGACCTCTTGATTAACATCATGGTCCCATTACAACCCTTCAGTCTTCATTGTTCTTATGGTGGCTTCGCGGTCTTGACCTCCTAACCTTCCGGTCTCAGATTACTCGTGAAGGCTGTGACCCGACGGACTCGCTGATGTCTCAGAGGGAAGAACTAAGAAATCAAACAAAAACTTGAGAGCACAATTTAGCTAGCAAAGATTAATCAGTATGAACAAAGCCCCAAGACACAGACCTGCAGGAGGTTGTCCAGTTAGTCTCTTGTCCTTAGTATCAGGATTTCATTCATTATGATCAAGAAATTGGTTTGAGGTCTGCGTCCCTCGCAGGTGGGTGATTTTCTGCAGGAATCAGCGCTGGAAAAATGTCTCCTGTAAAGTTGCAATGCAAACTGTTACGACGTGGCTCGTGCCAATGGCGTGGCGGTAAAACGAAGGAAATTCTAGCTCAGAGTTCTCAGAAGGCCGCCTGCTAAGGATGCCATTGCAAGGTAGAGCCGAAAGTGGTTCCTACATCACATTTGAACGACATTTGGTACCAGGCCACGAGAAGAGTCCTTAGGGTTGTATGGTATGAAAGTTCCAGCACTACTGCCAGAAACCTTATAAGCTTGTAAAGAAATGTGAGGAACGCATATACATAGAGTCGTCGTTGAAAATGAATTGTAGAATGCTTTTCAGAACTTGATGCACCGCTATCTATCGAACAAAAGGTAAAACAAGGTTTTCAACGTCTACAGCATTCTTGGATTTTATTTTCTATGCGACGTAGAAGGGAGCTGAATGTTTTACAGACGATCGCGACAGGTTGCGTTTGCAGGCAGAACTTGCAGCATAGCTGCGTCGGGGCTGTGTGACTCATGGCAGTTTTCACACTTATGTGCTTCAAAGTAAACGAAATGTGGAGGCAACAATAACAAGCAGAGGGCGGGCTGTGAGGCACGTGGCCCCGAGCGCTAGCTTGGTGGTTCCTATCAATGCCATGTCAAACCCACGGGAGTTTTTCACATGATCTTGTGATGACTTGATACTCAACAGAACCGACATTCTCTTGTCCACTTCTAGCCATAGTTTGGCCCTAGAAGCTAATCGTTTTGCCACTGATCATCAAAAAGAGCAAGGGAGATCTTCTAGAGATTATAGTTTACATGCCACCATCTTATTCAGCCGGTACTGTTCGTCACCACAGTGAACAGTGAACTCAAATTTAATTGATTGATTGATCGCAGATAGCAAACCTAGCAAGTTAATTTTAAGCTTTAAAACCAAAAAATCCCCATTGAAACTGCCTTTTTGTCTAGTGTATAGTACTATAATTAATTAGACAAGCAAAAGGGTAGTCCACCTTGATGTAACCCTTTAGAGATCAGTACTATTGATGAACAAACGTGAAATTATTGTGCCAAACGAAATTGATACAGAAGCAAGGCAGTGCTCACAGAAATTCCAAAATGGTCGTATGTAATGGGCTTTTTCGAGTTTCTGTTGAAGTATGCAGTGTTAAAGAACTAGATTTTTTTTTACATTTACTGTCAACCTACACAAAGCCACCTTTGCAACGTTTGAGTTTGCAGCGACTGCAAAGTTGTAAATACTCAGCTGCTTGTCACAATTTTAGGTAGGCTTCTTTGATGTAATTTGGTCATTGTGGTTTCTGGCTGTGGTTTCACAGAGATGCTAATTTATTGACATATGTAGTTGCAAAGTGTATTTGTAGCGGAAGGAGCACTTTGCACTATGTTGTGAGCGTAATGTGCTGGTGTAGAGCTTGTATGTTGAGTTTATGAAACTGGCTGCACCTTATTTATTATGTTTTTTGTTTGTAAGTAATGGATGGAGGAGACGGTATTTATGAGTTCTAGTACGTTTTGTGATCGTTAATCGAGGCAAAATGTTTCACAGAAAAAAAGTCTTGCATAAAACTTAAAGGTAGTATGTGCAATATAGCATAACCCTTCTGCAATGTGCTGGCCTTTCGGGAGCTGTGGCACGGTATCTAGAATTTTAAACAACTCTCAATGTTTCGCAGGTATATACGCATTTATATTTATTTTTTGTCTTCCACATCGACATTTAACATTTTTCGATCGCTTCCGAACAGACCTTTGCAGTCATTGCCACATTCTTTTCACAAGCACTACCACCATAGAAACGTTATACACACACTGAGGGGAATTTTTAGCGTATTTATAAACACTTTACTAAGGGCATATTTTTTGTGCCCGCCATACACGGCACAACGTTTTCCGCGGTTAGTGAAAAACCTTCGATTGTCTCTTTGACCGTTTTGCTCAATTTCCTGGGACTACTCCACGGGAGAACGAATGAATGGGAGCGCGACGCCGGCGACTGTATTTGTGAGGCATATCAATCTGACCCCCCCCCCTCCCCACTGTACATCCCCTGCCCGCGTTTGCACATTGCACACTGAGTGCACCTACGTTGGTGACGTCGGCGACGTGAAGCATTCCATTTCTCGGGCATCCCCGTACATGTGTTGTGAGCACGAATTATGCCGCGACTATTTTTGGAGCAGGTGGCGTGCAAGTGGGTGTTGCCATCAGCTCGTTTTCGGTTCCAACCATACGCTTCTGCTGACGGTGACACTGGTCACACTGGCATGAAAAGATTCTACCAAAAGATGCCGAAATATATAATTATTTTTGAAAAAAAGTTAAGATGTGGCTTCTGGGATTAGTAGCCGCCATTATCCGTCACCTGTGGTGGTCGATATCGCAGTATTATTCGCGACCTTTCCCAAGGTCGTAAAAACGTTTCCAGCGTTACCTGTACTGCCCCGATTGATGTCAGATAGTATCTTGATGTTATGTAGCATTCGACTAGTATACCGGTAGATCGTTTTCATCGTAGTGGGAGCTCCAGTGCTTATGATAAGCCCGCATTACTTTCCGTAGTGATATATTTAATATTTTTATTGCGTTTCTAGAAATTGTGACAACAGTGCTTACACAACAATATGGGTTTGACCATAAAACCTTAACACACTCGTAGTTTTCTTTGCCGCCGAATCCCCGAAGGAAGAGCTTGTTTTGGGCAAAATGAGGTTGTAACGCAAATTTCTTTTGTGTCCTGCATAACGTAGAAATAAAGTCGGAAAAGCGTCATCGGTGCAAGGTATTACCGTCAGTGTGAACGATAAACCAGTGAGCGTATGTTAGGTCGTCAGCACAGAGCAGTACATAAAACATGTGTCAACACAACGTGTTGGCACATGTTTTGGTGGTGAGCGTCTAAAACGCAACATAGTCTTTAACCAGCCAAGTTACGTGACGCACACGTCGACGTAGCGAAGGTGACAAATGATGCACTTGCGGCAATGCAAGCTGTACATTGACTTTTGCGTTTTAAAAATGTGTACCTTACACGTCGCTGCTCTGTTATGGATTTTAACAGGTAGGCACGGTTGCGTCTGTAGTGTGATTTTCGTTGACCGTTAGCAGGGAATAGCTGGCTTTGCTCCGGACTGCATTAAAACTAACAGTACGGTGTAGGATTTTCGTTCACCCTTGTAAATACGATTGACTTGAAACTACTCTACACAAGCTGTGAGTGCTATGCGAGATGGTGAAGCGAATGACTATTTATTGCAGCGGAAGGAGCGCGCACAGCAGAAGGCCATAACTCTGATGGTCCCCTTCACCAACTTAGACAGATATATGATATATAACACCAATGGAAATGTGTTCAGGGCTTTTGCGAGCAGATTCCGTAGGTCGTGTCCCAATGTATATATATATAGAAGGAAAAACGAGAATATATGGCCCTGCCCTCCTTCCCAACATCGTTTACGGTACGTGTTATTCCCCGTATATATATACAAGTCAAATCTTGTTAATTCAAACTCGAGGGGGGCTGAAAATTTGTTTGAATAATGCAAAGTTTGAATCATCGGGAGTTTCCTCCCCTAGAGACGGAAAGGATCGGACCTGCATGTTAGTTTGAATTATCCACAAGTTTGAATTAATGAGAGTCGACGTAACAGCCAAATAATTTTTTTCTCGGGCCCCTGATGTGTATACTGCGAGAAGGGTGCAGCAACTTCTAAGACGACATATTTCTTACAATTACTAGCTTTTTTTTTTTTTTTTTTTTTTACTTACTTAGAATTTAATTATTGATGGCTCTAAACAAACCAAATCGCTATTGCCGCTTCGCCGGGAGTCTTAGTGGCTATTTCTTGCGTGTTACTCAATATATGTTGAATTAAGTATAATGACATGTACTAGATGAATTGATGATTCATATTTTGTGATTGCTGTTTTTGGTAGCTCAGGCTTAAGAGCTGCTGTGCCCTCTTAACTCAAGTATAATAGGTCTCTTATTGGGTTGTTTTTTCTTTGTCGCGATGTCGCCAAAGTTGGCCGAACTGTTTAAAATGCTCTGCTGTAGAATCGAAGGCTCGATGGTGTGTCAAAACAGGATAGCTCAACTCGCCGTCTCTCAATTTCTGCTATGCTTCTTTTTTCTCCTCATTGATTCTTTTGTTTATATTGTTAATTCACTCATTACCACCTGGAGTACTTATCTTACATTTTGACTTACGTTTTTAAGCTCTTACTCGAGTAACAGGCTCATCTGCTTTAGGCATCTGGCACAATGACACAGATAGTCTTAGAAGAAGGAGGCAATGTTTCAAGTTTGTTCGCTAAGCCAACTAGTGTGCATGCATCGTCTCCAAGACGAGGGTCTAGCAGATGGTGTGTGATTCACAGCACTGTGTCTCCTGTCAGGTGTCTAGCACTGTCAGAAGTCTGCTTTTCAAGTGTTCTCGATGGTTGTCTCGTCTTCACGACACGCATTATTTTTTATTTATTGAGATTTTGAGACTTTCTGTGTTCTTTTTGAAGTAGACACATTTTTGTAGGCCGTCATTTCAACCTCAATTTCTGTTTGCTATAACGAGATTTGTTTTTTCTGAAAGCACTGCGGCCATTGTGGGCCTCTGCCTTCATAAAAATATTGCTCATTGAACGCGTATGGTGGCGCTTTGTCTTTGGACTGTGTCTCACTGTGCCCGTGGTGCTGTAGTTGCAAGTGTAGCTGGACATCGGTTATGCTTCCTTGAGTTGTATCGAAACTCGGCATGTAGTGCCGGTGAACGCAAAAATATTTATAAATGAAAAAAAAAAAGTCTTAAGCGTTTTTTGCAAGTTGCACCTCATTCCCCGTTAAATGTACAGTTATATACTTCTATCTCCATTCTTGGTGTACCTCGTTTTTGTTTGTTTCTTTTTATGTTTTGAAAAAACAGGCCAAAACGTTATTACGGAGAAAAGCTTACTCGCCGCAGATTTTCTGCTTGTAATGTGAGATTATCTACTGTATGATGTATAACACAACACATGATTGTACCTAGTCAAATGAAACTTGCACCATGAAGGGGCATATGATGTTTTGATAATTATATACTTAATAAAATGAAGTTGTAAAATTTCCTGTTGTCTGTTTGTGTGGTATGGTCGTGCTGTCTTGCAAAACAGTGGAGATTTTAGTGGTAGCATTTCATTTGTGTAATGTACACAAACACACAGACAGACAGACAGATGTTCGTTGGCTGTCATAATGTATGTTTTGTTCATTCTAAAGCAACATATTTGTAACTGATAGTTTGTCTCGATCACTGCATCGGCATCAGCTCATGACTATATATAATCAGAGATTACAGAAAGTGTAGTACGGGTAGTGATGCACCTGCAAAATAAAAATTTCTCAAAACCTGAATAAAAAAAAAATAAAAATGCACTATTAAGTTTAGATTATTTCGACTAACCTGTTGATGTGCTTATTAGACATGACAGACATGTAGGCTAAACTCATTTTTCATGAAGAAACTTTTACTTTAAAATTTTACCTGAATTATTTTATTTTAAAAAACTAGGGCTGGGCGTTGGTAAAAAGTTTTAACCCGATTAATTGCCACCCTTTAATCGATTAGTGAATCAATTAATTGGTAAAATAAAATTTTTCGTCTTTGCTGAGTATGTGATGAACGGCAAAATGTACAATTTCATATTTTAGATCACCCTAGATGTGTAGTCGAGAACAGTCAAAAGACACAAGTTAGTACTTCAGCCGGGTAGGCAAAGAGGTTTGTTTATTTTCTCCGGCAGTAGCAAACTTTAATTGTTTACAATAGTCTGTTGTGCCAAACAAACAATTGTACTGCGTTAAAGTGGCTGCTAAACTTGTTTGGAATTACAAATCCCGCCCCTGCTGTTTACTTTAGGTCAAAATTTCACCTAAAGTTTGCCTTCATAGTGTACACTCATCTAAATCTGTGTGGTGAAAGTTTTGAATTATTATTTTTTTAGTTTGTGAAAATTTAACCAATTAACTGGTTAAAAAATGAATTGCAATTAAAGCATTAATCGATTAATCAATAGGTTAGTCGGTCAAGTGCCTGGCCCCTTTAAATATGGTATAATTCAATTAATCACTTCCATGTTCAATGCAAGCGATAATATAATTGCAGAAAAACTGTGCATCTATGAGAAGATTTTCAGTCAAGTCGTAGAACTGCTGTAGTACTTTTGTCACGTATGATATTTGCCAAAGCAGATGCCGGGGTGAACAAATCACCGCATTGTACAATGCAATGCCATTCAGCTGAGATGGAGTCTTTCACACAATTTTTTTTCTTTCAGTTCCATAAATATAGGGTTCGGATTTTTCGGTTTCTATTTTTTCGAAAGTCGGCGAACTTTTTTCGGTGTTTATTTTAAAATATAATTTTCGGTTTTTATCGGCGTATATTTATGCCCACAAAAATTTATCGGCTTTTTTCGGTGACTATAAAATAAACACCAACGAACACCGTATCAGATTATCTTTGTAGCTTTGATATTTGTGATTACTCAAAGAATAACGGCACAGATACACTGAAAAATAAATAGACACTTCATTTGGCAAATGTGTGCAACTGTAAAAGAAAAAAAGAAAAAAACACAAGTACAAACAAGTCAGATATGAAGCCTATATGCCCAAAACCATGGAACTTCACCTTCTGTATATTAGGATTACCCCCCCCGTGATCTTATTATAGTTACAGTACACACACACATGTACTTTCCCAGGTTCTCCTTGCTGATGCGCATTCTTTCTTTCCTGTTAATATGACCCTGAGCTTCGAGAATGCCCTCTCGACGCTAACAACACTGGACACTAGCAGGCTGAGATGAAAGGCTGCCTGAGTCAAAATCGGCCAATCAACCAATTGTGACTGCTAAAAGAGACACGGTGCGACGTTTTGAAGCACAGCGCAACATGGAGAGCTTGCATCAAGTCAGTCTCCCTTACAACGAGTTTGAAAACAAGCTCGTACATGGCGAAGCCATGGGGCATTTCGGACTTTACGTTTCGATCAATGACACGCACATTAAACCAAAACGTCGTGATGGCACTCGTGTATCCCATACATTCAGACACGTTTCGATAGACACTGTCGTTCCACTTTTTGCCACGGCTCTGCGGTACGACTGGAAGGTTGAAGTGACCTTTTCGGGTTAAAACTGAATTTTATAAAATGAATTCGACATACTTTTATCGATTTTTATCGGTTTTAATAGAAAAAGCTGAACCTAAAAACTGACCTTTTTCGGTTAAAACTGAATTTTCGAAAATGAATTCGACGCACTTTTATCGGTTTTTATCGGTTTAAACCGAAAAATCCAAACCCTACATATATAGCACCTAGAAATGCCTCAAATTCATCCAGTGTGACACTAACAAATTTGCCAGCGTGACCAGAAATTTTTTTGTTGTTGTTGACGAGTTTTACAGTTACTATTATTATCCTCAAAACATCCGTAAGAAACAGCTGAAAGCGCTGGATCTTGTACCATAAAATGAGAATATTAGTTATGATCTGCATCAGTGTACATTGAGAAACAGCAGCATAACTGTCATTCACAGGACTGTCACAATCATTTGCTGAGGATTCATCACAAACTTTCAAGAGCTCTTCAGGGAATCGTAGTTGTTTTCTCCGCTCAAATCACCTTTGCCAAATGAATAGCTAATATCTTTTCCGTAAAAAACTGACGAAGAAAAAGCTGCCATAATATGAAAGCATTAGAAAAGCCCCAGAAGTAGAAAAAAAGTGTTGTCATTTATGCTAAAAACAAAAAATAAAGCTAAAAAATTTAAATCATACACTCTTGATGATAAATACCGGACATTATGGGACTGTCCGGACTGTCGTGGGAGCCTGGACGTCTGACTACAACCGGAACATTTCTATGTTGGGCGACATTTGACATATATAACCCCAAAGGGTTAAGGACATTTAAAATATTGATAAGAAATGGATAGACTTTACAATACTTGAGGAAGAAGATTAGCTATTCCAGAAAACCTCTGAATTGAAAGCATGGAAATACGTCACTATGGTCCAGTGGCGGACGTGACAGATTTGCCTATAATTATCTCACGCCGCAAAGGAGAGGGACTAGACTTGCAAAAGAGGAAATACTAACTTGGGAGTTACAGCCAGAGAGAGAGACCGAACGGTCATCGTTAGTTATAAAACGTCGTAAAAAGAAGACGTTGTAAAAAAGTAACACTGTGGTTCCCTGTAAAAATGTAGTAGACGCCCAGAAGGTGGAATCGAACCACTCTGACGTCAATCAGCTACGGGTTTGAAGCCCGCACCCCGGACCACCGGAGATCGTCTGGGCATAAACAGCACTTCACGCAGCTCATTATATAGCAGACAAATTCTCGTTCACTCGTTTCGCGAGGACTGCCCGCTTATTCACGAAATTTACAGCACTAATATACATTATAATCGCACTAAAATACTATTATATATCTTTTATAACAAGACTAGATATATCTCTTACTTTAGTTAGAACTTATACCTCTATTACAATTTAAATTATCGAATTAATAGTAGAAAATAATATAAACTAGGACGGATGAGCGCGCCGCCTACCGGCCAAAACACGCGTTTGGCGGTTAAACGAAGAACGGCAACTACGTTATGGCCGACGTTCATGGTGACCTCGGAAAAATAGCGAGGGGTTTATGGTTTTCGTCGCCCACGCCCAGGACCCGTTGTTTCTTCCCTTCGGCCCAGAAGATAAGTGAGCGTCTTTAATTGGCATCCTGAGCCGCGTCTGCGAGATTTTTGCAAAAAATATAGGTGTCATATTAGTAGGCGCAATCGCTGCCCAAGATGGCGGACGTCGAGGGACAACAACAAACCCTCATGGTAGCTGGCGCGGGGGATGAGCTTGCGAGCTCGGAGGCGGCCGCCGACGACAAGCTCGATCAGGCCACCGTGCAGCAAGTGCAAGTCAGCGAGTCCGGCGAAATAACGGCGTCGGACATCTTGCAGCAGGCCTTTCAGGAAGCGTCGGGCGAGTTCGAGCAAGTGGCGGTTACCTACGCCACGGTCGAAGACGGCGTTGCGGTCTTGCACGGCGCCCTTCCAGACGGAATCTTGCAGCAGCAGGTCAGCGAGGACGGGCAGATCGTGCAGCCGGTGACTTTAGCCGACGTCGTCAGCGACACCGGAGCGGAGGCCGCCGAGCCGACGGCCGAGGCGGCCGAGACCGAAGAGCCCGCCAATACCGCCGAAGATGACGCCGCCACTGGCGAAGCCGTTGCCGACTTCGTGGACGAAAGCGGAGCGGAGCAGGCCGTTCTCGTCCAAGACGACGCCGTCGAAGAGGGGGGAGACGAAGACGCAGCGATGCAGGAAGACGAAGAGCCTGCGGCCGCGTCGCCCGAGTCGGAAGAAGCGACCGCTTCGTCGCCGTCGGTTCCTGTCCGAATCCAGCCCGCTTCGTCGTCATCGGGCACTCTGCAGCAGATCGGCTTGCCGCAGAAACAGTCGTCGGCACCGCTGGGCTCCTCCGAGAACCCGATTCAGATCATACAGCAGGGCAACACGTACCACTCGACCCAGGTCCTGTCACCCGAACAACTGCAGCAGATCGCACACGTCCTCCAGCAACAGCAGGTGAACCGCGCCATTCAGAACGGCGGGTCTGCGGTGGTCTTCAACCCCCAGACGAACACGAGGATTATCTATCGGGTCATCTACCCGTCCGAGCTCGGCAGCAAGTCATCGTCGTCGTCGACGACGACTAGGGCCTCCTCGGGACGCGGTAGGGGGACGTACTCAACGCGAGGTCGCGGGCGACCGAGGGGACGCGGTTTCGCGAGGAGAGTCGTCGATGAGGACGACCCGCGTAGCGACGGCCCCGAACTGTCGCGAGAGGAGAAAGAAGAGAAGAAGAAACACCGGCCGCGGACGCGGTCGGGGCGCATCTCGAAGCCGCCGTCGTACATGGTGAAAGACTACAAGCGCATCCACCACCTCGACTTCGACGACGAGCCGTACGACGACTCGGACGGGGGTTACTCCGACTACCAGGTCAGCGACGACGAGGAGCGAAGCGGGAGGCGATCGTTTACGGGTTCGTGCTTTTCTCGTTTCTTTCACATCTTATGTTCTGGGAACCCCCGTGTGCTTGCATTCCTAACAGTGTATTGGAAGAGTTTGGCCAATAGGCGGAGCAAAGGCCGCCGCCAGCGGCGAATAGTCCCCCCCACGCTTAGAGCGCAAACTAAATTTGTGACACAGCGTCGACCAATCAGGAGACCGCGACGTCACAATATAGCAAACGACATTTGAAGCGTGAAGCGTTTAATCTCGGCGTCTCTACTCCATCTCACAAATGTCTGCAATGAAGACAAAGGCACAGGCGCGTGAGCCTAGCTCAGCAAAACGCTTTTGTTTGTACGAGAACTCGTGCATAAGAGGCGCTTTCCAAAGCCACGTGCTCATGCCCATGCCTTTGGCTGCACTGCTAGGACAGCGTCCTGAGACTGGCTGAAAGAAAACAGTGCGAAGGGTGGGGCGCGCGAGCGTCTTGAGACGCGGAGTCCCGCTCGGCTCGTGCACTGGCTTTGGCAGTGCTTTCTTTCCCCGTCTCAGCTGAGACGCTGTTTCTAGCTAGTACGTTTGTTTATTCTACACTTGAATATTGGCGTGACTAAAACCCCACATGCACAAAGTTTTCAGTCATCGAGAGCTAAACCTTTTCACTCTAGCGACGCTAAAACGGCTCAAATTAGTCGTGTCACATATTTAGATCGCACGACCACCGCGAGGGGCTATTTCGCGGCCTGTGGTTGGCCTCGAGATGCTCGCCTATTCAAACCAATGTATGGCCAAACTCTCTTTATAAACGGCTCTGCTTGCATTGAGTATGGAGCGCCACCTAGGCACGTTTCGATCTGGATGAGCATCGTGCCAGCGTGCAGTCGTGTATCGCTACTACGTGGTCCACGTTAAAGACCCCATGCTGGCAGTGGTACTGCACTGGCTAAATTTCTTGTCTACAGTGGATACACATCTACAACAGACAAGAAGTTAGTGAACCCATTGAGGCTGACTAACTTCCCCGTCTAAACATACACACCGCAAGAATGCAACAGCGTTAGCACAAGGAGATGATCACCAGCCTTCCGACTGAGCGGCCATCATCAGAAAACGACTAGCTTGGCAGAACACTTGTGGCTGCCCCATGTCCTGTTGGACGGAATCTTAACTCTGGTACATAGAATGGGGACGATGCAGCTTGTTTTATCCCCATATTTCTTGCTATTCCTGAATCTCAGGTTTTTAATTAATAGAATTTTTGTTGATGCCTTAATTACCCCATAAATGGGATATTACATGACGTTTACCCTACAAGGAGATGTGTAGTGCTGGAGCAGAGCACAGAGTCGGTGGACAGATCATTCCAGTCCCTTGATGTCTGGACGAAAAACAAACAGAGATGGGCGGTAGTAGGTAAAGGCAAACAGCTTCCTGCTCGCTTGTTTAAATGTTTTTTCAGTTTGTGTATTTGTGTTCAACCCAGATGTGCTATACAGTGTACGCTGAAATCCGTCGTCGGTGCCTAAACCCATGAGCTCTCGTGCAGGTCTGGGGGGCCGTCCACGCAATTACAAGTGTCCGACGTGCTCCAAGTCGTACATCGGGCGTGGAGGTCTTTGCCGGCATCTGCGACTCTATCCCGACCATGGCAACCCGTCCGATGTTGAGGAACTGAGCGTCCACGGTAAGCTGCTGAGTTGCTGAAGAAGAAAGAACAAACAGAACGCGTGAAGGTTAGCTGTGTAAGACATTGCAAGGGCTTCACCCGAATATACCGTTTTCGAAATTCAGTCTGTCAACTTTCATCGGTCTCGTCACATTGATCGACTGCATCAGCGTCAAGATAATGGCGGGCTTCGTGAGGCTGATGAGGGAAGAAGTTGACGATACTACGGAGCAGAGGATATATAAGGCCTGTACGTTTGAGACGTCAATATGGCACGACGCACAAATTAGGTACAGGGCCGCGTGAGTGTTTACTTTAGAGTGTGGTTCAATCTATCTCTTAGTACAAGTTTGGCTCTAAAGCCTTTTGATGGTGGAAATTTAATCGAGAGGCCTATGGGTTGCCGCTTTGTACTGGCGCTTTGTATTGGTTAGTTGTTACGTTCACATTATTGAAACTGCACCAAATCAAGAAAGAATTCTGAGGTTATCGGAGAACCAACTCTCATCTGCGATTGGAGTGCAAAAGTGACTGTGCCCGGCGAGATAGTTTCATGACCGCCATTAGTTTGTGGAAAGTGAAGCGCTTTTGGACTTATCAGGTGGCACTGAATTTTGAAAGTATCTGTTTCCTTCACGTACAGAACACCTGAACTTCTCTAAAGTAAAGTCGTACTAGAGAAGAAAAACGGGTTCTCTACACCGGTATTTGCGTAGATCTCCTCCACCTTGGGAACCCCCTCCTAAATCATTAACGTCCAGCGGTTAAAACTCAGACAGTCACCCTTGTGGTATGTACAATTTAAGTCTGGTGGCAGCTGCGAACATTGTTCGCTCTGCTGACGGTTAATTGCTCCGATAGTCTTGGAGAATTCTCGGAGTCAAAGCACGGACCGGATGCTGTAAGCGACTTAATTTTTGCGAAGACCTACTTTTCACAAGTAACTAACAGCAGCACAGCACTAACTAAGTAGCTAACAATTTGGACGAAATTTCGACCCTTCAGAAGCTGCATTGAGATGCTGTGCTTCCTTGAGCAACAATCTAACAATGGGAAAACACGCATGTAAAGGTTCTCACTTGATCATTACATACATTCTATGAATAACATGAGTAGGTTATGTATTTGAAAGAAAAGAATGCACTAAATTGGAATTCACGGTAACCTCAGGAAGTTTATTTTCCGCCTTCTGGTTCTTTGATTCGAGAAAAGTAAAACCCGCAAATAATTCAAAACTTTCAGCTTTGGCCTGATATGCTACCATTCGAGCTCCTGAAAATTAAGTAAATTACAGTAGATTTTTTCACCGGCACATCACCTGCCTAGAAGGCACGAGCTGTGCACCATTTCAGGCTGAAGGCCAGCCAATTTATTCTTGAGTAAACCTCTGCCCGGCCTTGGAGATGAAATCACTGACATCTAGCCATATTAACATTTCAAATGTCTGCATCGTCGTTGCAAACTTGTGACTAGATTCCTTTACTATATTTTTTACAAAATTTAAGGTTACCTTTATTTTGTTGTAGCTTAATTTGTTGAGAGTGAAAAAGTTGACATTGCGAATTTATTGGCCATTGTCATTAACAGGTGGGTCTACAGGCCCCATTTGTAAAGTTTTGTTTGAGTGAAGTATAATAAAAAAAATAGCAGCACCAGAGAAAATTTGACTAAAGCAAACTAAAACCCAAGAGTCTGGATGGATGGATGATAACGGCTGTATTCTTTATACCAGGTCGTAGCTTGTGCCACCTTGCCTAAAAACAATAACAAAAACCTGATTTCCACTCTCAAGCCAATGCATTTCCCTATTAACCTATAAATCGTTATAGCTGACCTCTCCTCCCCCATCCGTCTCTTTGCCTTCTTAACTGCATTTTTCCCTGAACGCGTTTGCTCCACCCCATTGCCCGTCTTCAGGAATTTCATCCTAAGCTTTTGTGTCCGCCTCGTCCATCTCGGGGAAACTGTTCTTCACTCTCCAAACCTGCTTGGTCTTTTAAGTTAATTTAAAACAATCGCTCCTTAAATACTGCATTTTGTGCATTGCAGAACTTTGGGGGTAACGGTCGCTGCCAATTTTTTTTATGCACAATGTGTCTTAGGAGTTTTTTTTTTTTTTTTTTTAAAGAAAATTGTCACGGATGAGTGTCAGGAACAAGCTTCATGGACAAGCATCCCGCTGGAAGCGTTGCGGTATATATAAAGCTTACGAAGGTCGATGTAGAGTCGACGTACCAAAGACGGCCCAGCGGGGCTCGAACTTGGGTCGGGGCGGCGGCAGTCGGACACTAAAGCCACCGAGCTGAGCAGCAGGTTTACCCCAGTAGCATTGCGCTCTTGGCAAAACGTGTCGGCGAGAGCGATGCGACTTCCTACCACGCGACCGCCTGCCTCGTTGACGGCATGCGTCACACAAGGGGCATTTAAAGTGGCGGCTGTGCAACGTACCTGTTCGCTCAGTCTCGCCCCAGCTATCGTCTGTGGCCGCGACGAAAAAACTAGCACAAAATGTACTCGGAGCGTGGGTTTGCATACCTGCCAAGTCTCCCACGTTACCCGGGAGATTCCTGAATTTCGACCAGTTTGTACGATTGACAGAAGAGTCTCCCGGAAAACATAAATCCCCTCCTGCCTTTCTCCGAACTAAAACAAGGAGTTTTTGCCATCACAACAGACGGCTGCAATGATAGCGGGGCCCAGATGTATCTCACTAGCGTGAGGAGTGCAATATAAATAGAATGAAGTTGTCTTCGTGGTAAATTTTTGTTCTCAATATTTCTTTTCAAAAAACCGTAACGCCCCCCCCCGGCTTAGAAACTCCTAGATTTGGTTCCTCCGAACTTGGCGGACATAGGTTTCTGCGGGACAGATTTTGCGCTTCCTGGTCTCTGTTAGCATGATCGAGCTTGCATAACTTTTTATTAATTTACGGTATGCTCGGGATATGTCGTGAATAAGCAGGCTGGAAAATTACGCGTCGGCGATGCACGAAACGTTTGTAACTGCACGTGACGTCTCTTTTCCAGACGAAACGTCCAACACGCCACCGCCTTCGTCCGCCATGGAGCGGCGGCCGGGCGAGGGCCGGTCCTCGGACGCGGGCGACCGCAACCCGGCTATGATGGCGGCGCCGCAGAGGAGCCGCTACGCCGACCTCGCCTCCATCCGCAGAAAGTCGCGCCTCCGAGAGGTGGGTGCCTTTTGTGCAAACCATGGAATTATTATTTTATGCACTAGAGGTTCAACTGGCACTAGTGTCTGTGCAATTTCCGGGATGCAAATTGAAGCAGGCAGCAACCAGTCCACTTTGCAATGCTCCTGTGCATTCCTATGGGAAAATGCGCGTGCATTTTGTCTCTTCGCCGGAAAATAACACGGAACACTTTGGTTATTTGGGTCGTGCCGAAAAAAATGTACCTTTGTTAGCATTGTAGAAGTGTAATTGCTTTAGTTACAGCATTTTCTTCACCAGTGATTGATGTTAAACTTTGCTATACTTCAGGCCCAAACATTTGTTCCATAGTAGGCATGTAAAAACTTGCGACAATTCTAATCAAAATAACAATCGAAAGGATTGTAGAGTGTGTTCAAGGTTCAACAGCATTCCGGTGGCGCTTATTTATTGCTGATATGCCCGTCCTGTCACCATATAAAAATGACCCCATCGTGCATCATTACGAGCAGTTAAAAAAATTCTAAGTGTAGAGAATGAGGTTTGTGAGCTATGAAAGATGTTTCTTTTTATTATTTCCAATGCCAGGCAGCTTTTATTGGGCACCTATTCTCTGGCTTTTTCCTTTTTTCAAAGATTTTAAGCACGAGAGTGATGTCTTGAATGCAGAACAAGCATCTTCACACATATTCGCGAGCAGAAAGAATAAAGCAGTACTTTTTTTAATTGCTAATCAGGCTATGTTAGTTGCTTCAGCTTGTTTTGATCGTCTGAATGCACAAGGAGTTGCTGATCCAGTGTTACTGCATAGTCCTTGCCGTATATCTTGGTTTTTTTAGATGTCCTTTATTTGTTCGACACATATAACCCCCATGCTGGAAAGTGCCGACACTGTGTTCGCTGTAACAGTGTACGACAGTGAACATATATACATGTATGAAGCCGTTTTTAGTCCCATGAATTTGAAATAAAAACGCCGTAACTGATCAATTATTTGGTCCGCGCGACTGAGAAACGTTCCAATCTACCTAGTACGCATAAGTTATTTGTGATATTCGCTCTTATAATTGAGTGCAGGGAAAAAATGAACTCGCTTTTTCCCATAGAAATGCATTATTGTAAGTCAATTTCTAAATGGTTGCTGTCTGCTTTAATCCCTATGATGCAAACTCTATGGTGCGAAGGGCTCGAAGCATGTCGCTGCCGTGCCCGGGAGCATTCGGCGTCTATCCTGCCCACGCGTCGAAGATGGTCCCAAAGTAGCAACAACAAACGGCACAAAAGCCGGGCGTCACGCGGTCGGACGCTGCGATGCCGGCACTTGCGCATAGAAGTTCCAGCGAAAAGCGCGAGTGAACACGGGTGTCGCCGCGACGTAGCCGGTATTGCGGTTGGCGACGACGCGACACTTTGTGATGTCGCAAGGTGGAAATCGAGGGATCGCTTTTTTCGGATGCGGGAAACGCGCCGGTCGGAGACGCGTTCCAAACGTACTTTGCGCCCTTCCGGCGTGTTCGCAGTCTCTGTGATACCAAAGCGCGCCTCCGACCCGTGCGTCTGTAGTCGCCGACAAGGCGAGATCAATGGCAGGGAGGAGTTTCGGTCGTCCCCCTCCGGCTCGAGGTTCCCACGTTCGACAACGGTTTGGCGTGTTGCGTGCACACCCAAAGCGCGACGGAAGGGACAGAGCACGTGCCGGAAGCAGAGCCTTCAAAAGGCGCGCCTCGCCACTCTCACTTTGTCAATGCCCACAGTGTTCGTGCGTTGGAGCGTCCTCGAGGCAGCGACGTTAGGACGCCGTCAAAAGTTTTGCACGGCGTGAAAGAAGGAGTGATACATGGAAACAGTAACTGCAAGTGGATTCTCTCGTAAGAGATTGTAAGGGGTTTTGGGGCACACGGTAGCAAGCAGTCGCAGGCGGGCAAACCGGCTTCTAGGGCCGAGGTTTTTTTTAAAGAGGACGTCTTCCCTCGAGAAAGCGAATAAACGAGTCAGTCAGTCGACTAACGAGCTGCCCTGGGGCGTGCAGGCCGCCAGGGCGTGCAGGGACGAAGAAGTCATGGAGGTGGTCTTGCCTCGTGTCACGGAGATGGTGTCCCTCTGGGAGTTCCTGCTCAGCAAGTGCGAGAAGGGAGACCCGCCTCAGCTGCAGGTGAGACGTCGGTTTGGACGACAATGCGTTTAGCCACGCACGTTGTAGTATGTCAGTAGGGACAGACGAAAAAAAAATTTTGTTTTCTACCTGATTAGGACATGCACGTTTCAAAATAAAAATTTAAAAAGAAAAAAAAAACAATCTTTATGCTGCAATAGGAAATTTTCGATCTGCGGGCAAAACCTAAACTGTACCCCTGCCGGATGATGATGATAGTGTTATACCCAACTAGTGTGCGCTCTTAGGTCCAGCGAACTCGGAGCACACACCGGGTGGGTACAAATGCTACCATCATCCCACAGGAGTATAATTTCGGTTTTGCTCGCAAATCGAAAAATTTGTTTTGTAACGTAAATATTGTGCAGAAACTTTGGTTGCCAAGCGTTTTATCGGGTAGAAAAAATTTTTAATTTTTTTCCAGGTTTAATGTTGCTTTAACTCCTTCTTGACTGCACTCACAGGCCATCGATCACCAGTGATTAATAGTTTCCAAGCACCGTCGAAAAATTAAATTTAGTGCTGGGAATTATGTTCCACAGTCTCGTGGACAGCGGAAGAACTGTAGTTCCGGTTTCGACGTAGGTTTGAGCTTGATGACAAGCTGGTGAGCTGTCAAAAATAGTCTCGAGAACAGTGGTAGCTACTTACGTGATTAAACTGTATTATGGCATATTTTTTAGACGTTGGGAACTCTCGGGACACTTCAAACGATGTTATAGGCATCACCTAACATGTAGTTGTCGCTAAGCATCACTATAATTTCCAATGGTGTCCTGAGCAGCGTGCACGTTTTATCTGTCCAACAAGGCGGACAAAAATACTAACTATGAAGGAACTGCAATCGAGGCTATGACATAACCAAGGTAGAACACAAAGAAAGCATCCTGCTGGGGTTGTTAGGTGTAGTATCTGTGTTTCACCAACATAGGCATTTCTGTGTTGAAAAGCGCGCATGTTACGGAGGCCAACTCTCTGACGAATCAGAACTAGATAACAACAGAGTATGCTAACTTTGAGAGCTAATAGCCGTGGGTATGGGGCACATTGTGCATATTCTGAATTTTTTTTTTATTTGTCATTTAATTTGACATGACTGAAAGTTACGGAGTTCATAGGCTTTCCGCACGTACATTGTATATATAAAAAATACTATTTAAAATATTTTTTACGTATTATACCAACCTCTGTTTTTTTTGAAGGAACAATTAAGTGGCCACATTTTGATGTGTCATATTTCTGCATACGCAAATTAGTCAGGAAAATAAAAATGGTTGCACGGATCCTTTGAAACTTGCTGCTTTTCCTGTGGTGAGGAAAGAGTTAAAGGGGGTTCAGGTGAAACTTGGTAGTCACTGATTTGCCTAAAAAATCATTTGTTTTCGCGAAGTTATTGAAGCTCCAAACACTGAGAACAGGACGTTGGATGTTATGTAGTATGGGGGCCATAAGAAGGCATTACAGCTTTTGAGCTAGGAAAGCGAAAGAACACGTGCAAAATACTGTGTCTCCTAGACTGTCCGTTCAAGTTGCAAATTATACGACACGTAACGTCGCCCCACTGGAGGACGGCTGGAAATTTGAATTCTGACATCACCTTCATTTGCCTTTTTTTTTACAATAGCTATTTTGATTTTAAAGGTAATGAACAGCGTGCTGGAAAGAGTAACCCAGGTATTCTGAAAATGTGTTTTGTCTGGGTAGCTTAAATTTTTGCCGTGTTTGGATAAGACGGTTTGTGTCGCAAAGTTTAGACGTCTTTTGCTTACTCTGGTCCCCAGCCACCTGGCATTCATATTTTATGGGCGACGAAAAGATGATAAGACATTTCAACCTGCAAATTATAAAAAATTAGAGAGGAGACAAAACGAGAATAGGTGTTGGTTACGCTTATATTGTAAACATATTCTATTGGTGTGGGGACAGCAAAACAATGGTTTTGCCCCTTACTGGAAGTGATAATATTTCAATATGGTGGCACCCTTGCAAAAAAAATCTATACCCCCCCCAAAAAAAAAGAAAACTTAGCACCATGTGTGTGTATATTGTGAGACTCATCTGACCAATTCTAAATGATGTTTAAGGCTCGTTGCAACCGAGTAGGACCAGCTGAGACGAGATTGGTTTTTAAGCCTCTTGCAATGGCTTACGACCTGCTCCACAGCAGGTCATAAGCCGTTGCTAATTACAGAAGGCACAAAATTGCCTTTGGTGCACCATTAAAACAGTGTTTTTGGCATGGTTTTTTTTTTTTTTGCAGGTGCCAGACATGCTGATCCAAATGGAGGAATTGCTCAGGGAGATGCGGGCCCTGGGGCAGGAGTCCCTCAAGGCCGTCGAAAGCTCGGACGTTGGAGGCACCCTGGTCAAGGTACCGTCTCCGACGCATTCTCTTGCTTTGGTGTTGCAGGCAGGGGCGGATTTAGAGGTGGGGTCTGGATGTCCTGACCCCCCTCTTGATTTCTGCATGTGTAAAATTTAGGGCGTAAAACGAAGGATAGGGGGAGGGCGTTCCTTAATATGTGGTACGCCGACCAACACCTGACCCCCCCTCCACCCCTCTCAGGAAATTCCTGCATCCGCCCCTGGTTGCAGGGGCACGTGTAAGCGAAGCTCAGGGTTCTCTAATGACGCCGTGCGAGCAGATTACATCGGGGGCTCTCAAATATTCCTTGAGGAAGCTCCGTCCCTCTCGATCGACGGTTGAGGAAACCCACCCGTTCTCGGCGTTGACGCGGTGCAACAGTGCAGTGCCTTGTGGACCCCGTAGGCTATGGATCCTCAAACTTTTCAATCTCAAGCAGTCACAAGTGACTCTAAAAAACTAATCTGTTACAATTACAATCTCTCTCTCTTAATTAAAAAGCATTCCATTACATTACTTGATTGCTTGAGAGGAAAGGTAGTTGACTGTTACTTTGACTGTTACTTGAGAAAGTGACCGCTACTTTTCCCGATTACCTCAGATTTTAAAAACTGGTGATTTTTCTGCAGGTTTGAAAATGAATCTTTTGTACCATCCAATACTGGATGGTACATCACAGAACTATAAACTACTTGCTTTCTTAATCCATCAATTTTGGTAGAACTGTCCTGTCCGAGATTTCGTTCGAGAATTCCTTCGTAGGAAACTTGCATTAGAAACTTGCATTAGAAAGGAGAGGGAAAAATGGTAACAGTTGCGAGTAATTTTAGTACTTCCAAAAATAATTGAATTGCCCTCTAGATTACTTCTTAATAAATGTAATCAAATTGTTACCAAATTGCTCTAAAAAGTAATTTATCACAAATAATTTGATTACTTGTAATGAGTACTACTGTAATTAGCCTGTCATTGGTGCGATAAAGTGGTGCAGATGCCTATAGGCAGTCTGAACGACAGTTCACGTAGTTGGAAGTGATTGGCTCCCGTTTGTGCGTCGGTGAGTGGCTCAGACCTGCTAAAGCACTGCTCAAACTGGAAAAGCAAATATACTTGAGGCAGATACAGACGAGGAAATCGGAGAGCTGGGGGTACGCACGAGGGTGCTCTCGGAAGCGCACTTTGAGGACCCATGGTGTAAACAATAACGCACATACAGGTAGCGTTTGACTCGTAGTTATGTGTCGGCAGGTGCTTCGTATCTGGTGAAATACGGGGTGGCACGAGTAAGCAAAATTGATGCCGGCACATAGAAAGCTCAAACTTTTCACTGAATCTGCACCGAGTGGATCATTTTTATTGCGCAAAATTTCGAGGAGTAGCTGTCTTCCTGTAAAAAGCGAGAGCAAAAGGCTTGCCACAGTCACGGTTGGATGTGTTTGCAGACGACCGAATTTCGGGGCGCCGTCTTCCAACAGGCGCAGCGAGCAGACGACGCACTCCATTGTCTGCTCGCTTAGTTACATTTGTGCAGTCATGGGCACGTTACCCCAAAAATGTGAGTGTTACAGTTACTCAGACAAAAAAGTAACCCTGTTACAGGTACAAAATTAAAAAAGTAACTTGTTACAGTTACAGTTACTTAAGGGGGAACACTGGTCTTGGAGCTTTTTTTCTTATTCTATGACCAAACCCATTAGAACTGCACAAGCTTGTTCAGCTTTTTGTGCTTATTTCATATATCTAATCGTTTTCTCAGTCAGTAGAATTGTCCTCAAGGTAATTAAAACTTGCCTGCCTTTGTTTGGAGGAAAGATGGAAAAAAAACTGCTCAACAAAATTTCATTTTTAACAGATGGCTAGATACTACAAAGTGTAGAGCATACAATGTTGGAAGTACTTTTAAAATAAACCTACTATTAGTGATTTTACCACACATCGAAGTTCAGTGTTCATTGCATGGCTAACAAATAATAAAACAAAAGATCAAATAGAAAATTTTCTAGACTTATATTAGAAAATCTGCTCTCAACATTGTATGCTTCACACATTTAGCTACACATTTCAGGAAACATTATATTTCTATCTGCTCTGGATGCTGAGATATCCATCCTCCAAATTTTCAACAAGTCCAAAAGTTGTGTCTTGTGAAAACAATGGTTTAGAGTCAACTTCAACGCACATTCAGCCCGCATAGACATTATAATTTATTTATAGCCCAAGTATTCATCCGCGAAATTAGAAGCCTGGTAAATTCAGAAGAACAACAGCCATCGCCATTTTCAAAAGAATGGAGTTTTAGGACGTTTTTGGCTCCAAAGACCCATGTTCCCCCTTAAGCCAGTACTTCGTCGTTACTTTAAAAAATGATATTAGAAAACATTCAAAAGGACCTTCCTTAATATGCCTTTAAATTAGCATAGATTTTTCATAAGACGTTGTGTTGTTCACGGTAGTGGATATAATATTTTTTAAAACTAAGATTTTCCCAATATAATCAGTATTACGGTAACATGTTTGGTTCTTACCATTTCAATTTTTAGCATGAACTGCGTTTCGCTGGAGTGAAAGTTCTGAAATATTTGTGCGATCAAATGTATGTACTCTCTACTAGAAAGGGTCATGTATAACATTGTCAAATGTTTTTCGAGCCAAGTGATCACTAAGAGGTTTTAAGGCACACGGTCAAAAGCAGTTGCAAATATCCAAACTCACCATCGTGGGAACATCTCAAAAGCTTTCGGAACGCGACTCGGTCACTCTAGGCGAGCATTTGCCGGGTACATTTTGGAGACTGCGATTATGACGTCGTCACGTTTCGAGAGTAACCGTTACAGTTTAACCGTTTCACCCACGTTTCGGCGGTTCCCAGATCGAAGACGAGGCAGTGGCGCAGGCGCTGGGCCTTCCAACGGGTCTGTACTCGGTGCTCGAAGAGGAGCCCGCCAAACCCGTCCCGGTGACCCGCAAGCGCCCGCGCCAGGACGGTCAGGCTTCCCAACAGGGCGCCGGCTCCCAGCAGGGTGGCGGCGGCACCGTGGAGTTTGTGACGCCCGAGGAGATGGTGGCGGCGCTGCACGGAGAGCCGCTGCCGCCCAACAAGCGGATGCGTCTCGACGACGAAGACTCCTTCGTCGTGCTGCCGTAAGTGGCGCGTCCTTTCGCGCGGGTCGTTCGCCACGTTCTCGGGGAGGGCTCTGATTAGTGAGGCGGAGAGGAATTTGGGCGTAAGGTAGAGTCTTTTTAAAGAGTGGACGCGAGAAGGTACCCTACAACAACAACAAACTGTTGACGTTTCTAACCCACAAAAATGCGCATTGAGGCTGGTTCAAACGCTTGCTACGACTCCTTGCGGAGTCGTAGCAAGTGTGCGAGACAGTGTTCGAGACAGTGGTCGCTTCTAACATTTCCAGAATTATTTCCGAGGCATTGAATGCGACCGATCCTATTTCGTGTGCTCCTGCTGTGCTCGTGTCCAATCCAAAACTGCATTCCGACAATGGCGGCGGCCTGTAGCGAAGCGTCATTTTCAATATATCCAAGGAGGGATATTTTGCGGTGGACAATTGGCAACAGTGAATAGCAGCCGACCCAGGCTGGGTGTCTAGCATGCGGGTAGGAAAAAGAGGAGGCGACATACCGGCTCGAGCCAGCCAAACGAGAAATCTCAAGTGAATCTGGAAGTAGAGGTCGCGATGACAACAGCAGTTTTGGTCATGCCCCCAAGGGTGACCAAAACAGCTTTTGGCACCAGATCAGCCGTCCCTTTCGTCCAATAGTGTCTTTTGGTTTTGTTCGTTGTTGGGAACGTGTCCCTCCAAATCGAGAGCCTCCCTCAGCTTCACCTCTGGTGGCGTCATGTTGCCTCCAGAAGCTTCCTACCGCCTTGGTTTCTAGGCTAGGTGGCGCAAGCTACCACTCGTTATAGAGGGAACATCCGTTAGCATCCATCCATCCATCCCTCCCTGAAGGAGTAACGAATGTGGCGGGGGCGCTGGGCTTTGCTGGCGAGGACAGTAGAACGGAGGAGAAAAGGATCACGGTCACAAAGAGGAGATTCAAAGATGGGTGGAAATTGTCTACGGAAAATTGAATGAAATAAAACTAACTAGTCCCCCAGCGGTGTCCGGTACCAAACAAATGTCGACACCCGTGGTCGACACAACACTCTGGTTGCCACCGTCGCTCATAGATGGCGGTAACTGTCCAGAGTGTTGTGTCTGCCGCTGTCGCTCATAGATTGCGGCAACCTTTCCAGCCTCGGCAACCAACTACTGGTTGCTGCCGTCGCTCGTAGATGGCGGCAACATTTCTTCGGAGGAAGAAGAGTGGGAACAGAACGAGCGGCTATGTGCGCAGCAGCGCGAATGGTTTTGCAATTGCCGTGAGGCCGCTATCGCCTAAAGTTCCACTGCATCGAGCGCTTCAGATTCCTTTGCGAAAGAAGAGCAGATCGCTCGCCTGGAAAGCTACTGCCGAGAACAGAAGCGACAGCTCCGCTGCTCTTCCTTCTTCACCAAAATAAAAAGGCTAAACTTTTTTTTTTTTTTCATGCTTATTTTTTTAAAGGTTTTTTTTTTGCAATATCCCACATTGCCTCGTGATAGTTGCAAAAGCTTTTTAAAAAGTCACATGTTTTCATCTTAGATTTTAGGCTAGGTGGCACAAGCTACCTCCCGTTATAAAGCATACAACTGTTAGCATCCACCTATCCGTGACTAGATTCCATTGTTTTTTTCTACGCTGCGATTGCCCCATACATGGGGTTAAGCAGCCATAATTCAATACGATGGGAAAGCCAGTGGCTGTGAAGCTAACCCGCGTTTCGGATGGCACAGCCCAGACTCGGAGGGCGCCAAGACGGACAAGGAGACGGCGGCCATCATCGAGGCAACCCTGAACAGCGACTCGCTCTCGGAAAACATGCTGGAGAACCTCGAGTTCGCGGGGCTTCCCGTGGCAGACGAGAACGCCGTCACCAATGGCGGCGAGGAGCAGGAGGCGGCGCCCGTCGCCACCACAATCGTTCGGCAGGCGAAGCCGGCCGCGGTGAAGCAGACAACAGTGGTCACGACGCAGCAGACAACGAGGCCGTCCCCCAGCAGCTTCCAGTTCGTGCAGCAGGCAGGGACCCAGAAGGTGAGAAAGAGTCGTCGACATACGCCAACGTTGATCGGTATTTCTCGCCGTTCAGGGGCGTTCTATGTCCTAAAACATGTTGTTTCTTCTCGCTAAGCTCGCTCGGCGCGTGCGCTCGAAAAAGCTCACCGCTAGTAGCACCTAAAGCGCGTGCTGGCTATATAGCTTTCAGCGCACTAAGAGGCGCAATGCAGAAGCTTGGGGAGCACCGAGCAAAGGGCGTAAACACATCGGAGTAGGCCACGCACTCTCGCTCCTAGGCTCACTTCCAGGCGGCGAAGCCTGTACCGCGAGCCACGCGCTCCTCTGTTCGCATTTCATTTTTCACCCGATAGTACATGGTTGTGTGGCCACAAAACATGGCACCTCCAAAGAGGATGGGTTACGAATGTCTCTAAGCTTACCATGAGTATAGGAAGAAGCAGAAAACAAATTATAACTTGCATACTTCGACACTTTGCATAAAGCCTAAAGAGTAAAACACACAAATCAGATACAAATGGATCAAAACAGGTGGACACAAACACGACGCATTCCGTTATTGTGAAATATGTGCCTTAAACGCACCCGATTGAGAAAAGGTGCTGGGGAATCCTGGAACAGCCGGTGGTTTTCTCGCAGAAAAATTATGGATTTCGCCTCACATTGTTTCTTTCTAGATTGTGGGGCACTTGTAGCTAGCGTTTTCGTCAAAACCTAGACACGCATAAGTGGCCCGTCGATGGCGCTTTTACCCCGCTGCTATCTTGTCTGCCCTCAGATACAGATCCTTCCGGGGCAGTCACTGCTGAGCCGCAACTTTGTGCGGGTGGTGACGTCCTCGGAAGGCACCCCGGTTGCGAACGACGCCGCTGCGGCCGCCACCGCCGTGACGGTTGTGCCGCAGGAGTCGGCGTCCCCCCCGGAGGCCGAAGCCGCAGAGCCGGCCGTGCAGCCGGATGAGCAGCCGGAAGCCGCCGACCAAGCCGCAGCGGGGGAGGAGGAGGAGGACAAGCAGACGGAGACCCTGGTGCAGGTTGTGGAGAGTCATGGCAACGAGGAGGACTCTCAGCACGAGGTCACGCAGGTGGGACATTTGTTGTCTTTGTTTCGTCGTTGGGGAAGCCAGTTCAAGGAATTGTCAAGTCAAATTTTGTGTTCGGGAAAACTATTGAATAGCATTGTCTCGAAACTCATCGTCCGTGCAATATCTGAATTTTATATGCCCCTCTGCATGAGTAATTGAATTTTAAACTGTTCCAGTCGCATCCTAGCAAAAACTGTGCTTTCGTTGGCAACTTGGAGCTCCGACGTCACGTAGCGCAAATCGAGCGTTTCCTTCTCGTCGTTAGCCTGCGAATGAAAGCCGCAGCGTGCTTCATTTTTTCTGTGCTCGACTTGTTTCGTAGATGGGCGAGATTTTTGTTGCGCGGTTGGGTGTCACAACCACCAGCGACAAACAAAAGGGATCGTTGCCGTGCGCATGGAGCACTGGGTTCCCATCAAGATCGCGATTCCTCTTATGCAGCAATCATTTCACAGAAGAGAGCTACAAGCCGAGTTCTAAGCGGGCAGAAGGCTCGTAAGCTGAGGTGTGATGCCGTGCCAACGATATTCAACTGGGTCCACCCACTCCTCGTCCAAATTGGATCAATCGGTTTGATTATGCAACAAAACCAAAACCAACAGCTTAGCCATCTTGAAACGATGCCAAATGTGGAGCCAGTTTTTTTTTGACCCGCGTTTGAAAATGGAGCGTGGCTATGATTCACCAAGCTCGTCCGACAATCTCTTTGAGCTTGGACTGTATACTGTACGTGTTAATTAAAGGGTCGGCGAACTAGATTGCCCAGGCCCTTAACCTACCTTTTGTCGAGGTCGTTGAAGAGGTTCTTTCGATAATGTTACGAGCGCTTCTTTTTGTTTTGTCGGCGGTGAAACGTATTGAGTTTGTCTCATGTTCTGCTTTGCTGGAGGGGTCAATAAACTTGATCGCTCGAGTCGTTGACCTACTCTTCCCTCAAGGTCATTGGAGGTAAGGAGGTCATTAGATAATTACTTCAGATAACGATGCAAGCATTTGTCTTTGTTTTATTGATGGGGAAATGAATTGAGTTTGTTTTGTTTACCTTATAGGGTTGTTGGAAGTGAACAAGGTTCCCCAAAGTGTTAACCTTACATTTTTTTTTTTCTCAAGGTTATTAGGCGTCGCGGGGTCCTTAGAAAGTTACTTCCATGACAATGCAATCGTGAACTGCCTGCCTTGCTTACAGTCTTGAAGGACACTCTGGTCCAAAGTAAGGATCAAACTCGAGAGTTTAGGTCCCAATCTGTGAAGTATTTGGGACAAATTGGTAGATAACAAGGATTGTGTAGACTGCAGTTGCGGTAAAAGGCCGAATCGAGCGCTATCACTCGTATCGTGCGGGTGTACTCGGTTTTGAAGGCAGCGCCTGTGGGTCTCAAAGATTTCACATCAGAGCAGTTTTTCTTTTCTCTTTTTGTCCATGTTTTAAGTCGAATTTTGCTGGATGAAGGACAGCAGCGTAGTAAAAGGGTAATACAGTAGAATCTCCTTCACTCTCTTTGACTGGTCCTCAGTTGACAGTGTGGTGGAAGCCACGTGCTCATTGGACCAGTTATACTTCTGTGTTTCACTACGCGATTGCGCTCCTGCCCATACCTCCGCGCAGAGAGAGCGCACCGTCAGCTTAGGGGTGGACTAAGAGTAGCAGGCTCCGCCTGCCACGCACGGGGGCTACTGTACGTGGCGGCTCTTTTGCATGGCATCCCGCATTCTCCGGGCGTATCGCAGGTGGTGTGCGCCGAGGAGGAGGGGGAGTCCCAGAACGGGGGGGAGTCTCAGCCGGTCATCCGGCAGTACATGCTCCCGGACGGGCAGATTGTGAGCGCCTACGAGGACGCCGAGGGGGGCCTGGTGCAGCTGGCAACCCCCGAGGAGGAGACCACCACCGCTCTCGGAAACGTGGTCATCGTCCACAACCCGGACGGCACCACCACCCTGCAGGCACGTGGGACGGCCTCCCTTCGTTACGTCTCGCTTTGGAGTCGCGGACCCCACCTTTGGACGCGCGCCAGTGTCGACGCGTTCTCGAAGCCAAAACTGACCCTTGACCACTTGCGTACAGCTAGTCGTACCTAGCAGGAGCAAATGCTAAGCATACTCCGTCTTCCTTGCGTCTTATTACGTCTAGGTTCTTGCTCCAGTTCCGTAAATGTGTCTGGGTGCCAATGTGCTTTAGTTTTCTTTATCCTTTACACTTCGTGCTCCCGTTAAGTGCAGCGGTGACTGTATGTACGCATGTTTTACGGTTCTTAAGGGCCGGTATCCCCGGGGAAAGTCTGACAGAATGCCACGGACGTTGTAACGAGACGCGCAACACACACTTCAGGGAGCAACCCGTACAAAAGGGCAGCACACCGAGAGGAAAGAACGAAATCTTAAACATGACTTGACAGGAACCGAACCCACGATGTCGTGATTGCAAGCCCAGCGCTCTAGCACGGCACCGAAAGGGAGACTCGCAGAGCTGGAAGAAGAAAAAAGGCTCAAGGAACACCTAAGCACTTCTCATGAGTTGTGAATGCGAAAGCGTGCAAGCCGCTCGTCCGCTCCCTTATTTCGTCTGCTGTGTACTCTTCGTCGCCGGTCAGTGCGTGCGCTCTCCTCGGCGCGCTAACCTGGGACGCTCCGTGTTAACGGCGCGCTGACGGGCTCGCAGCTTCACGGGGGGGGCTGCCGTGGAAATTGACGCTAAGCGGCCAATGGGACCGGAGCCGAAAATCCATCAGCTTTACTCCGCTCCTTTCGGATCGGGGAAACTAGGCGCCGTTTGACTAGGCTTTTCGCGTGGTTTCACAGCTGGGAGCTGGCTTCACTTCGCAAAAAGATTTAAGGTGCCGTTTGGCATGGCTCACTTTATGGGACAGTCAGTGCTTTCGCATTAAAAAACTCGTCTACTCACCATTCGAAAGTGAACATTGGCATTCAGTGTTTGCGTTTAGAACAGCGAGTAGAGACGGAGGCGGCTAGCTTAGCGTCTACCCTCCAATCATTCCAACCAGAGCTCAACATTCTGACGTGCATGTGCACTCTAGTCTCCTCCCCCAGTGTATATTCATATAAAGAAAAGGAAATTTAAAGAAAGACTGCAAAGTCTGTTACAGGCCCTAAAGAATGCCACGGAAAGGCATTTCTTGTATACCGATTTTATTTGTATGATCAATTTTCTGATTGCTCCAGGGTCGGTTACAGTCCCCAGCCACTTTTCTGAACATCCTAATAACTGCCCAAGTCTGTGGTGATCATATGGAGAAATAGCTCAAATCTGTATCTACATTACTTTGAGCTTTTCTCCTTGTTTTTATGGCCAAAACCAATAAGACTTCACGAGCTTGTTTCAGTTTCTTGTGCTTAGGTATTTCATATATCCAGCCATATTTTCCATCAGTAGATTAGTCGTCAAGATAAATAAGGCTTGCCCACCTTTGTTTTCAGGAACAATAGGAAAAAGACCTTTCAACACAAAATTATGTTTGACACTCACTAGATACAATGAAGTATAAAGAATGCAATGTTGGAAGCACTTTTTATATCGAAGCATTATTAGTGATTTTACGACACATCAAAGTTCAGTCTTCAATGTGTGGTTGACAAGGAATAAAACAATAGATCAATTGAAGAATTTCCTAGATTGATATTAAAGAATCTTCTTTCAACTTGATATGATTTTCACATTTATCTATATGCTGCAAAAGAAGTTGTTTCCAGCTGCCTAGGTACTGAGATATCCCTCCTGCAAATTTGTGAATACTAGTAGTTCAAAGTATTTTTTTTTAGCATCAGCTTCAATGCAAATTCAGCCTGCATAGGTACTGTAGACCGATATTATGACTTCAGCGTTAATCCACAAAATTAGAAGTGCAGACCAAACAGAAAGTGCCGGAACAGTTCGGCTACAAGGTTTAAACCCAAATCCGAAGTTCTAGCCCATTCAAAAAGAGGAAGGGTTTCGGACCGACACCCGTCTGTGACACTCAAGTTTTTTTGCAGGTTCCCAACGACGGAAGCATCCCCATCGAGACTGTCCAAGCCCTGTTGGCGATGGACCAATCGGCCATGGTGGTTCAAACACAAGAGGAAGCAACGGCGGAGACGGCGTAATCGGGCGGAGATCTGAAGACTGCGACAGAACCGGAAATTCGGACGGCGTGAATCCGGGGACGGTTTACAGACGAATTGGACTAGCTTTCGCCCACGCTCAGACGTGCCGGGACGTGCGAACGCGTGCCAGTGTGAACCAAGTGTTGCGCCGAGGAAGCAAGCTACGAGCTGCTGCACCCTCGCGTCGGAAGTTTGACGACGGAGCTTTCGTCTGCTCGAGACTTTGTTCGGACTGCGTGCATGCCGTGCCATTTGCAGACTGTTCCTTACCTTTGTTTCTGCCCCCTCGATGCACCTTTGTCTGCACTGTCGTCTTTTTGAGTAGGCGTAAGTTTGACTGGTTTTTTGTTTACTTATTGAGTGCACCGTATTTCCGAAATACAGCTTCGGTTCGTGGCCGCCACGGGGGAGAAGCTGCGCTCGTAATGAACGCAGCAGCGACGCGGTTGTACATATTTTGGTGTCTCACATCGGCGGCGAGTCGCCGTACGGCTGCCGCGAGGCGCGTCAACATTTCGACGAGACTAAGCTTGTTCAGTGGGACGGCCGAACTTCGTTCCATTTATTCGCAAACTCGTTCTTCCGTTTGGCGAGCACCTACATCGAGATCATATTTAGCATGTCGGTCAGTAGCGCCACTTTTTAAAAGGGTCACCAAGCCGCGTCTAGCTTCGAAGGCGCCGTTAATTAAGGTACGAGTCTCTCGAGCTAAAAACATTCTTGAGCGCTACAAACAGGAAGTTTGTCCGTTCCTTTTCTTTTTTTTTTCTTTCGATTGTTTACTGTGGGTCGCTTGCCAAAAAAAAAAATGTTTGCCAAAACTCGTCAACGTTGCGTTCTCGTCGCTGCGTCCTCGGGATCACCACCACATGCTGCACAGGTCGTTTTCCCTCGTACCTGCGCCTCCTTCTCGTTTGAATGTACAGTCGTCGAGCTCGCACACATCTGCCACACTTCAAAGGTCGCCGTCAACCATGCACATCGGAGGAACAAGGCTTATGAATTTGCATTCGGCGTGTTCCGGAAGCCTCGGCGGAAAAGTCCCGCAACCCCTTCGCTGTACATAAAAGCGGGGACGAGACGACGCTGCAAAATTCCCGTTTGGGGATGCCGCTCCGACCAAAGTACAACTCTCACACATGTAAAGAAGCGGAGGCATCTCGACGATCCACGCGCGCACACCTTCATATCCGCACGCGGGTTCATTGCGGAAGATACAACGTGGGTCCTTTCAATGTCATTCTCATCATCTCCATTAGCGCCACGCGCTCATGTCGTTCTAATGTTTATCGAGGCATACGTGTACAAATAGCTACAACGTTGTACATACATACCCGCTTACAATCCCTGCCTGCTCTGTTTTTTTTTGTAGCCACTCTTTATCTATTTACCGATGTTGTACCATGCCCTCGCAGCCACGAGGGACGTGCAAGTTCTTGGTCGTTTTTTTCCCCCCTTCGTATACATTTACGCATTGTAGGTTTGACCCAGAGAAATTCGGTTGCTCTCTGAAAGCAATGTGCCGCACTCTTTGATAACATTTTTTCTATTAGTTCCTTGTTTTTTTTTTTGCTTGTGTAGATAAGCCTCGGTGGCTTGCAAACGATATATGCCTCTGGTGGGTCATTCACAAACACCATGTAAATGTTTTTTCCAAAGCGCCGACGTGCAACAAACTGAAATAAAAGTTCTCTGGGGTAAGTTGCGAAACTCGTTGCTCGGCTGACTTACTCGAAAGTCGCGGATTTAGGGACTTTGATTTTGAACTGGTTGGAAACGGAGCAGCAACATGCATCCGACTACGTGCCAAGCGTTTGGGAACGTTTGTCAGGAAGTTTTGTTTACCAGTCTCCTAATAATGCGCACGTATGCTTTTTTTTTTTCACGGGTACCAACTACCAACCTTCTTTTTTTTTTATTTATGCTGTTTTCACCGCTGCAGAAAATATAGCTGTATTTTAATATTGTCCAAGCAGAATAGACCTTTTCCGAAATCGTGAAATGATGCATAGTTTATGCGAAGCTACCATTTGTTGGCCTCATCGCTTCCGGCATGAAGCCCGGGATTGGTTCCAAGTTTGTGTCAAGCACCGACGCACCACTCGCGTGAAATGCGTTTCGATCCGAGTACAGTCCGAATGCCGACGACGCGTTTGTGTCCGACGCGTGCTCACAGTGGACGACCAACTAATGGCGGCCGCACATAATCTACGCATCATTTCAAAACTACAAAAAGGGTTCATATCGTTTTACGAGGAATGCAGCCACTTTCACGTTCAGTCTCTGTCTCATATTTCATTCACTCGCTCATAAAGGTACCTCTAGCTAGGGGACTTTTAAAGAACAGCGCCGAATCGGTTCACGATACCCTGTACGGGAAAACGTCCATGACCCAAGAGTGCTGGCCGATCGCCGATAGCAAAAGGGACCCACGTTAAAGGTACCCATATGCTGGCCATGTGAATGGGGTATCGCAAGGCCTAACCTAAAGACGATGGACAACATGCTCTTTTCCAACAACGGTCCTGCTGGTAAACTCTGCCACCACTCGCCCGGACAATGTGGGTAATCGAAATATAATTTATTAACCGTAGAAAAACAATGTGCCAGTTTGGGGTGGTAGGACGGATGTTCACTCGAAAGCTCTACACTCTGATCTCCCTAAATGTCTGCCAAACCCCCTAACAACTGGAACAGCCTGGAAGAACCTGGGTGCCACATCTGGTGTGCGAGTCAAAGAAGTCTTGCCGGGATGTCGGCAAGCTCTGGGTAGCTGGCCTGCGTCCCCGGCGACTGGACGGTGAGGCTGGCAATGTCGCACGCTTTCTTGATTGTCTCGCTCAGGGGCGCCGAAGTGTGCCTCGCGTAGTGGTATGCAAACGCGCCGTTGAACGCGTCGCCTGCACCCTGTCGTTTTGGACAAAAGCGGAAATCCTCATGTCAACAAGGATCGCGTTAAAGACGAGTCGCTGCATTGATCCACCAATGCTCTCGCGAACAAGGACGGGAGCTCCCAGACATTCCGGTCTGGAGTAGAACCACTGGATGAGCTGCGCTTCAGTGTTGCCAGTTATCTACAGCTTGATGTCAAATCGCGGGAAACGCTTTTCTGTCCCCCAGAAATGTTAGAAAGGTCCGCGACAACGCAAAGCGATGTCGTCTGTACTCCAACGCAGTATGTAAAGTGCGATGTTCCGTTTCAGACTTGTAATGATCGCCAATTGTGGCTGCTCAGCACCAAACACCAAAATGGCGGCACCCGCACGAAAGTCAGAGAATAGGGTGCTGATGAGCATAGCTTATTTCGTGGCTCTAGTCGCCCTGAAAGACCGTCGGGGAAAAATCACTTGCTCGACGTCCTTCGAGAGAAACTTTTCCCGAACATGAAAGATTGGTTGGCACCAATGAGACGAATCGAAGAGAACATTTTGGACCATTTCGCTCGTCTAGAAACCGGCTGCAATCATTGCCGTCGTTTATGGGGCAGTCATTCAAAGGTGTATTCAAACAGAACTGAATACCCTGCATTCATGGTAATAAAACCCGAGACTCAGGAACACAGAAGGGGACGAACAGAACACAACACAACACATGGTTTTATTACCATGAATCATCACCAGCTCGCTTGTTTTTTAAGTATTATTTTAGTTACCCTGCATTACCCTTTGATATGCATTTGAAATTTCAAATATTCACACATTCGTTTGAGCGGAGCGTGCAAATATTCTAAATTTCGAATGCAAATTGAGTAGTAGCTTGGGGTGTTCAATTCTATTTGAATATCACTTTACTGATTTGAGGAGCGCATAGATATTCTATAATTTGAATACAAATCGAGTAGTAATGTGTGGTATTCATGTATATTAGAATAGCACCTTCAAATAACTTAAGGAATGCGTGATCAACTTCAGTCAGCTTATCACAGGAATAAGTATAGGGAATACGCTGACTCACCGTGGTATCCTCCACCCGGACCTTGTCGATGCTCACATAGGTGAGCGTGCGAAGCTGGCGGGTGCAGTAGCAAGCTCCTTGTTCACCCAAGGTGATGATCACCGTGTTGCAGCCCTTGAGCAAGAGTGCTTCGGCCGCTTGCTGAAATGTTTCCTTTGAGTGGACCTTGAAGCCCACCATTTGGCCCGCCTGCAGTTGAGGGGTCTAGTAAGAATTTGCCGAGAATTGACAGACGGAAAACATTGCGTCGCCATCATCGGCTAAACTCGAGGGGGGCTAACATCCGGCTACGTTCATGTGGTCTGCAAAGAGAAGCAAACGTCCCCTACGGTCTATATGGCCATTCATGTGGACAGCCGAGTACTTCTGACAAAACGCAAGGGTAAAGAAAATGGGTGAAGGCCCCGCGTTAACAAGCATGAAGGAGTTCGAAAGACGCACTGCCGTTCTTATTTTGTCAGTGACTAGCTCGACTAAAGCCTGTGCTTTATATGTGGTGCATGTCATTTCCCAGAGAATGGCTTCTGGGGAAATTGAGGCTACGGTCGCCGCAGCAATCGAAGATGAAAAACTTTACGGCGCAAGAGGGAACCGTGGTCCGAGGGACAGACAGTGCAGATGTCAGGGTCGTTACCTCAGTTTCGTTGACGCAGAGGATGTCGGTCAACTCGTAGACATTATCCACCATGCCGCCGTCGTAGGGAGCAGCGTTGACGTACGTCGCGACTTGACAAAATAAGAAAAATGGTCTCGATTTAGGACCCAAATACAATTCCAAGTTTTTTTTTTCTTATCAAAGTTGCTTTAGAGGTATACTGTTCTTTCTTTTCCAAAATATTAAATCCAGTTGCAAGCGCCGAAACCAAATCTCCCGCTGAAAACCAGTGAGGGAGGATGGTGTTCAATCTAATTTACGGCGGGTGGCTAGAGGCCCTTTCACACTTTTGTGTTTGAGTGTGATATCGACCACGTAACCACTTCTGACTGCCCACGACGAGAAAACACACTCGCGCCACCTGTCAGGCAACCCCGGAACACCTCCGATCTGTGTACATTTTATGTGTCATCCATCGGGAACTTGAAAGTGTCTTGACAATATTATTAGCGACCAGAGATCACGCCAGCCTCCCCGTAGCCTTGCTCGTGCTGGGAAAATAGACATCACAATTGCGCTCTCCAACGGCTGCTCTTCAAGAGCTCGCTAGAATCAGCCATTTGGAACGAAAATTGTAGCCATCCGTTTAAAATACAAACATGCAATTGTTATTATCAGATATTGTTGACTGTGTCATCTTGTTTTTGGATATGAGTGGTATATTTCAATTTCTATTTCAGCATCCCTTTAATAAGGGACACCTTAAATAATGTGCGCCTATGCGCATTATTTGTTTGCACGAGCCTAACTGTGTCTCCAGTTATCAAAGATGGTGCTATCTTTTCTGCATGGTCTATAGTCACCATCCAGGTGGTGGAGTGAGCACAAATTTTTTCACCTTTGTACTTGCGAGCCAACTTGAGTGCCTCCAAAAGCGTTGCCTTCGGACATTCAAAGACTGCCACAAGAATCTTGGCACTCTTAAACAGGTCTTCAGCCCTCCTGACATCGTCTGGGGTGAGAAGGGCCGCAGCACCATGCACATAGACTATGCTATTTTGTCCTGGTGGAAAAGATTGCGATCAACCAACACCAATGCCAGCTTTATTTGCATTATGTTAAGTAGCTGAAGTTAGGTGCTCTCGCTTTTCAAAACATAGAGAAAAAAAATTTTTTTTCAACCGCTGTTTACGTTAAGTTATTTTTTTTTTTTTTGCACAACAGTGAGAATGACGGCAAGAGATGAACCAGCTATCACTCAACATGTCCATTTTATAAACTGAAAAACGGAGCCCACTCAATCTGATATAAAATAAAGATAATTAAGTTACCGTCCTTGGTGACAACAATATTAGCTGTAGCGGTGCTTGCATTTCCTTTTACGGCTTCAACATGATCTGGAACAAACGGTCAATCACAGAAGTAAGCTGAAATGAGGTGCAGATTGCAATGACAGCCTGCCTTGGCAGCTAGCAATACAGACCAGTGTTAAGACCAATGTCGCGGAGGTAAAGCAGGTAGTCCTTGCCGATTCTATCACTCCCAACCTGCAAACATAAAAAGGCAACAGTAATACTATATACCAGAGGTATGCGGTTTAGAGACGCTTGTTCTAGCGAATGCCGTTTTACACACCCCAGTTTATTGAATCCCTTTATAAAGAAATCCAGTTTAAAGAAAATGGCAATGAGCCTCCTTTTTGCAAATTCGGCTGCCGCTAATTCGTTAAACCAACCTTATTTATCAGTCGCTTCGCAGCAGAGGGGTAAGCTTGATTAATATTTTTGTAATCAGCTGCCGCAGTCTGTTGCCGCAAAGCGGCATAAACGCAGGGTGGCAGGCGGATTAACACACGCCACAGTGATACAAGCCCAAAGCAGGGGGGCCTTTTTTTAAACCACATTCCTTTTCGTTATAAGGCATTTCTCTAAACTGAGCCTGCACTTTCTCTAAACCGAGCTTCGATAAAATGTGCTTGTCCTCTAAAACGTGTTTCAATGGAATGACGTTCGATCAGCCTTAGTAAACCGAATATATACAACTCAGTTTGATTTTAATCACATAATGCAAAGCGAGAACTTATTCAGGTACAAAAAGACCAAAGAGGTATTTACACAACTAAATCTCTGCTTTCACTGGTTTAGCACACTTCAGGTGAAACCAGCTGAACATTAGAAGGAAGGGAGCACATCTCATTGGACCTTTTGCAGAAATATTGATTCGACAGTAAATGGATCCGATATCCGTTCTCTCTCTCTTCCTTCTGGACGAATAGAGAGGGTTGGTTTCTTTGTATGAACTTCGGGGCAGAAGATAATCCACGATGTGGATAAAGGCGAAATTTGGGGGAGCCATATCTACATCACAGCGGCTCAATGGTCAAACAGGTGGGAGGAGCCTTGCATGTACATTGTTTTCTAGCCATTTAGCCTCGAGCACAGTTGCGCGTCTAGGTGGCAGCACATATTTGGCAAAAGGTGAATAAGCTGTACCTTACATTCAAGTTTCCACACTACAGTTTTAGACATACTCACAAAACACGGCCCACAGTTTAGACGGGTGCATGAATCACAAGCTGTTTAAAATGAAATTAAATTAGTGTACTGCGATTACAAGATGTAGATCCACCAAAGAAGGTGTGGTCATTGTCCGCTAGGTGGACCAGGTGGACGTCTGAGCGCTCATGCCAACTCTACCTCATTGGCTCATGCACATTACCCTGCTAAATAAAGGTAGACATCCAATCAACCAGAAGGCGAGGTAATTACTTTCGCAATCATGCCACATCGTAGACCCATTCGAACAGCCATGACGCAGGAGTTTGCACCCTTGCCACCATGGCCCATGCTGAAATTGTTTCCGATTAGCGTTTCTCCGGGGGACGGAAAACGGTCGGCATAACTGGAATAGAAGGCCGCCGGGATTGACTGATGTTAGTCAATGTTGTGCTCGATTTTGTTGGAAAGAATGAAGAAACGATTCACCGAAGCGCGTACCTGATTAAGTCAACTACACAGGCACCAAGAAAAAACCGGCGACTAGAGAAAACTTCGGCGCGCACTTTATTGGATGAAATTTGGTGACGTCACGACCAATAGGAGCACGGAAACAGACGCGGTCTCCTCAACGCCTGGAGAAACATCGGAAACATCGTGCCTGACGTACCGTCGTCGAACGAGAGGTGAGTGGTTTGAGTTTTCCTGTGATGTGATCTCTGTGTGTGTTCGTTCCACGCGTCCGAGCTGTTTCTTAGTTTCAGATCTATTTGGCGCCGCTGCCTACATTGTTTGAGCCTGCGTTCACGATTAAAACAACCATCGCAGAAAGCTGAAAGCCCGCCGAAGAACGGCTGACTTGCGAGCTAAACCTAATTCAACAAAACCATTTGATCCGACAGAATAATGTGCTTGATCTTACATTTCATGTCAACAAAGAACTGCGCTGTCTGTCTTCGTCCCTACATGTTTTATTCTTTCGTGTTTTTCAAATCTTTACCAACCCGCGTCCAATCGAATGCCCCGATCACAACAAATAGTTGGTCGTGCTCCGATGGCCCTTATCATCCGCCGGTAAGGCAGTTACGTCAAGTAACGTCATATTCTCAAACTGTGAAATACTATTACCACCTCTAGTTTCACATTCTGGTGCACCGTGCACTTGCAGCTTCCTGCACCCCTGCGAGGTTTCCTGCGATCGTACCCTGTATATGATGGATTTCTCGCCGCACGCGAGTGCTCTCGAAGGCGTGCTATACACTCTGTAACATACGTTGTGTGCAGAAAAGGCACAGGCCCGAGCACAAAAGCGCCCTTTTTGCACGAGCAGCCGTGCAAAAAGAACATTCTGCGGAGCTATGCCCTCGCACCCGTGCCTCTGCTGCACACAACTTATTAATAACCGAGCCGTTCTCGTTTTTGTTTTGCATATTACTGTGAAAGAAGTGTCATTGTTGTTTTCTTCTCAAACAAAACTCACACGCTAGACAAAAGCAAACAGATAGGAGTCTGCACATTCACACCCTTTTCTCCCTTGTGCGACAGGTTATAGCCGGTCGCGATTCAACACCGTTTCTTTTGAAGCTGATGAGCACCACAAGGCGTGAAAGAGGTGACTTGCAGCTTTGCCAAGGCAGCGGCAAGACACTACAAGCCTTCGCATTAACTGGCTAGCCAGTGCCGCTCTGTTCTGAACAGCACTGCGTGCCATGCAGAGGGTTTGTGCAAGCTCGCTGGGTGGCGACGCTAGCCACGGTAAGTGCATCCTATGCAGCTTTCTTTTAGGGATATATGTGGCTTGCAGGCCATGTCGTGCATGTGCCATTCGAGGGACAGCAGTGCCAGTGGCAAGGCTGTGCTGATGGTAATCACCACTGCACTGTGCTTTCATTCAATAACTGCTAAAAAGGAACCAAGTACTTCCGAGAGATTCTCGGTTGTGCTTTGATGAACTCCAGCTCGCTTATGAACAGTTGGATGGCACAGCTGGCCTTTCCTAATGGACTTGATGTCTGTGTTAACAATGCAACAAGACTTCTTTTTAGTCTGCATCGCACATAACTGCCATGATAGCCAGTGTGGACGTAGCTGGGGTAGCCCCCAATATGGCTTCTCTAGCTCGACACAAGTAATGTTCCTACCACTGTCGTGTATGATGCCAATCCAAGATTGAAATATACTTGTGCTTTTCATTGCCGTGACGTCACGCAGGCACATAGCCAGGATTTTGTTTTGGGGGCGGGGGGCGGCAGCGGCGGGCCGGGCCGGGCCGGGCTCCATGAACCCCCTCTAGTTACGTGCTTGTGTCACAGGATGGGACAGGCTCACGGTTCGAGCGGCTGTGTAGAAATGAACTATGCCGAGCATTTGTTTCGTGCTGCTGGGTGGGATTTGGGGCGACCTTCCAAAGCATTCTTTTGACACCATGAAACTGTTTGTGATCAGTTGTGAACAAAGTCTACAGCCCTAAGAGTGAACCTTTGCCTTCCCATGACGTCTCAATTTCAATGTTGCCAGTAGAGCTTTTCACTTTGAAAAACACAATGATGACCAAAATTGTAAATTCTGTGACTGCGAAAAAAAGCTATTTCGGCCAGATATTTCGGTTACTATTTCAGCGATGTTTGTTGATGTGTTTAGCAAGTTTTTAGGCGAATCGGGGACAATGAAGAAAATGCCGGAGTACCCCTTTAAAACATAAAGTGGACGTAGTACACAATGAAGAAGTTGCTCGCCAATCATTCTCTAAGAAGTGCGAGTTGAGCCCTTTGGAGGCAGTTTACTGCCGCAGCGTGCACTTTAATCTGCCCGAGAAGAGAAAACGAGATAAATGACGAGTAGGATATCTTTGTTCCAAGGCTTCTTGAGACAGGAAAGGCTAGGGAACCAGTATTGTTGCTTCTTACTACCCGGTACGAGACTCAAACCCGACATGCAAGGAAGTCGAAAGGCCTCTTCATGTGCCCTCTTTCTGCTTCCTTGTGCCTTGAGTTTTAGCTGTGTCTACAATTCACGCTTGCCTGCATGCCTACTCTTTTGGTCTCTTTTTTGTTCACTGTGTTACTGAAGTTTTCTGTCGTTGCTGTCCCAGAAATGCTTTGTGGATGCACAGAAGTACAAGGTGCTCGACGCCTGCGGCTCATTGGTATTGCTTTTCCCCGTACCACGGCATGAAGGAGGTGGCCTCTCTCCCTTTCAAGCAGCTGCGATATACTACTAGCACTGGGTTACAACTGCAGCTAGCCCATGGGTACCGTTCTGCATCCTGCACTGCATGTAGTTCCGAGAGCCATGTGAAAAGGCAGGTGTGACCTTTTTAGGCACTGTCACTTTGTTTTGTGCATTTTCTGCCGCTTTTTCGGGGCAATTTCTTTTTAAGATTCAAATATTAGAAAACGGACTCAAGTGAGAGAGGGGGTTTTCTGAGAAGACTGGCTTCTTTGCTAAACCATTGGGACTGGTATTATATCTATAGAGTTCATGTACACCTTACGTTATGTACTTTTTCTTTAGTTTTATTTTACTTGGTACTTATACTTCGATGTTACACGACAGCCACTAAAAATGAAGAAAAAACAAAAAAAATGTTGACCTGTCGGTTTTTTGTTTTGTTTTTTTGCAATATGTTGGAAGAGTCAAAGATGTGGTCGGTCATTCATGTTATTTTTCCTACACGCACGTCCAGCCTATGTTTACATAAAGCCCCAATTGCCCCTTAGCAACGGAAATAATCTGTGCGACAGACTAGGCGGCAGCATTGTGGACGGAAACTGGCCTGATTATATCCGCCATGTTTAGAAACTACATTTGATGTCAGGTTATGAATTCAGTGGCAAATTCCCCCTAAAAGAATCTACATCACTCTGCCAGCCAATCGCTGCCGTCACTTGTCGTGACGTCACGTCCAGCAAAAAAACTACAAACTAGTATTTTTTTTTTTTTTTTTAGTGGCAGGCCTTTGTTGTTGATGCGACATAGCACGTCAACACTCAAGCAATTCTTCCGCTTTTGACCTCTCCGGTTTCACCTTGCGAAGTCGTGACGGTGTCTGCTTTTGTTTGCGGTATTTCCCATGTGTCGACGTGAGAAGGCAGCGGTTGTATCGCCAAGGAAGTAGCAATCAATCTGTGGATTTGCTCCAGCGGCACAGTGTTACAAACAGGACTCTTTCACCAAAGGCAAAGTCTAACGACTCGCCCTACAGTTGCCAGCATCGTGCAGCCGTGAATGCGTAACTTGTCCGAACGCTTTTATGCTTTCTTCTGTGTACAGTGACAAAATGACTCGCTGAATGCGAAATGCCGTACAGCAAACTACAGTAGAGTCTCATTAATTCAAACTCCAGGAAGTCACAGATTTTAGTTTGAATTATCAGAAATTCATCTAAATATGATACTAGACAGCATTATGATTTGTTACATGGATAGCTACTCATACAAAGCAGATTTTTGCCAGTTTCCTCCTAATTATAAGCAAGTACAGGCATAACACATTAGTGAAAGAGCTGTGACATTGAGTTTATTCATCCGGCAAAAAATTTGTCGATTGTGGACTGTTTAGTCAGCACATACGATCTCAAAATAAAATTTTCAATACCAGCCAACGCAAGTAGCTCCTTACGGGAATCTTCCTTTGCAAACAGAAACTTCCGGAGCTGAGCGATGTGCTCAAAGCTATGGCTGTGACAGTTGGTAGCAAGTCATCCCTTTCTTCATTGTCATCTTCACTCTCACTGCTGCACTGTGCTGGCATTACTTCCTGTACTATGTCCTCTAATGAGTCATCACGACAAACACACACATCATCGTCAAGACTAGCATATTCCGCCTATGTGCTTCAAGGCCAGAAAGCATGATGCCAGTGAGCTGGTCCTCATCCTCGATATCCTCTTGGTCATCGTTGCTAGTCTTGAAGCACATAATGTGAACGCTGTTTTCCGCTAATGTGTTCCCGCTTGGGCCTTGAGTGTGCTTCTTTATGAGCACCGGTGCACTGCGGAGAAACAACACTCATGAAAGCACGCTCTGCAGGTTTGCTTCTCTGCGGTGCACCGGTGCTCGGAGAGAAGCATACTCAACAGGGCCGCGAGTACAAAAGTATGAATTAAAGGAGTCATGAAACGCTTTTCCAACTTTTTCCTGTTTAGCTTTCCTCTTCAACTCATAAGTCGCGCATTCTACCAAACAGTTCAAGAAGATGGAAACGGGGCAGTCCCCTCTTGCTCGGACTCTCGTTTGAGTACCGGGACACAGCCATTGTCCCCCTAGAAGATTAGCCCGTCGCTCAAAATTCAGACAAAAGTTGCTTTCCCCACCTCAATCACCCCGAAGCTTACAGTGCTGCGGAAGCTACGTGCTCGTTGGGCCAGCCACATTTTTGCCACGTGATCACGCTCTCTCACGCATACCCACGCGCAGAGAATG